TTTTTGTGGTTGAAAAATGTGCTTAGCAACTTAATTGTTCCCAGTGGGGTGACATACAGAGAGAGGCTATTCTCCATCCGACCATTCAACAAACTGAAATACAGTCTTATTATATGCAACTGGAAATCAGGCTCCAATGCCTAATCTGTGAAATGCTATATAGTGGTGTTTGGGTCACATTGTGCATAAGCTCATCTCAGTTATCTTTACAGGAGGCTGCAGAGTGATGTATGCCCAGCTACTATGACTTTATCAAATTTCTACACATTATTTGCCTGTACAAATGGCATGCAGTAAATGATGATGCAGCTTTTTTTCATTGTGTGGTGTTTATCTGTTTCAGTGTGCTGCAGAGAAATAATCATAACATAATCTGCAAAACAGACAAAAAAAATTGGATTCTGCTTTATCTGCTTTCATCCCTCTGCAACTCCAACAGTTTCTATCTGGGATGTTCGCACCACAGTCCACATTGTGACTCAGATAAAAATGACTGATTACTCCGATGAGGCACACTGTCACTCTAATTTACACAAATCTCACACTCCCTCTCTGACTTCTGCTCAAGCGTGTAAAACCAGGAGCAAATGTCTCCGGCAGTCAAACTGCCTAATTTAATGTTCACACAGCCTTCCACACAAATAATCCCACACTGTGATATTCATCCTTACCAACAATATGCACACTGGGTGTTTGTCATTCTTCCGAATGTGTAATTACACAGTTGTGGATGAGTGTCCTCTCGGCTGTGTCACATCACTGAGCAGGACTTTGATGTAATTTATGATTTCAGACTCAGCTGATATCTGATTGGCTGCCTAATGAGAAGCCAGAGAAGTAAAGGTTTGAAGAGTTAATGGTGACAGGTGAGACAAACAGCCGTATGGGCCACTGCGCTCTTATCTACAAAGATCTGAATGCACAGCCTCCTGTTTGTGTTTTATGTCTCCTGAATACCTGGTGTCGACGTGTGTTAAGTGCAATTACTGTGCACTTTCCCCACAGCTACACGTCTGAAGTCCTCTGTTTTGAAAGAAAGTGCAGGGCTAAACCAGCATTGATGGGCCGCACCCCACAGTCATAAAATTCAGTTTGCTCTGCACTCTTAGTGTCTGACTGAGTCAATATCGGTCAATGGTAGTGGATATAAATGACCACGCTGTATTTGATTAATCCTTTCGCACCTCTTAACGGCTTCTTCACCTCAGACCCGGCTGCTTTGAATCTCCCTGAAACCTCCAACTCACCGTTGCCAGTTCAATAAGGCACCTCATTTTATACTTTCAGTTTTCAGTCTGACAGTTTTCCTGATGCAGGAATACACAACTTTATGTCTTAAACTCACACAGTCCTGCTTAAGGAAGAAGAAGATCAGTAACTGGAGACCATGTCATACTTTGAAATAAGATCTAGAAATTGATTCAAGTGATTCAAGAATAGGGGAGATTTGGGATTGATGGCTGGTCTGTGTAAATAAGCTGGCAGCTGCATTCTGGGCTAACTGTATGCAGTGCAAATATGTTTGACTCATGCAGATATACAGGGAAGTACAATAGATTTTAGCAATATTTCTTAGCTGTGGCAAACAGGAACAAGTTTGTTAAAATGAGGGTTAAAGGTCATTTGCTGGTCAAATATAATACATAAATTTTAAACAGACGGTTTGATGTTTGATTGTAATAAACCAAAAAACTGTTGAACAAAAGTAGAGAAGGTGTCTGGGACTGATACTAGTATTTCAGTTGTGTCAGAGTTAAAATGAGGGAAATTCAGTGACAACCGATCATGGACAACAGACAGACAGTTATGGAGAGATGATAGCTGATTAAGGTTACTGGGTTTTGCAGAAAAGTCAATGTTCATATCAACAACACAACAATAATATGAAATGCTGACTAAACAACTGACCGAGAGGAAGCACATACAGGGAGAACAGGATCGGTCTCAGGATTGAACCCTGGGGAACTCCACACAGCAGGGGGGAGGAGGCGAATATACGGCTCTACTTCTATCTTTTTCTGAGGTAGGACTGAAACAGTTTATCAGATGTTTAGTCTCACAAGATGAGACTTAAGTATTGACCTTTGTCTGTTTGCATTTAAATACTGTTGGTTACTTTGAGAAAATCTGTCTCAGCTGTGTTTATTATGGAAGTCAAACTGGAACTTATCAAAGATATTATGACCTTCAACAAACTTCAGGAGTTTGTATTCTAGTCATTCATTTCCAGAACAAATACATACACTGACAAGAGCTGTAGTGTGACAACAGTGGATGACGGTGCTCTGGGAAGTGGAGTCTTCATCCAGGAAAAGCTCTATAAATTTTGTCCAAAGGAGTTATGAGGGTTTACAGACAACATAAAAGCTCCTGACGATGCCTTTACCTAATGAGTTGGTGTTGAGATTAAATTACTTCCTTATTCTTTTCCTTTTGTATCAGACAAACACATGTGTCAGAAAAGCTTGGTCTGGAACATTTAGCTTTTGCCCAGATGTCTAAACTGACAGTCCTCTGGGTAGATAATAACCTCTGGACTAGAGTATCTTTGGAGGAAGCAGGTCTCCAAATATTGCATCAAGTTGCATCTGTTTTTTCTGTGCTGCATGATCTAATGTTGAAAGAGAAGTCCACTCTCCCCATTACATACATCTTCCATTTTACATACAGAGAATGATTTACTGGAGGCAAATCTAATGTGCTTAGTTCACCCTTGGTCACAGCCTTTTCTTTTAGCAACACATACCCATTTAATATTCGTCAATATTTGTTTTTCTGGGAAGTTTTGTCCAGGGCAACTGTTTGCAGTTAGGTCGAATAAAACTCTTCTCAAGCCAACGAACTGATTTAACTCACCCTAACGGTCAGTTGGAGACTGTATATTTCTGTTACTTTCACCCTTTCGAACACTGACCTTTGTACACCATGACTTCTTGTTGTTGCTTACGTATCCCACTGGTCTGTTTTGCAGCCTTACCAGGTCAGGTGTGGATAATTTGCCAGGTGGGTCACTTCTCTGACTTGCGTGCTGCTGGCTGATCAGATATCAGAACGAGGCACAAACAGATTCAACCATGACTTCATGGTGGAGGAAACTTCACCGCATGCAAACATCAAAGAGGAGCTCATCAGACAGCTGCTGCTTCCACTGCAAACAAACAAACAAACAAACAAACACACACACAAGGTTTGATGAGATGACTGTATCCTATAGCTGTGAGGTTAATGTGTTTATGTAGTGTATACATCCAGTTGTACATGACACAACTGGATTAAAATAAAAAAAGATAGGAAGAAAAGATTTTTAATTTCAATGGACAATAACTACCCAAGATCTGTTGTGACCATTTAACTCTCACCAGATCCATGTTTGTAATAATTTATTGCAATTAATTGTGTTTCTGATGATGTTTAAAATGTTTTCAGTCCATATTTTAACAATGTCAATTGAAGGATCAAATGAATGCTATAAAATGTGTGTGTTATGATCATGACTTCTTTATTTTGTATCCATGCACTGCCACATATGTGTAGTCTAAAACCATTATGAAGTCCATTTTTGTGATTTCTCACTAATGCTTTTATTTGGTTTCCTTCATAGGTCCGTGTTGATTTGCACACTCTGAAATAAAGCTCTGCTGGCTTTTGTGATGCCGATGCCTGTCGATATCAGCCGTAGTAGCTGCACCTGTTTAACTTGAACTTGATATCTTATTTCCATTTGACAAAAAGTTGATATTACTTTCAACTCGTCAACCAAGACGACAAGGAGTGTTTCCTTTTTGGATTGTTATTTTTCATCACAGCAGCAGTAAAAGCATATGAAAAAATAAAACTGCAATAACTTCAGAGGGAAACAGATCTAACTATGTTGTTAATACTGACGACCCTAGTTTAGACATTACATAACTGACACTAAAATTCTTGACTTTGATCTTCAGAGATGACCTACTTCTGATTTAAAACTTAAAATTAACCTCCTTGAAATCTTGGATTTCTCCCTAAGGTTCCCTGTGAGCGGTGTGAAAGAATGGATGGGGAAAAACGCTGTTAAAAATGGCTTTCATTGATTCAGACAGGACATATGTAAAACAGCAGCAGACACTGGAGGTAAAAGTCATCCAACAGTAGCCATTAACCTGTAGCTCAACCCTGGAGTCAATAACTCATCTGTCTCTAATTCAGTGAGGATATATTCAAGTATGCATTCAGTTAATAGTACCGTTATTTATTGTTACTGTTCCTTAAAAAATAGACGTTTTTCATGTATGAACACAGGCGGGATTTGTGCCCTTGATCCTGGATAATTCTGTCTAACACCAGAGATGGGAAATGTTGGTGCATTTCAGAAAATTAAATCAAAGTGACAGAAAAGCCTCTTAATACCTGCCAGCCTGCAACGCTTCAACACCCTACTGTCTCTTTCAATTTCAATTATCAACATAAAGCAGGTTTTAACTAATCTCTATGATATGTTTAATATAACATTAACAGGATTTCATAATTACCCATAATTTGCAAAACATGCAATGCATAATGACACACATGTAAAGCTAACACTGCAGCCATCTTATAGTCTGTTATAAATTCAAATCATATGTGTGCACACCTTAACGCACATGTTCCTGTCTGTCATTTGTGCAGCACGTGTCTCCATTATAATAAGTGCATGAGTGTGTTTCTACATTTCAGCTGTCCTTTTGAGAGGTGAACAGGTATCCATTTAACATCTTTGTCCTCCACCCACCACAGCCCTCCTCCCATAACTCTGACTCCAACACACTCAGCAGAGAGAGCTCACAGCTCTGCAAACAAATCCTATAAACTCTAATTATTATTCATACAGTTTAGGCTTTATGATGGGAGTTCCTATAAATATCCCCCCTGCCCCCCACACTTCTTCTTTTGTGTCTTTTCCACAGTCACATTCACAGTAGTTGTGCATGCACACTCACACACACACACTTATCTGCCCTTCCTCCCTGTTTTTTGTTTTCTTGCATTCCTCTCTGATCAGCTGCACAAAGCACTGTAGGGAGGAGATAAAGCACATTCTTCTACTCCTTCTTCTCCTTCTTCTTCTCCAGTATCATCTCTGGCCTCTCCATCTTGATTCCCCTCCCCCCCACCTCAGCATCCATACCATCCTTTACACCAGCTTGCGAGGACCAAACCAGGGAGGGAGTCGCACCACAGCAGGAGGGAAAGATGAGAAAAAGATGGGATGAGTGCATGCTTCATCCTGCGAGATGAACAAAGCTGTGTTGGTGATTTAGTAGCCGTGCAACATCTGAGCTGCTGCTGGATTTACGCCAAGCGCAGGTTCGATTGACCATAGGAGACTGAGTGCCCCTCTGACCTCCACAGGCCGGGATGAATCACAGAGAGTGTGAAAGGTTTATAAGGAAAGGGAGGAGGTGAAAGTGAGAAGAATAGAGTATTTGGGTTGAATCTGATAGACTCAATCAAAACTCAGGGAATTGAAAAGAAACGAGGTTGGGAGGCACACGACTGCACTTTCTATTGTTTTGAGTTTCTACATGAGATTGTAATGTATTCAGGCTTTATTTGATAATTCACCATGCAGAGAGCTATAGAACTGGAAGAGATGGGGTGACATAGATCCCATTAGACTCTCTGGAGCCAGGAGGGCACCCCGCTGAAGGATAAATTGTTTGATGTAATTTTCTTCTCACGGGGGTAGCAGGATTGGATGATGTATAATGATCCAGCCATGAAGCCTGCAGCACGGACAACAGTTAATAGTAACTCATAAGCAAAGCCTATAAGAGCTTTCATCCTCCTCCTGCAGTAATTGGTCCTCTGCCTACAGGCTCTCTTCACGCTGAGGGCGCCCCCGTGTGGCGGACAGCAGGAGCGCGCACGCCGCGGGGGGTTTAAAAGCCTGAACCGAGGACGAGCAGCCCACAGTACCAAGAAGCTCCACGGTGGGAAAAGTTTACCTCCAACTATTCTGCTCGATTCAAAGGACGGAGAAACAGCGGAGATGGCAACTCAAGCACAGCAGCCGCCCCACCTGCAACTGGCTGAGCTCACCGCCGCTCAGTTCATCGACATCTGGAAGCATTTTGACGCAGACGGTGAGTGCGCAAAGTATTCACCTGTGTAACTGATGCGGAGATAACTGAGAGGTTAATTAGTCTGGATGAGACGCTAGAGCATATACTTGTTTAAAATGACTGTTTAAATCGAAATTTAGGGTTCATTATTTACTTTTTCAGTCAAGTTTGTAAACAGAAAGAGTTTTAATCCGTCTTGAAATGATCGAGTGAGGCGCAAAACCAACAAATTGAAATATCTAATGATGGAATAGAATCAAATTTTCCCGGCTAAGTTAAATTTTCTACAACATCTTTGAGGAATATTGTGGATTTATTATTTCAAAGGCTGTCTATAAATATAATTACTCTTCCTTTTCGCTTAAAACTGCACAAATAATGAAGGTCTATGTAAAAAAATGCAAGCACAAAAACGCAGGGCGATCATTCAGTGTAACTTTTGTGTGTTTTTGTTGCGTTTGAGGTGCTCTGATGGTCTTACACATTGATGAAAAAGATTGAAGTGTTCTCTGTCAGAGTTCAGAGATGAAGAGGAGGCTGCAAAAGAGGGAGAGAGAGAAAAGATAACGGGGGATGGAGGCTAAAATGAAGAAGAATGAGAGGGTTAAGAATTGATGGGGGATGAAAGGATTCAGAGAAAAAGAGAGAGAGTAGAGGATGAGGAGGTGAGGAAGAGAGGAGAAGAAGGGTGTTTTCTACTGGAGTTTACTGGGAGGAGCCTCTGGATCTGAGGGCTTACTGGGAATTAAGTAGTGAAATTTATGAGTGTGTGTGTGTGTGTGTGTGTGTGTGTGTGTGTGTGTTGGTGCATCCACTGAAAAGAAGGCCATAAATATGAAATGGAATCAAAGTATTAAAAGCGAAAGCATTTATCATGCAGTCATTACAGAGCCTCTGGTTTTAGAGATGTATTATCATCACTGGGTCATTTGCATAATGTACTAATGAGAATTATTTAATGCTGTTCTGTGATTAAATCTCTATCCGTTGAAGCTAAAGTGATTAGTGTAAATTAGTCGATTAAAAATGTGTTATTTTACGAATTGAATGATAAAATGTAAACCTTTGTGAAGTTCTGTCAGCGTGTGCTCAGAAGAATTGAAAAGGAAAAATGACCATTATCTGCATTTGATGTGTGTAAATCTGTGATTGGAGGTCGTCTTCCTCAGTGAGCTCCTTGATGCCTGAGTGGTATGACTGTGAGGTTTCACAATAGGGGTGGGAGAATAAATCGATACAGCATAGTATCACGATATTTTGTCTGGTGATATATTATATCGTCTCATTTACCAAGTATCGATTTTTTCAAATCAATTGTTGATTTGAAGTCAAATCTATGATAATGGAAAAATAAAATCAACTGTCTGTCCAGTGAGGTTGGCGCTGACGGGGGAAAGACATTAGGAATGCAAGCAGGGCACAAATGAGATGGACCTGACTCATTAGGTTTGCAAGATATGCAACTTGAAAATAAAATACTGTGTAAATAAGACAAACATAAAGGAAAGACAAATGCTCAATTAGCTAAACAGTTGAAAAAAATGTGTAAATCACAATATATTGTGGCCAAAGTATCATGATAATATCGTATTGTTGGGCCACTGGTGATTCCCACCCCTACTTCACAGTATCTGTAGTAGTGTTGGTCTGGGGTTTGACTGTAGCTGGGAGAAAAGGTCATTATCTGGATTTCTGGGATCTTTCATGAAACTGCTTTTTCAGCACCTCATGTAAATATGCTTTTGACAGAAAAGAGCCAAGCTTGCTGTCTAGTCTGGGCATTTCTCTCCTGTTTGTTGCTGTTTCTACTCTTGGCAGTGATGTTGCCTTTGGTAGTAAAAGGGTTCACCAAATGTTTTAGTTGAGACAGTAAACCCATGTCTCTTTAACAACTGCACACTAAGGCACCTCTTTCTGCTTCTTCCTATGGTTGGCAAAAGGCTCCCTGATGTTACTTATGTTACATAATATTTTGCGACCCTAACACTGAAAGGTGGAGCCCTCTACTTCCTTCAAGTTGTCATTGTTAAAAAATATCAGGCCATCAGATCCAAAAAAACTCGATGAGAGGGTCTAACTATACACATTTGTACATAAGGAGCAGCAGGGGGCTAAGAACAAAGCCCTGGGGTACTCCATTGTAAAGTTTTAGGGTTAAGGAGTCGTGCCTATCGACACTTTGGGTTAGGTTGAGGGTTTAGTGTCAGGCTCTTGGGCTTGCTAACAGAAGGATGACCTGACAGATCTACATTTTCTTGCTGTGTTTGTCTTTTGTGACATTTACCAGAATATATTTGTGGGCTTTGACTGTTAGACACTCCAAGCAAGCACTGTAGCACTAACCATTTTTAATTAATTTTATCACTCAAACAATTAAGGAAATATTCAACACAATGTTTGTTTTAAAGCCCCAAGAATTTGGCATCATTTTTATATGTGGATTTGAATAAACATATCTTTAATCTTTAAGCAGTAATGTCTTAACGGAGCAAAGGGCATCGACTGAAAAGTGAATATTGGGGTTTTACTTTATTTTGTGTTTGTCTGTTTTCATTTTAGTATTATTTGTGCCTTTATTTCTTAGCATTAACTGGGACCAGAAGTGAAACTATTTATTTCTGACAGTAGTTACACTGTCAGAAATAAACAAGATTTAATCCTGAGAACCAGAATGAAACAGAAAAGTTTTGAGGGAACATAGATTATTAATTTGCTGTGACACAGACAACATCAGAAACTTTTAAAAATGAGACGTGCTTTGAAGAAAAAGCAAATGCATAGTATTAATTAACAGATCAATGGCTTATTAAGACAAAACTGCTTAGACCTTTAAGCCAGCAACGTCTTTATTTTCAGCTATCATCTTCAAGGAGCTCTATTGGAGACATTTGTTTTAAGTGCTCCGCTCAAGGCCACTGCACTAATGAGGGTGAAGAAACTCAAGCTAATTACTTCCTCACCTAGAGGGCAGATCAAGGACTGGATTACATAAGCAACAAAAAATCCTCTGCCTTTTGGAGCCTAAAACTCTGAAGTTTAAAACCTCCTAAAGTTTTCACAACATGTTTTATTGTACAAGTTATTTTCAACTTTAACTTTGCTTGATTTGTGTGTGGGCACTAAAACATGTTTTAAAGCCTTTCTTTTATCTGATGTTATTCAATAACTTTAATAAAACAACCATTCTGTCAGTTAAATACTCTAGACTAGAAATCCTTTTAAAAGAATCTGAGTTCACTTTTAGTCAACATGTAACATCTACTGCTGAGATCTTTTGGACAGTTTAGACCAAAACCCCATGTTAAAAAATGAGCCTGTTTGCGTATTTACACTCAGAAAAGGTCACATAAATACATCCTTTACATCCGTCTTCAAAGATAGTTTATTCTCCTCTGGTCTTGATTATTATATCTTGTTCACTGTTAAATTAAAATCTACACAGTACTTATATCCCCCTCAGTCTTACCTGGCTTTAAAACCCTTCATACTATGTTCAAATTGCAAATACAGATATGGCATACTCAAACCTGCAGTTCTGCATTAATGCGTATACGATGTAGATTTTTTTTATTTATTTATTTTTACTAGAAGTGACTGAATTTGAATTTAAGGGTGGCTCATAAAAACAAGGATGTAAAAAAAAACAAAAGAAATCAATTGATCAAACTCAAGAAGAAAGAGAGCTCAGAACTTTCTCACTGCTCCAGTACAAAATACAACAGTGGACAAACTATGACCTGTACTGACCTGTCTTTGAAGAAGATTCAATATCTACTTAGACTCTGCTGCGCTCTTGGCTGTTTCTGCATCAGTCTGTAAAGATGTTCAATACACACAGCTGTCTTGGCCAAACCTGCAGTTCTGCATTATGGCGGATACCATGTTTTACCCTCTTTTGGAGCCAGCCTCCAATGGCCTCTTGAGGTACTTCAGTTTTGGCAGCTCAGTAATGGTTTAATTCTTGGACCCCTGATATTACTGCTTGGACCTTTCATAGTTATAGATCAGGAACTTTCACAAGCATCTATATTGATAAGCAATAACCCTGGGCTAAGAGCCTCTGATAAGTCCCCCTGCCCTCCCTCCCACTCCTCTTCCTCTCCTTCCCTCCCTATCTCTGTATATTTCTCCCCAACTCAGCATTGGCAGGTAGCTGCCTAACATGAGTCTGGTCCCGCTCAAGGTTTCTGCCTGTTTAAAAAGGAAATTTTTTCATTGCCACTGTCACTCATGTTAGATGAGATGGGTCAAATCTGTCTCATCTTGAGGTTGGGTCTTGGTAATTCATCAAACAATGAGTGTGGTCTAGACCTGCTCTTTACCAACAACTGTTGTGATTTGGCGCTGAATAAATAAATTTGATTTGAATTTTGATTTGTGTATAAAGTATTCAATACCATCATTTATGAATGAACCACTGTGAACAGTGAGGAGGACTGAATTAGGAGAAAAGGTTTCTCCACACAGAAGCAGTCCAGCTCAAAGTAAACTACAGTCTTGTGTCCACTCAGTATAAAACTGTCTATTTCTGGGGATTGTGCTGGAGGTGCATTACTTGCATTGCCGCATCAACAGGTTGTTGTCTTGACCACAGCTGCAGAACAGCAGTGTCCAGCTGAAGCAGAGATCCAATTGGCTGCAGGGAAATTTAGGACAGTCAGAACAAGTGACAAGTGAAAGAAAGAAGATAAAACAGTAAAATGAACTCATCGGGGCTCCTCTCACATCATAAGACTTGTTTTTTTGGTGTGAGACTTTTTGTTGTCGTCAGTCATTATAAGTTTGACATCTGGATGAATTTGGAGTTGGGATGGGATGGCAATCAGCAGTTGAGCTGTGTGTGAAAATGTTTTTGGAAGAAGGAGACTGCATCTGCTCAGTGTGCAGTGGTGCGCTCCATGGGGCAGCTGAGATTTGTAATGCAGTTAAACACTGACAGCAAGCCCTGATGAGCTGGGAACATTGTTGTGGGTCTCGGTAGCATTTTACAAAGATTTGAGCAGACTCCTCCTTCTGATTAGATTGTTTTGTTCCTCACTTTCCTGACCTGGGGACTGTACCTTTAAACAGCTCTTTCAGCCCTGTAGTTTAGATTACATAATTGCCGAATGAAAAGCAGTAAACTTGAATTTGTCAGCTAGAAAGGAAAACTGGGTTCCTGCTGAGACAAACTGAAGCATAAAGGATCTGCTGAGACATCTTGTTAAAACATTTAAATCATATCAGAAGATCACGCTTTAGCAGTATATAGGGTTCAACACATGGGATTAAGCAGAGCAAGGTTTTCTATTCAGTGATAATATCTTTTATTTAGACTTAACTGTTTCCTCGAGAGAGACGCACACATTTAGATCAAGAAAAGACGATTTGCTTGTGTAAAGGACAAATTTTGGCTGTGCAACCCAAACTCTCTGCTGTTACACTATGGACACAATAAATAGGTCATATTGACATTCATGAATGCATTTTGTTAGATTGAATTACTTGAGCCCAATTTCACAGACACAGCTGTTTGTAGCCAAGTTACGAGGTTGCAGCACTCGGTAAAATAATCACTGTTTCTGGTAAAAACTAATCTCTGCTGAGCCAGAATGCCAATGATGGTTGATCTGCCCCTTAGGTCAAGATTGATATCTGGGAGGAAAACCCCGAAAACTAAAGCATAGATTCATACAGAAATTCAGAGTTCCCAGAAGATGAACTCTATGAACTTGGTTTTTCTCCAGCACCACATGGTTGTTACGCTGATTCAAATACATGATGTCTGTTGAATGGAAGCCATAGTTTTTGGAAGACATGTTTCTATACCCAACTGGATAGATATTAGATCTTTGTTAAAATAAAAAAGCACCTGTGAGGAGTTTTTTTTTCACATTTATTAAATAGGCTGAAATCCAGATTGACACATGTTGATGAAATCCTAAAGCAAACAAAGCCATCAGCGACGAGACTGATGATCCATATATTGCAATTTTGAATGTCCAAGTCTGGAGCAAACGGGTGGGTGTTGGTTGAGCAAGTGAATAAACATCACTGTTTTTACACTTTTCGTGTGAAATATTCACCCTGAATAAAACATTTGGTTGACGAAAATCAGCAAGAGGATTTTTTTGTTGCCAAATCGCAACTTAAACATTTAGAGGACAAGATCAGCAAAGACTGATTTGTCCACAAGGGGCATCGAAAGCAACATGAACCAAAAGCTCATGACAGGATCTTTAGCGTATTTTATGAAAGTGTCAGACCGTGGATTTTTGTCTTAATCACACTATTGCAGTATGATATGATTTACTGAATGCTTGACTAACATCTTATGTTCCCATTAGTATTTAAATAGATTAGCATTTATTGACTTTGCAGATGTGCTTATCATAGCTGGAGAACATGGTAAACACTGTATGCAGATGACATCAGTATGTAGTATGTAAGATTCAACATTGTCCACTTCAGTTGTAACAGAATCTGACTAACACTCATGTAAAGTAAATCAAGTTTTTCTTCTACCATGTGCCAGTCTTTGCTGTTGCTAATGCAGTCTGTGGAGTTTTGATCTGGTCATATCTAAACAACCAGCTCAACCCAAGCACAGATGGTGGCATGCAGCACCTATGACATGTAGTGATCAAATCAATCTGAAGGGAGATGAGGAGATGGGATTGGAGGGGAGGGGGGTCAATGATCAGAATGTAAAGAAGATGAGAGGATCAGAGATTAAGAGATGATGGGGGGCTGAGTCTATACACTTTAGTCTCTGCATCAGTGTTTTGTCCAGAATTGAAGTAAGATTTTATCAACGTATATTTTGTTTACAATAAAAGGCACAAACCTCCCATCCCCACTGGGATTATGGACAGATGGGACTCATTCCTATGATTAAAAAGAGTGAAGTGGATGTCCTATATGTTTCTCTGGCTGTCGGGGGAAACAACAGAGTAAATTATGATATTAAATCATCTCGGTCATGAGGCTGTCTAAGAAGTTCAAATCTAAACAGAGGGACAGGATGCCCCAATAAGCATCAATCTGCCCACTTTCACCCTCTTAGGCAACGAAACCCTCATTATACTGCTTACACTCAAACTGCACTGCTGGCCTCTCGTGGTTTGTTTTCTTCTGCTGCAACACATCGCTGAATCTCAACAATCCCTGTCGCTGCTTTACACTAATTTGGCTGATATATATGGATGAGTTTAGACGTCAGTCCCCAGAGAAAGTGAGTTTATGATTAAAAGAATTTCAGTTTTGTGGAGATGATAGGGGTTGATAATGTTTAATCCTGCTGTTGGCTTCACAAATGACAAGAGTTGATCTACTAAAGTTTACACCTCCTGTTTTGACTTGCATCAAAAAAAATGATTAAAGTACACTTCATAAGATGCTTAAGTTAAAATAAGCAGCTTAATAATCTGCTACATTGGGTCCCATCACAGAACATTTTCAGACTGGACTAGCATTCAGGGTTTGATGACTTTTTCAAAATTCTAAGACCCCTAGTGATTTTTAATCTTTCATCTAAGCCTTTCATCAAAGTTTTGAAAAGTCAACAAAGCTCCAGACTGCTTAAAAGGTCCACAACATTATTTTGTGCCAAACTAATTTAGTTCATTGGTTCTCCACAGGAAACGGCTACATTGAAGGGAAGGAGCTGGAAAACTTCTTCAGAGAGCTAGAGACTGCCAGACGAGGAGCCGGCGTGGTGAGCCTCTAGTTATTTATTTACTTAAAGTCACCCAAAGTGACAAAGCCACAAGATTGATGCTGGTTCATTCAGGCTACATTTATGTACTGCATATTGGTTTTGCCAATAGAGTTTTTGAAGTGAATAAAGATAATGTCTTTAGTGTTGGAGGTGAAAAACTTTTCTTCTTTTGAAATAGGGTCTGAACATAGGGAAGGAAAAGAAATCAAGTATAGTGTCGAATCAAATTAAGTTTTTTTTGTATAGTACATTTTAAAAAAACATAATTGACTACACTGCTATACAAGCTCAAAATAGAGTTGATAAGAACACAATAGAACACAATTGATAAGAGCATACAAAATGTCAGAAGTGAACTTTTTTGAACTCTGATTTAATGTGTTTGCAGGACCCAACACATGCTGCATTCAAAGAGAAGATGAGGGAGTTCATGGCAAAGTTTGACAAAAATGCTGATGGGAGAATTGAGATGTCGGAGGTGGGGAAACTAACTTAAATCAGCTACTTTCTCATGTATTTGCACTGTAAATCATCTTAAGAACTGCAGATACTTGCATAATGCTTCTTTTGAAAAATCTTTTTTATTTATAAGATGTAGACCTCAGACCATAAAAAATAGAAAAAAAAAACCTAAGTCTCCTATCTTTCACTCTGTAGCTGGCTCAGCTTCTGCCCACAGAGGAAAACTTCCTCCTGTGTTTCAGAGAGTTTGTGGGGTCCAGTGCTCAGTTCATGACAGTAAGTATGAAAATAAACATCATTACCTTGTTGATGTCTCGTGTCCGTGTTCATTAGATATTTCATTATTATTATTGTAGTGTGACATTGAAACAAAACACTTCGCTTCTCTAAGGAAATCTTCTTATCTGATGTCATTTTTATATTATCCTGGGTTATTATATCCTATCATGTTATATCCTATTGTATTGTATCGTACCGGTCACATCATTGTTTTGTATTGTATTGTAACAAATAGTATCATATTGCAGCTTAGCCTCTCATACCATAGGATATTGTGCCGTGTTGTTTCACATCTTATTTAATTGTGTTATACTCTTTTGTGTTGCATCAGTTCACACCATACCACAAAGCACTAAGCTGACATGTCTTATTGTTTACAATGTTATCTTATCATTTTGTATAATTTTGTATTGATTGTATTGTATTTTCTTGTATCATATACTATCATATCAAATTGTAGGTGACTATATCTTACTGAATAGTCTCATGTTGTTTTGAATTGTAACGTAGCCTGTAGTATCATATCCTACTGTATATTAGGGTATTGTATCATTAATTTGTGCTGAGCCACATTGTATCATCATCTCAGTTTGGACTCCCTCTGCTCGGTTCTAAACAGTTGCTGACTAACTGCTTAACTTTTTATAAGCTGAATTCTCCTCAAATGCCTCCGGCCAGCTCTGCCGTCACAGCTCCCCCTGTGGGACACATGTTCATTTGCCCCACAATTCTCTTTATATCCCTGCCAAGTTACAACGCCTTGTTTGTGATCCAGTGAGGGTTTTTAAATGTTAATTTACAGCCTGGATCCCATGTCTCAAACTCAAACACCAAAAATGTTAGGTACCGTACTGTAAGCAGCTTTTACTGGTTGGAGCCATCCCTTAAGGAGTAATGTCAACTTCAGATTATATCTATCTATCCATCTATCTAAAACAATGCTAAAATAATAACTCATACAAACTGTATTTACAGATTTTAAACACATAATTTGAAATGTTTGGCTTATCCGTAATCAACTCACACTAATCATTATAAGATTAACCTCTAAATAAAACTTTCCATTGGCTCTAACTGCTTCACCATATTGTAATCAACTGCATGTTTGCCCCACACTCTTGTCTGAACACCCAGTAACGCCTCTTCTTTCTTGCATAAGGAAAATGGTAAAGCATCGCACATCTGGTCCTCTGTTATTGAAAATAACATACCCACACTTGGTGAAAACCCTCCACAACCCGAGCCCGAGGAGGAATTTCAGTGTTGTGATGTGCAGGCTTCTCTGTGCGTTAAAGCTATTCTAAGACAGCCATACATTATGAATGGGGCACAGCTTTCTGTTGGGGGAAGGTAGTGAGTGCTGGTGGGGTTTAGGTATCCATCTTTGATAAGAGCTTTGACATACTCTATATTTAAACTATATCAGACGAAAACCCTCATACCACTCTCATTTCTCTTGGTGCAGTTTTTTTCTTTGTATTCAGTTATATGTGCCTGATAACACGGTTAAGGTAGACCACCTTTCTCCTCAGAGCTATCATAATAACATCTATCTTCCTCTGCAGGCCTGGAGGAGATATGACTCTGACAGGAGTGGATACATTGAGTCGAATGAGCTGAAGGTGAAACACACATGCCAAACTCTGCAAATTGCTTTTTAATTGATGCCAAACTATTTAAGCTACATGCCACCAACACAGCTGCTTTGACAACAGATTTTTGATGGTTTGCAATCCATTTAGATCCTATATGCAATTGTAAAGAGTGCAAAGCTTGAAATGTAAAAATGTTTCTGTGCAGTGTGTGCTCAGTCTGTATGTGAAGCCAGCAGCAGGTTTGGAATTTATTGAGACAGTCATTTTCACCTCTTCTTTTAACCACATTGTAAACATTTAGGAACTGAAGGAGCCAGTTTTTGGAGTGGTCCTGCTGTTTTGCTAACACATGTAAGGTCCTCATTGAATAAAGCATTGTCTGGATCATGGATGGCAGCACGTGTTGCTCCAAAACCCATACCATGGGCCAATGCTGGGTTTTGAACTCTTTGCTAGGTTGTCCCTCTCCTCTGTAGAGCAGACACACTAAGCATGATTTCCAAACAAATTGTCCTATTTGATTCATTAGACTACAAGGCAATTTTCCACTTATTCCCAGTACACCTTACAAGGGCGTGTCCCTGGAGAAGTTGCCTGTGCTTCAGGATCGTGTTCATGTATGGCTTGCTAAAATGGCTTGCTATAAATGCAGCAACATTTTGGCTTCACACACGAGAGTTTTGGGAAGTGATTTGGAGCAGCTGCAGTGATAACAGCGCTGCCTGAGGGCCCAAACATCATGGTAATTGGGTGTCAGTTTTCAGCCTTCCGCTATTTTTCTGTCCAGAGTTTTTTTTTGTCAGATTTGTTGTATCTTTAAATGACATCACACACAAAAAAAGAAAAAGGTAACAACTTTTTCAGACTTTTGTTGTCCCTGTCCCAACTTTTTTAACAGCATGTATATGGTATCAAATTTGTGGCTATTGAGTTGTCTTTGAGATATTTTCAGTTAGATACAAGGTTTAAACATTTGCAAACCATCAAAATCAGTTTTTCTAGTTGGTATTTTACATAGCATCCCAACTTTTTTTTTTTATTGAGGTTGTGTAATTGGTGCTAACATATACTAATGTAGCAAACATGAACCAGTACGTGTCTAAAACCTCTTTAAACTTCTAATACTACTTTTGAAAAGAGTCGCTGGCATATCCCAATCTCTGGACGTCGAAGCCAATGGTTTTTACTTATTAAGTTTTTCTTTCTCTTCCTCTCAGGGTTTCCTGTCAGACCTTCTGAAGAAGGCAAACAGAGACTATGATGATAAGAAGCTCAATGAGTACACCAAGACAATTGTGAGTACTGTTAGGCATAGCATGTGTTTTGTGCTTGAAACTCTTAACTGAGGGAAAATAAAAATTAATAGTTGAACTGGTAATTTGATTGTTTCATAAATAACAATTTTAGCATCTTACTTTCTCCTCTGGTTTACTTTGAGTGCCACAATAGCAACATGGTATTTTGTAACCGATACAGTTAGTATGTATGCTGTAGCGTAGCTGGCGTGGGGGCCGATGGTGCGGCTGCCCTGGACCCACGGTAACGAGGGAGCCCACCTCCAGACTGATGGTGAAAAAAACAAAGGCGCAAAGTCAGAAAGTCGGTCTCTTACATACGAAAGAGGATTAGGGCCACATGAAGAGAAAAAAATAGAGGAACGAGATTAAAGCTGGAATTTTGAGATTAAAGTTTAAATTTCAAGATTGAAGTCAACATGAATACAGTCAAATTTCGTGAATTGAATCGAAACTTTGAGATTAAAGTTGAAATTACAAGATTAAAGTAGACGTAAATAAAGACGAAATTTCATGAATAAAGTCGTAATGTTGAGATTAATGATAATGAATCAACAGCATTGTCGCTTGTCACTTGACAACATGTCCTCTGTAGAATAGTTTGTAAAGCTGTACTTTAGAATTGGATTTAGTAACAAGGAAATCCTTGTTCTTTTAGCACACAAAAACGGTGTGGTCACAAGTACGCTGAGGCGCAGGCATTACCGAAGCCGAGGACCCAGTGCGCTCTGCCACATGGATGGCTACGACAAATTTCGAGATTTTTGAGATTAAAGTCAAAATTTAAAGTCAAAATGAAATGCCATATGGCTTAAACCAATAGACTATAAGGGCCCACCACAAGTCCCCGCCCTTCTGCAATGTGACACTGGCCCCGCGCCTGTATGTGTGTGTTTATGGGACCCTTCATAAAGGTTTTATTTTCAGTGATTTGTCTGATTAATTCCATTGATCTTTTTTCATGCAGCTGAGGATGTTTGACCTCAATGGTGATGGTAAACTGGGTCTTTCTGAGATGGCAAGGTGGGTATGTTTGTCTGGGGGCTGTGCGTACATTTCAACCTTTGTTCGAGGCAACTGAGTACATGAACTTGCCTTTTTTTATGCAGGCTTTTGCCAGTCCAGGAAAATTTCTTGCTGAAGTTTGAGGTAAGAATAACATCAAATTGAGAAAGCCCTGTTAATCTGATACAGAAAAGTCAAACAACAGATAGATATTCAGAACAGCACAGTTTAACGGGATTGGATCACTAGAAGAGGATTATCTGTCATCGAAGTCCTGAGTGGGCATTCAGGACATCAAAACAAATGTGTTCTTACTTATGATAAATCCTGTAGTATTTGTATTGCAGGGATTTTTACATATTTTAAAGTAGGTTATACCCCTGTTATGTGTTCAAAACAGTGTTAAAGTCCCACTGAATTGATTTGATAATTTTTAGTTCTAACTTAAGTCCTGTGGGTTTATGACAGAGAAAGTAGCTTATGCCGTTGCACAAATCCACATTTAATCTTACAACATTATTTGTGGAGTTCACTGACACTATGTAGGCCATTTTAAAGCTTAAAAGTTCAACATTTGCTGTTCGGTAACAATGTTAATCTGCACATACCTCCCACATGTATTTTGTCATGTGTGTACATGCTAGCTTCAGTGAACAGATCCACAATTCCTTTCGGACAGAGGATTAATCCGTCTGATCAGGATTAACTCAACTCTAGCCCCAGTTATCATAATCTGCATAGATTAATATCAGTTCTGGATCTGGCAGGGCTTTTAACACTCTCTAGAAATATCTTCCATAGTTTCTCACAATTTTCCCCCGTCTCTTTCTTTCTCACAGGGCATCCGGCTCACAGTCAAAGAATTTGATTCTCTCTTCACCTACTATGACAAGGTCAAAACAGCAGGCTTGTTTTGGAGTTTGCTTTCATGTTACTGTGTCTGTCTGATGGCTTTTGTGTATAAAATACAACGTTTTCATATTTTCTTTGAGAATGTGTACAATTTATTTTGATTTGATTTGATGACTGATTGGGCCCTAATCGTCAATAACGCACCCAGGTATTTTAATTTATTATACAGTCATTACAGTTGTTGAGAGCTGGTGTTAAGCTCTTTTCTATTTTGAGAACAAAAGTTAAATTTAAATGTTTGATATCAGTACAATACATGAGTAAAGTTTCTGATTGCAAGGTTAACGTGTGTTGATGTAATCCCCAGATGGGACTACAGGGCGCTCTGAATGACTTGTTCAAGAAGTCACACAAGAATTCAGTGGGATCAATATGAGATTTGCTCAAATAGTGACATTACTACACAATGAATCTGCTTAAAAGAGCAGATTTGTCAGTTTATAAAAAGAAACCCTACTTTTTTAGCATGGCAACAGTGAAAGAGGCTCCAGAATGCAGGGTCCTGAAATGCTGGGGGGGCTTAATAGGATAGTGGCTTTAATGAAGCATCTCAAACAGAGGCTGAAATGAGGGTTTTCAAAGACAGCGGCCTGAACGTTAAGAAACTGGTTGAACTGTAAATAATGTAAAGCTGCTAAGAAGCTACCAGAGGGAGAATATAATGAGAAATATGAGTATAATATTCCCTCTTTAATTATCTGAAAGTGTTTGTTCCAGATTTTAAGTCAAATACAGCACACAGTCATTGGATAAAATGTTGTTACTTCACCACTTACTGGTAACTAGTAACTGAGAAGTTGATGATGATAATTAATAGTACCTTTTATGTGTTGCAGTATTGTGTTTTAATGTAACAACTAGATAGACATTTAGTTTTCAAGCTACTACATATGATATGGCATTGCACAAAAATTTAGGAAACTATTTAGGTTGATATGCTAGTTGTTAGTTGCTAGTATGCTAACAAATGTAGTTACTGGTTAACATCAGGTCATATGAAACAGAGCCCAGGAATCTGTATTCTTTCTGTCACACTGAATAAAATCATTAATTTTCTCGTTTGTCGTCTCTTTTTCCAGGATGGTAATGGCTACATTGATGAGCAGGAGCTGGATGCTTTGCTGAAGGACCTCTGTGACAAAAACAAAATGGTAATGAATAGTTAGCCTATTGATTGATCAGTTCAGGTTACTTTTCCACCTGCCAAATATAGAGCAGAGCTGGAAAAGCTGTCTGAGCTGTCCCTGCAGTGTACTGTAAGTTTGCACCATGTATAAAGCACCTTAAAAACCTCTGTGTGCCCCTTGTGTCATTCCTGTCAGGACGTGGGCTCGACAGGACTGTCGGGCTACAAGAAAAGCATCATGGCTCTGTCTGATGGAGGGAAACTGTACCGCACCGAGCTGGAAATCGTCCTCTGTCGGGACTCATCACTGTGATCACCCCCGCCTGGAACCCTGACACCCCCTTGTCCCCCACCCATCCATGGCCTCCTCCTTCCTACCTCCTGATGTAATCTGGTGCATGTCTGACCCTTAACTTCGCTTAACAATTTAGAGTAAAAACAAAAAGTGCTCCTGAGAGCCTGAAGTGTAACTTTGGCCCTGCAGATTTAGCTTTCTACCCCTCTGAGGTTCTTCTTTTTGCTCTTTTTTTAATCTTTAATGCCATCACACATTGAAATTGCCATAACTACTTCATGGATATGTTGTGTTTTTATTTATTTGACTTATATGCATTTGTATTTTTTACATTCATCGATAAATGTTCCTCTTCCACTTCATTTATTTATTCTGTTTAATTTAATATGATCCTGGTTTATTTTGATGAGGCTTGTACTGTTCTATTAAAGATATATTAAAGATATAATGAGAGAATGAATAAATATATCATGACAACTCTTGTCCCAGTTATTCTCTCGCATTAAAAAGTCATCCCTCTTCTCTAAATGCTGATTTGTTACACCTGAGCTCTTAGAGGGATCGTACTAACTGTGCCACTGCTTCCGCTGTGAATAGTTTGTTTAATCTTTCCTCCCCGCGCCTTTGAAAAGAAAATAATTCCCTCCTCTGTTCTGAGAGTCGTGCGGGTTCCCGAGAAGACTGCAGAAGCCCAAAGCAAGTGTGTTTTCTCCAGAGTGCTCCACCTTCACTTTCTAATCTCCTGGTAACACAAAGTGTGATGTTGAAAGAGCTTGTGCTGCTCCATTTTTCATGGAGACTCTCTGAAGCCACTGTGCCACCTCAAGCTGAAGTGAACTGAGCGGGACAAGCTGGGAGACGCGGGACAACAGAAGTATGACACAGTGATTGTCTCACACTCTCTACATGTATACAAACCTGCTTTAACACAGGTGGAGAAAATAAGACAGCAACACAAGATTTGTACATTTAAATAATTGAAATATGTTGCTGTCTCAGAGAAATGTGCGTATTTGAGCCTGCGCGCCTCACTGGACCAAACATACTCTCTCATTGTCTGGCCCTCTATAATATTTGAATGACAACATCTTTATTGTAGATTAAATATAAATTATTCAAAAAGCATTAGTAATGGAAACCACAGGAGGCAGTCATTTCAAAGGATGTGCCTCTGTCTGCTCTTTGAATTTGCCTTTTTCTACTAATCTCTGTAGCAAACTAGTCAACACACCCCTCTATTTCAGCATCTTGGAACAGTCCACCTTCCATCAATTAATAATCAGCTCTTTCATCTTTAATTAAACCCACTATCTTTAAAGCACAGGCCCTCACACACACCCTCAGTGCAGCTGCGCAAACACTGACTCTCACATACACTAAACAATACAGTGTTCAGCTCCTGCAGTGAATGTTCACACACACACACACACACACACACACACACACACACACACACACACACACACACACACACACACACACACACACACACAGCGTGAAACACTGTGCCGTGGTATAAGCAGTTAGCTGCTGACAACAAGAAAAAAGAGTTATATCCGCTCTGATTCCTTTACACACATCAGTGAGAGGAACGAGATGAGCGAGAAACAGACAGATGAGATTCCCTCTGTTATTTACCCTCTGTACAGCTGCACACACACACACACACACACACATACATACACACACACACACACACACACACACACACACACACACACACACACACACACACACACACACACACACACACACACACACACACACACACACACACACACAATGGCTCATCAATGGCTCATGGGCAGCTCAGTTGAAAAGCAGACAGTGACGTTGACAGATAAGAGACATTTGTTTTGCACATTTCAGTCATAAATCTGTTTTCTTTGAAATCATTACAGTTTTTTTATTTTAATTAGATTCATTTAATTTATGCACAAATGTCAAATAACACTTTGTTTATTGTTTAGTTTTAGTCACTGCAGTGTTTTCTAAGATAAGACTATTGTTCCAAAGATCCCCCCCACAGACCCTCTATGCAAATATTAGCGGTATTTTTGGATCTCAGTCTAATTGTGTCTCTCTTACACTGGGGACATGAAGGACGATGTTCTTTTTTCTTTTGTTCCTTAACCAGTGAGAAATCACAGAACTCATATTGCACCATCTAAATGAGAAACTCATGCAAATCCAGCTTTTTGTTACATTTAGTGTTTCTTCACAATGTTGTTCGAGCAAATTTTATGTTAAAAATGTTTTGCATGTGTAACTCAACGTTTGTAGAAAGATATAGTTATAATAAAACATACACATTGTTCTTCAAAGCTACAGAACCCTTTCTAATATTAAATTGTTTCCTGAATGTACAGAAACAGAAGTTTGAAAGGCTTTTTGAACATAATTATGGTGAAAAGAATAATGAATAATGTGCTTCTCTGAAATCAGCAGGTTGTGAAAGCCCCTGAAAGTCTCTGAAGTCCCGATGGGAAGATCAGTGTCCATAATGAGAGGTTTAAGCCTGGGATATGTTCCATGATGTAGAGTTGTCCTCAATAATATAAAAACATATTTATGGAGGTATTAATTAAATGTACTACCTAATGATAAATCAGATCACTTTACATACATTTACTGGTGATTTTCTCAGCCGTACTGAACCAACATTTGTAAGAATCTTGATTATCTTCATATTATGAGAAACAAACAGTATTATGTTGCATTTTTTCCTAATTTCTCTGATTGTAGGGACCAGTGAACATGTTTTCTTATCTCTAAAATATTAAGCCTGGATATAATAGCAATGCATAATTACAAACTTATCCCACTGCTTTATTCTTGAATCTTTTGGCATAAAGAGCTCATTTAATAATATTGTAAGTTACAGCCCGTGTGTGGGATTTTAGCTGATTTTGAATCTGACTGACATTAATAATAATAATGTCTCTGTATGAATAACAACAGCAAACCAGACCATTCTCATCCAATGTGATTGTTTTTATATTGTCATTTCAGTGCTGGTAACACCTGCAATGGGTTAGGTATCAGACCAGAAGAAAGTGCCTTGAAGAAAAAGCCTTTTTACATTTTCCACAGCAAATATTCACAGTCAATGACGATAATGACGATTTCTCTTTTTTGAGGGGGCTCAGAAAACACAACTTAGAGGTTTCACTCTGTCCACAGAGGGCACAAACAGACTTCCTCACAGGAACTTTAATATTATCAAGACTGGTTTAAACAAATAGCAGTCAAAATGCAATTTGCTTGTTTTACTAGATTAGCTTTTGATTCATCTGTTCTCCATTCCCCTGTTTGTTTTTTTATGAGACCAACAGAATGAGGGGCACCACTCAAGACAAACAGCCCACACCAGTATGATTACTGCTATTAATTTTATGTGTAATGGTTTGTTTATTCTGCTTTTTATCATTTTATAATTACAGCAGTTTGTTGGCATAGTCTGTTTACCCTACAGCAAAGGGGAGATCGGTGACATTTGCTTGTGTTTGAAAATGAAAAATCGTCTTGCTATCTGAAAGCTATTAAAGTGTTGTGGGTTTAATGTAAATGACAGTGGGTGCATACATATAATATATATCCCTTAAAAATGGCATTAAAGAACCTCTATTCAATTTAAAGTTAAGCTGTGAAACGTCACTCAGCATTATATTCAGAAACACTTCTGTCTTATCAGTTTTTCATTATTCTTTTTCTGCTGCTCTTTTATTTTTAATGCCTCTTTCAGCTCTACTCTGTTACTCCCCCACCCTCTGAGTGCTCTTCATCATTATACTGTCATCATTTTTTTCCCCATGAATTTTTCTAAAGAAAATGGTGCAGAAATAAATCTATACTTGACATGGTATGTATACAAATAAACTGCAAACCAAATGTTGTATTTTACTTCATCTCTGTTAAATAAATGACTGTTTTTTTAATGTGTTGCACATGTAGATGTGGGTTTTCTCTGACATAACTTACAGTTTTGTTGGAGACATCCATATCTTCTTCAAACAGTTGCAGCTTCACATGAGAGCCGAGTGCAGATCCTGCTCTGTCAAGGTGCCAGAGAGGTGACTGCAGGAAAACTGCTTCATGGACTTCCAGACCCTGTTGTGTGATGTTCTGCCAGGTTCATGTTCCAGGTTTCATACACTTTGCTATTCCTCTAAACTCTGAAAGTAAAAACATAACACGCACTTATCTTACTGTTACAAGAGTACAGTTTACACACAACAAAGGAGGGAGAACATATAATGACACTGAAGTACAGGATGAGATAACAGTGTTTTCAGCTACTTTAGTGGGTAAAAAGCTTGATGACTGGCAGTGCTTTCCTTATTTTAATGTTGGGTTTATTTCTTATCTAATCAGCTGACATAATAAACAGAAAGCAGCGATAAGCTTTGAAAAGTAAAATCTTAGAGAAGTCTCTATCTTGTGGGGAGGTTCAAGGGTTTACTAGAGCTGGAGCATTGGAAACAAAAGCTAATAGGTCTTTTTTGCCATTGGTGAAGAAAAAACATTTTAGGAATTAAAAACATCAAATGTGGTTATTAAGTCTCAGAAATCCTTATCTAACCAAACTGCATGGGGAAAAATTACCTGTAGTCCATAAATATCAATAAAGTAAAAGATCTTACTGACTAAACACTTTTGTAGCAGCTCAAAAAAGTGCTTCACAAGGCCCAAAAGAAACCATTAAAAGAGCTAAAGTAACCGAGACAGTATATACGAAGAAGACTGGTACTTGCATTAACAGGAGTGGAGCACTTTGACCACAAAATCACTACAGCTAGAAAGATGATGCTGAATCTACTAAGCAGCATTGCCCTCAAGTGGGCATGTTAAGTAACCGCAGATTCATACACCACAGGGAGTTACATAATTTCTTGATCAAACATCTCTCAAAGAGGAACTTTTCAAAAGACCGTCTCTATCACTCAAACCATGTGAGAAAACATTAAGGACCAAGTATCAGCTCCAAAGCAGACAGGATGAACATTGCTTTGGCTTCTTTTGATCATATTAAAGCAAAAGAAGAAAAAAAGGAGGTCAATCAGATATGTTTAAAACCTGTACTTGTTAATTAACCTTTTCGCTTATATTTCACCTAATCTATTTTGACAATATTATCAATCCTGCTCTTTATAGTTTAGATTAATTTTGAAGTCTATCGTTCTGGACAGATTTCAAACTGTTTTTTTATTTAATATTTGTATCAGCCCATGTGAAGATGTCAAGGTTCTAACTCTTCTCTGCGTGGTGAAGAAACTAATTTGACAGATGAACTGTACACATGTTCAGTATTTAGGTTTTCCATTCAGTTACTTTATTGGCATATGCAACTACAATTAATAAAAACATTTTGTACTCCATGGCATTAAGTCAAAATTAGATTTATTACATATTGTCAGCTATTATTTCGGATTATTAATGCATCTATGTGTTGGCAAATAAAGTAAACAAACCCTAACTTGATGACTGTTGGTATCCTTATGCTTACCAGCTGCATCATTATTACACTATATGATAATCATTCAATAACAATAACGATAAACTTTATTCTGTTTCTAACTTTTCTGCATAATAAGAACATTTGGAACAATACAACTGTGGTTTTCCTACTTCTATTGATCTTCTAACCTTCCTCCTGTGTTAGCTTTTACTAAGCACTCACCATGTTAAAGGTTGGTTTTGACCCATGACTTAAATCAGCTGTAAATTACACTAAAAACAATTCTTTATCATTCAATTTGGTTCTCATCTCTAGGTTACCTTGTTAGCCTTCATTATCCATGAAAATATTGCTCATAATAGTTTTTGTTTTGGGCCTCTGGGCCTTTCTATGTCAGTATACCCCTCACACAGACATCTATACTGAACTGATCTCATATCTCAAAATGAGAATTTCCTAAATCTTACATGATTGGAAGAGGATCTGACTGTCAGTGCGGTACCTGACAGTGCACTAATGATTTCAGTTTTTGCTCTAATTATTAAATATTGATCTAACCGGGTCAACAGCGACTCTAACATGACAAGTACCATAATTTTAATGAGAGCATTTTATAATTTAGTCATAAGTTAAATGTCTATGACTCTCTGCTCTTTTCTTTGCTTCACTCTCCTCGCACCTTTGGTTTAAGGATTATCTGTCAGGTTATAATCTCAACTCGTCTTCACGCCTCTACTGTAATCACACTGGCTGTACTGGCTGCTGCGTTGACGTCAGCGCGTAAGGTGCGTACCGCCGTGATCGTGCCTGCCCTTCACATCCGTCCACATCCTGCTAGGCTCAGCTCCCAAGCGCAGCACAACCATGGCCCTGCTCAAGTCAAACAAGGTGATCCTCTGTTTGGGGAACATCTCCCCGTCCCTGGGGGTTCTGTCCACTCGCAACAGGTGAGTTAAACAGGCGTAATGACAGGACGCAGAGACGTGGCGCACGGTAACATTAGTATATGCAAACTAGCAGCGTGGCCTCACGTTACTTTCACTGCTAGCTCCATTAGCAGGCATGCTGTCATTTAAAGGTTAACGTAATCGGTTCACTCAGCAGCCAGATTCTTGCAGGGATTAAACTTCTCCGTGATTATCTCAGCCACAGCAGCTCAGCAGGTAAGACAGGCAGGGGTCAAATGATTGCAGTGGGCCCACTGCAGAGAGTGAGGAGGTTAACCAGCGAATGAAGGCAAACCGCTGCTGCTGCTGCTGCTGCTGCTAACGCGAAATCTTTAGTTCCAGGTGAATGATGCAGGATGCTATAACCTCGATAACCTCACAGGTCACCGCCTGGTGTGCCAGACAGCCTCTAGTTGACCTTAGTTAACTCGAGGTCGCTAACTTATCACCCAGGCTCGCCACGCTCGTGTGTTCGCGGCACGTTCCGGTGAATCACTCGCTGGTGTGAAGAGAAATGATCGATTTATCTGATCTGATCCAGTATTTGTCACTTCGATTAAAGACTTGAATCTTTAAATTTACTCTGTTTTTATACAGTCAGCCACCTGTGTGAAAATTTGCACGACCGCTACATCTTTAGCTGATACTTCCCCCGCAGAATTTTGAGCTTAGCGACTTGTCGTAGTTGATGAAGTCTTGCGAGCTGATTGGTCGTTGTGTTCCGCCTTCGGCCTCTGATTGGCTGATTTCTAGCCATGAAGCAGCTAACATATGTCCTTTCAGGGTCTGCTTGGAGGGCAAACTCCGACAGATTTCTTTAAACGCGTTTAATCAAAGATTTCTCTTATATGACAGGTTTTTGTAGTGCTAAAAAGTTTAATGAAATATCCACGTTCGGGGCTAATTCTCTCTCCACTGTTATCGGTGTCGTTGGTTTTGCCAGCCGATTTGTTTCAGGGCTAAAGCCTCATCTTCCTCTTGTCTTGGGCTCTGCACAGACCCTTTTTTGATTTTAAATGCTTGAGGGAATCACTGAAATTAGCTTTTTTGCATCAAGACTATTTGACTTGGTCAGGCATCTCTGTTCCAACAACAAAAATAAATAAATAAAAATAAAACATTAAAATTAAATTATCTAAATTATAAAATGCTGTTATTAAAATTATGTCACTTGTCGTGTTAGGGTCGCTGTTAGATCAATATCCAATAATTAGAGCAAAAACTAAAATCATAAGTGCACTGACAGGCACCACACTGACAGTCAGATCTTCTTCCAATCATGTGAGATTTAGAAAATTGTCATTTTTCCACGTTTTTCCCTGCACAAAAAAAGTCTCAGGCATGTCCAAACATGTGAGATCAGTTCAGTATATATGTCTGCATGAGGGGTACACTGACAAAGAAAGGCCCAGAGGCCCACTACAAAAACTATTTTAAGCAATATTGTCATGGACAATGAAGCCTAACAAGGTAACCTAGAGATGAGAACCAAATTGGATGATAGAGAAATGTTTTTTAGTGTAATTTACAGCTGATTCAAGACAAAGGTCCTTAATATGGTAGGTGTGTAGTAAAAGCTAACACAGGAGGAAGGTTAAAGCATTTTGGTCTGGTTTCAAAGGATGAATAAATTACCACAAAGATTTCTATACAGCGATGTAAGACGCTCGTATCAAGGGAAAAGACCCCTTTATTTCTAAACATTAACATGCCAAACAAAGCCTCTTTTGTCTATTGATCACTGATAACCTGCCCGTGTCTCTGTTGTTTATATAAATGCTGAAGTTTAGCAGTTCAAAGGTTCTGTGTATATACCCATGGCAGGCATGATAACCTCTCTTCAACCAGATTGCTCTCACTTTCTGGAGTTTTTGCTACTTTACCTTTTAATAACGTGAAGGTAAAAGTTTTACTTGACACAATTGCAACTATCTTAAATGTAACAGTTTGTTTACCAATGTATAATTCCTACTACACTGCATAAAATCTTATCTAATCCAAACTGAAGTGTTTATCGCATTGTTTGCATAACAGCATTGACATTGCATCATAAGCAGCACCATAAACTACACCTTCATTACTACAACAGAGGAAATACTCTGAGCGTCTATTAGGTGTTTATCCGTCATGTCTGTTTTTATTACCCAGTAAAGTTGGGCTTTGATTATTTATCGAAGTGTCAGTGTTTCAAAATAACACACTCTACTGTATTTAGGTAAATTACTGCTAGGCTGACCTCAATATTTTTAAGCAGATCTCTACACTAAATTCATACAATAAACATGTTGGTAGGTAAACTGGATTCACTATTTGATGAACCACTGACATATTTTTAATAACAGACTTGAGATGTGTGACTCCTGCCCTTTGCAAGGTGTTCTGTCCTAAATTTAGCTGCAAAGTTTAGAGGGTTTACAAAGTAGAAGAAACCTGAGACAATGTGTGAGCAGCCTGCACCGAAGGTCACAACATGCAACAACCTCCATTTAAATAGATTTGTGTCAGAATATATTTAATATTCATCTAAAAGATAGAGGTGACAGTGAGAAAAATGGATCATATGCTCTTTTAATTGTGAAGGAAAATTCACTTGGCAGAGAATCACTCTGAAACCTTCCTTTGTGACTACCATCATGACCATCACTGTCAGGAGAGGATGACTCGGATGTTATAAATATGTGTATTTTTTCTTGAGGGCTACACAAAGACTCACTTCCACATGAAACATTTTTGCCAATATAACCAAGGTTTTTTTGGGGGGGTTTGAGTGATCTACCTTTTTCTTCATGTTAAGTTACAGCTGCTCTTTAAACATTGTTTATAAATGTTATAAGAAATTGATAGATGTCTGGTAATTCAGAGTGATTCGATGCCTGACAACTACATCACATGCATACATTCAGAGAGAGCAAGAAGGTATTATACATGAGTCCTGATGTGTATTGACATGTGAATGTTTTTCATTGTGGTAGGTTCACTGATGTAGTTTGATATATTTAAACAGCCTTTACCAAACGTCACCTGTGTGTTGAGCAGCACATTATACTGGGCAGTGGTCAGGAGGTCAGAGTGCTTGACCTTTTTTAACATTTGATATTCAGCACACATTTAGCGTCCTTAACATCCAGTCAGTTCTCTATCTTTTCCAACTGCTGTGTCTCTGCAGATATGACTTGTTCCTCCTACTTAGCAGATTTCTGTTTTACAAATGAACAATGCCCAAATCTTAGCAGGACATTTGGTTTGTTTGTCAGAATGTTTTCGAATTACAATTGAGTTTATTTAAATATCATACAACACTGAGCAACATTTAGCAGAGTGTAACACATTAGACTGTTCACCGGTGAGACTTACATCATATACTACATGAAAAAAGAAACCTTTTTATTTTGGGTTAAAGAACTATTAACTTATTTCCTCCATTGCTTTATACTAATGAAGTAGAAGAATAATTGAAAACACCGGGGCAAAGCGTTGAGTTGAATTATCTTCATTTATATGTTGTGATGCCTAAAACAGCTGGAGTAAGGACTTTGTGGACAAAGGAGGGATTACATAAACTTTATTTTCCAGCCCAGATTAACTGTTACCCTTGTTTTTTGGACTCTGGACCCTCTGAACAGGTTATAATGTTTGTTTGATGAAACCCACTGAGAGCCCACTGAGCATGTCTTTCATATGTTTCCACATCAGTGTTTCCTCAGGTCACATGAGGGGTTAAGCGTGTTAACCAGGGGGAGTTGCTAATACGAACATTACATTAGCGTAACCAGTATTGCTTAATGCCATGAAATGTTAATAAGCAGCACATGTCATGACCCTGTCAAAGACAAACTCTGTTTTTCAGTGCAGCACGCACAGATTAACTCTTGTGAGTGAACTCTTGTCTCTTTCAGTGGTTTGCCGCTCATATTGACAGTCACCTGATTTGATTTGATCTGATTCTTTGCAGCTCATGGTGGGGTGGAGTGCAGATGGGTCCCCCCGATCCCATCCTGGGGGTGACCGAAGCCTTCAAGAGGGACACCAATCCCAAAAAGATGAACCTGGGAGTGGGAGCCTACAGGGATGACCAGGGCAAGCCCTTTGTGCTTAGTTGTGTCCGCAAGGTATAACCAAGTCCAGGCATTTTTTTTCTCTATCACGCACACACAGGCATGCACACAAGGTTTTTTTCTTCAGCAGTTATCTGGTTACCTTTTACCCAAGTGTGGAAAACAATCACATAATAAGGTCTTAATATATTATGATGAAAGAACCACAGTACATTACTACTGGCAGTGTGTGTTTTGAAAATACGGTGATCACTCAGGGAGTTTGATAGTTGATGGTTTTAACTTTAAGTTGATGGTTTAAAAATTGTCACAGATTTTTGCAGTGTCATTCTGAACTCAGCCTCTGTTGCTCCTGAATATTCATAGATAATGTAGATAATGAGAGGTCAGACACACATTAAGGATCAGAAGAGGTTCTGCCTTATTATATCATATATATCATTCAGCCCTATTTTATATACAAAGCAGGAAGTGCGGACCAAGGAAAGAAGCTGTGAATTATACCTGTTTTCTATTTTACAATTGTAGGCAGAGGCCATCATTGCAGCCAAGCAGCTGGACAAGGAGTACCTTGCAATCGGTGGTTTGGGGGACTTTACCAAGGCCTGCGCCCAACTTGCCCTTGGAGCTGACAATGAAGTCTTGAAGAGTGGCAGGGTAGGTTGAGTGGTGTGAAATGCATAAAGCTGATTGAAACTTCAAAGTTCAAACAAACATGAAAGTTCTCCTTTCCCAACAGAACATCACCGTCCAAACCATTTCAGGCACCGGATCCCTGCGCATTGGGGCCAACTTCTTGGTAAGGTCTACTTGTCACTTTGTGTCGACAAACTGAAGTTTGGCTGGTTATCTCATCAGGTCTTCTTTATTGGATTCTGATGCAGGCTCGGTTCCATGGAGGTCCACGTGATGTGTACCTGCCCAAACCTTCCTGGGGAAACCACACACCTATTTTCAGAGACGCTGGCATGCAGTTGAAAGCATACAGATACTACGACCCCGCCACCTGTGGCTTTGACTTCAAAGGAGCTCTGGACGACATTTCTGTAAGACATTTATGATGGACAAGAGAAACATCTGTGAAGATAATTCAAACATATTACTTTACAGTAACAAGCCCTGAAAGTTTGCTGATAGCATGAACTCTTTGAATTATATAGATGAAGAAAGTGTCATTCAGAGTCAGAATCAGGTTTAGTGCATTAATTTTTTCAACTTAGGCACAGTCATTGATTAACTTTGTATTTTTTGTTTTCAGTTTATTTATTAGTGACCGACTGGTGCTGGGGGGTGAATTTATTATTTGCTTGTAAGACCTTCGTTTTTGCCGCTTTGTTGTCTGCAATGTAGAACTGCCTAACATAACTAATTAAAACTTGATTGGTTGGAAGCCCAAAGCTAGTCATTTTATGTCATCCATATAAGTAAAAATGGGGATGTTGGGAGAAAGGTGGCTAGTGTGGGTTTGGTCATAAAATCAGTTCTATACCAGGCAGACAAAGCTTTATTTAAATTTCGGTTTGTACCTGACATTGTGCTCTGGGTCCACTCACTCACTCACACTATTTTTTTAATACCACAGAAAATCCCAGAGCAGAGTGTGATCCTGCTGCATGCTTGTGCTCACAATCCCACTGGTGTGGATCCCAAACCCGAGCAGTGGAAGGAGATTTCTGCCCTTGTGAAGGTGAGTTTACTTAGTGTCAGCTAAGCTAATGTCTAGAATTTTGCTAAGAATAAAAATAAGAACTTTATTAACCCCGAATTCAATGCTGCTAGGTTTTGACTAAATGTCAGAACATGGATTTATCTTGTAGACAGAGGTCTTTGACAGTTCAAAAGTCACCATGATAAGGGCTTTACTGATCTTATCTGTTATCACTTGACACATTATCAACCGGTTTTTCTGTCTGCCCCTCTCCCATCTGCTTTCCCTTTTTTTTCACCTCACAGAAAAGGAACCTGCTTCCATTCTTCGACATGGCCTATCAGGGCTTTGCTAGCGGAGACATTGACCGTGATGCCTGGGCTGTGCGCTACTTCATTGAGCAGGGCCACAACATCTTGCTGTCCCAGTCCTTCGCCAAGAACATGGGGCTCTATGGTCAGTCAGAAATCAGCATCATAATTTTTGACTACATAAAAAAAAGAATAAATCAATAAAATAATAATAAACTTTATTTGTATAGCACCTTTCTAGAAGATTTGTCACAAAATGCTTCACAGTCAACAAATTAAAAAAGGGTAATGGTTGGTGTAAATCTAAATTCTGGCTGAAAATATGGTTTGTGTCTACCACCACCTAGTGGTAGACATTGCTAAGTAAGCAAGGTTTATTCAAACAGGCATTCAGTCTAACAAAGTTCTTTATTTCACCGTAATGTGAGAAAATTAGCTGCAAAGTTTAGTGAGTAAAAATCTGTGTGATCCAGAGATGTTAATGGTATTTATAATGGTTCACTTTGATATTTATTACGATGAAGACAGGGTGAGACTGAGATGAAGATGATTTGGTCTCACAAATTACAAGTTTTCCTGTTTTTAAAAATCATGACCGTAACTGTCATGGTGATGTTCACAGGTGAGCGTGTTGGAGGCTTCACAATTGTGTGCACTGATGCAGAAGAGGCAAAGAGGGTCGAATCTCAGCTTAAGATTCTCATCAGACCCATTTACTCCAACCCACCTATGAATGGCGCCAGAATTGCATCAACCATTCTTAGCACACCAGATCTGCGCTCACTGTGGTAAGTGCTTAACTCATATTAGGAAAATAAAACTGTCGACTCAAATCTCCTTTTTCATATACAACTCAATATCACAGACTTTTATTGTTTATTTTGAACCTGTGTCCCATGTTGTCGTTGATCTCAGGCTGGAGGAAGTCCATGGCATGGCTAACCGCATCATTAAGATGAGGGAGCAGCTGGTGGCCGGTCTGAAGAAGGAGGGCTCCTCCCACAACTGGCAGCACGTCATTGATCAGATCGGGATGTTCTGCTTCACAGGCCTCAAACCTGAGCAGGTATACACTCACATTTTTGTGCTTTAATATACAGCAGGGATTGACAATACAAATATGCATTATTCAGTCTTACATTACACTTTTAGATGTGTTTATTAAATATGAAGCTACAGCCTAAAACCCAAGTTGACAGCTGCTTGATTTCTTTTTCATCAAATATTTATTTTCAAATGAATCTTCTTATCTAACTCTGTGCCAGGAACCCAATGTTTTAGTCCTGTGATATAATACAATATCACCATGAAAAAAATATCAGCATACATATAAGTATTTGAGAAGGAGCCAAAAAGGCCTCATGGTTTTTTGAGGTAGGCATTGCTCAGCAGCCAAATTCACTGCGTTTAAATATTTAGAAATAAACTGTGTTTTTAATATTAGGTAAGGTGGATATGTTCCTATTGCACATTTGAGAAAAAAAAACTTAAGAGGAGACATTAAAATATCATGGAAGAGGAGGTTTTAAAATAATTAAAACAGATCACAAAGAAATAAAGCAAGAGCAGAGGTTAAAATATAATGAAACAGCATTAAAATGTAAGGATAAGGTCGAGTTTCAGTGTTAGAGTTAAAGACGTCTGATCATACGTAATTGTAGCACATGACCTCCATGGCAGTGTTAAACTCAGACCTGTGCAGGTTTTACTTTGAGCTTTTTTTTTCCTTTTAAAAAACTCTTGATTTGCAATCGGGCAAAGAAAACTCTTGCTAACACAGATTTATTTGCCTGTTAGCTCCCTAATCCCATCCCAGACTTTGTATTCTTACTTTGATCAGCTTAAGTCTAAGAGGTTTTTGTACATCTACTGTCACCTAATGATTACTGAACACGATTAAATACCTTACTGATTTCCTTTTTACTGTAAACATCTCACACATGATGTATGTACATAAAAAGTTGGATTGATTGTCTGTTTTTTCTTTTTTTCATTTTTGTCAGCTGACTCGTTTATCAAAGGGTATATTAGATTTGTGTGTTTGAATCACACACTCGGCTGGTATTTGATAACTTTTTCTTCTTTAAACATTTCTCCTCTCTCAGGTTATTAAACCATTTACTGTTAGTGTTAAAGCTGAGGTACAAAAAAACATTGGGGAAACCAGTCAGAGGTTTGGAAGTGTGTGTGAGAAGTCAGAAAAACGTTGTAATCACTGGACATACTTCTGACCATTGTGTTGTTTTTTTGACTAAATCATAGGAGTGAACAACTATTAGCTCCCATCAGTCTGCTGAATCTTTGGCCTGATGAGCTTTAACTAATCTCAGTATGATGTTCTTTTTGGGTTTCTTTTCAATATCTAGTGACTTGTTTTTTTTCTGCCTGCAGGTGGAGCGTCTCACAAAGGAGTTTTCTGTGTACATGACCAAGGATGGCAGAATTTCCATGGCAGGCATCTCCTCTGGGAATGTTGGCTACTTGGCACAAGGAATCCATGCTGTCACCAAGTAGAGCTGATCCTGCTGAGAAATCTACAAAATCAGAGCAGCCGTGTTAAGAGGAGCTTTGTGCGTCACTTTTTCTGTCTCCTCCATTCCACCTCTAGAAGAGAGCTTTATCTAGCTAGACATTTTCTTAATTGGATTTCATCGTGAGTTCAACTTGAAACAGTTGCTGCTGTTTAACATTTCGGTTTCTTTTTTCAAACATTTCATTGAACAGCTCCCCCTGCCAAATTATACAAGGCATGTTTTCTCCTTTCTGACGGTTCATCTTTGCTTATTTATTATTGGAATCAGCTGTTAGCGGTGTGTGCTGTTTATCTGCTGTGGGGCCACTCACTCTAATACATCAAGGAACTGACACTGGGTAAACAATGGCTGTTGCTATGTGAAACCTGTAGGAAATGTGACTTTTTAATTTTGACGGTTGGGTAATAGCACTTTATGAGCGGAAAAGCACTGTTTGTTTCAAGATTAGGTTGGGGTTTGGTTGTCTTTTGTCTATCAGTTAATCAATTCACTGCTGGCTGTTCATCTGAACTAATCAGTTATCTCGCAATGTAGTTTCTTGATTACTTCTGAACTACTCTTGTCTATTTGCTCATATTCAACAGGATTTTTAATTGTTTTGGGTGTCAATCTAGTTAATCACAGAGCATCAGTCTCTCAGTCAGTCCCTTTTCACCCCTGATTAAAACAAGCACACAGGCCCAAAACAAATTAGGCTCAAAAGATTAAAGTGAAAAAATATCTTGAATTTCCTCCCACAATTTCTGCGTTTTCCACCACAGCCCCAGAACATCCCATTTATTACTTTCTTTTCACAAAGGAATCTCTATATTTGGTACAAGTACAAATGTCTGTGTGTGGTTGATGAAGATGAGTGGAGCACCTGATTGAGTACTGGACAAGTCATAAGAAATCCAGTATCCACGTGCTTCTCATTTACTCACTTAGACGTCATGGTTCAGTGTATGGATCCGTTTGTCATCAGGACGTGATACAGATGGCATTTAAAAATGTGGGATTTGCCGCAAGTCTGCCTATACTACCATGTTTTGCATTCTGTCAATAAATAATGGATCAGTGGTCAATGTACCTTATTGAACAAACAATAAATCATGATAGAGTAATGGTCTTTCTTTGGATGTGCATTTTGTTTTAATGTTGCTCCTCAAAGACACACCCGTCAGTGCTAAAATACCCACAGCATCCATATATACAGTATATATTTATATATAATAGAATAAATAATTGAGTAGAAGAATGAGCAGAGGAGAAGATAACATTTTTTACAGTACTTTTAAAAACAGAAGATTACAAAGTGCTTTGACAAACAGTTGCAAAGCACAGAAAATCAGCACATGGAAATGAAAACAAAAGCTCAGTTAGAAACAAGGCCTCTGAATTGAAGGTCTATTTCATTTGTCAGAAGAAACCCAGACAATGCAAGAACCCTACAACATAAAATGAGACCATGAGGACCAAAATAAAAACATGAGAGAGGTAAGAAAGAGAAATGTTATAAAAGGGGGGTAGAAAGCAGGAAGTAGGATAATAAATATAAAAAGACAATATTAATAATGAAATGGATCATAAATAGAATCATAGAAAGAAACAAGGCAAAAAATACTACAATAACAGCATTTTAAGAACAATCCTCTCCCAAGAAAAGGAAAAAAGACTTCATACCAGATAAAAGTTGACAAAAACGAGGCAATTAAATACAAATAAACAATCCAATGAATTAATTAATGAATAAAACAGTTAACAAATTTGGTCAAGGACAACAAAGGAAGAGTTCAGAACACACACACTTAGATACAGATATATTTATATCAAACTTAACCTACAACACAGATCTTGACCCGACACATGGCGTTTATCACTTTAAACTACAATACCCATCAGAACAGGAAGAACCGGAATGCTTATCACGTGACAGTGTCACATGCTCTGGTGCTTTGCTTTGTACGCGCTGCCAAAACACAGCTCAGTCATAACCTGCAGTGGAGGATCCTCTGTGAGAAACCGAAGGTACTTTTCCTCTTATCAGCAATTTGTTGACCACACATCGTTTACCCGTGAATATAGAAGACGCAGAGGTTTTATATTAAATGTATTTTTGTAGCGTAGGTATATTTTCATATTGTCAGCTAGGTGTACCGTTTCTAGCTAGCTGTGAAAGGACACCAACAAAAGGCTCTGACTGAGCTGGCAGATGTTATTGTTGCGAAATGAAAAGAATTCTATTATGACATTTGAAGGAGTGGTAATTCAACTGTAAATGTTAAAGTGTAATTGAAGGTATGTCTATGTAAAATAAACCAACAGTGAGTTAAAATGAGGTCAGATCAGCATCAGTAGCACTTTGCCCTGTTCCCTGTAATGTTTGCTTCACTTCTACACTTTACTAATGCGTTGTTTAAGTATTTCACAAGTATTTAACAAGAAATCCTATTCATGTAATGTTTGAGATTTATGTTTTACTGTACTGTATTAGGCCACTGTTTTATTTCAGGGCTTTTGAATTAAACTTTCGCCTAGTTTGTCTCTTTAAACTGACTTCCACTTGTACTTCACTTCCATTGCTCATTCATGTTAGAGTTACTGGTCAGCAGTATCCATGAGGAAGTATCTGTGCTGACAGTCAGCCAGTCTGGTCCAAGGATGTGTGTCTTTGCTACAAGCGTCTACTCAACAGAGGTGTATTTGTATGTTTCCTTGGAGTTATATGTGCAGTCTTTACAAATTTGCAATGACAAAACTCTGCCACAGGTCACCTCATTGCCAGTGTGCAAGCATGTACTTCCTATTGTGTTTGGTAGAGAAGATAAGATAGTAACAAAAAGGAAGTGGTTAATCAAAATCGGGGAACCACAAGTGCTCAGTAACTCCACAGAGAAGTTTTGATTTACTCATACTGACCCAGTGAGCCGTTGATGTGCAGGCTTTATTTCGTCTGGAGCTGATAATTCACAGCAGATAAGACGAGAAGACTGACTCCTGTAATCATGTTTGTGTACACTTAGTTGATATTAGCATTGTGTAAGATCAATTCTTATTTGTCTGTGCAATATTATTGAGGTAAAGACATTCCTTTACAGATAACTGCATGGCTCCGCCATCGTACTGACACTACTGAGAAACATCAGGGCCCTCCAGACGGCCGTGGATTATAAGACACTGGACATTGATCCTAACTGCGGCAGACCTTTTCCTCAACTTTCTCCACTTGGACTCCTCTTAATTCTCTGGAGTGTTGAAGGCTAAGCAGGCCAAGCTTCAGCCTCTGGACTCATGGCGATCAACGCTGATGTGGAGGACTGGGCTGGTGTTGGCAGTCATGACTCTGGGGAACGGGCATGGCTCCTGCAGAGTCCCAGTGTGGATTCTATCCAGCACCCTGAGCTGGACAGAAGAAGTAATGGCGGCGTGTCGTCTCTGAGTGCAGTGTTTATTGTGGTGAACGCAGCCCTGGGTGCTGGTCTGTTGAATTTCCCTGCAGCCTTCAATATGGCAGGAGGAGTGACCGCAGGAGTGTTGCTTCAAATGGTACGCAAGTCCCAATGAGGCTCTCAATACTCTATGTCCTATTTAAGCTCTCACTCTTGTCAAGGTGATATATGAATCAAGCTCTCAGCAAAGTGTAACAGACTTATTTTCCACACATTTCTGATCACCATTCATATTTAGGTTTGTCCTGTTTTTCCGTTTTCTAATTTAACTTCATCAAGAGTTTTAATTGGATCTGTGAATTATTAAATTTAAGGTGGTAGTGGCACAGCTTTTATTTTGCTGAGCCCCATAGATGATCATATTTTAAATGTGAATGTGAAACCTCTGGGATAATAACCCCGTGAATAATAAACACTGACAGATCAACTGTAGGATGTGTTTGTAATTTTAAGACCTGTCATGGTTTTGCATATTTATTTCTCTGTGTGTGATGATACAATTAAGAAATATAGTTCACTTACAAAATGGACAAGGATTAAAGGTCAGCCTTCCAACATATAATAAGGTATTTCAAAGATATAGTGAAGCTGAAAGAGCAAAAACCTATTTTGTTACTCAAGAATCTCAGCCCACAGTTTGAACACTATCCTGTTTTCTGGTGATCATCATAACACAGTTTATGGACAGTATAACCAGGAACTATAATGTGCTGCTTCTTCTTCTTTTGTTTCAGTTCATGCTGATCTTCATAATCAGCGGACTGGTGATCCTCGGCTACTGCTCCCAGGTTTGTTTCAGACTTTGTTGTCTTTTAAATCTTTCTTTCTCTTTGTGTCTTCGCCTCTTGTTTCTGCAGCTTGTGATACCAGACTTATCCTGTTTTTGAAATCAGCATATCTTTTTTTAGAAGTAGTGGTGACATTATAGGACCGGCCTTGCGTAATAACTCTGATGGTACATTGTGGCACATTGCATAAAGCTCAGACTTTCACTTCCTAGTGGCTCAGACCAATTCATACTAGTTTAGGTCAGTTAAATACATTTATCATGATCACCCATAGTAATTCAAAACCTACAACATCTTTTTAACGTAGCTGTAAAATACGAATATCAGCTATCCATTGAACTTTATCCTAAAGCATGTGATGCCATGAGAATAGCTGACCTGATAAGAAAAAATTCAGCAGTATGATACCTTTTACTTTTGTGTTACCATGCCTGAAAAACTGTATTTTCTGTCAGCAGTCAGGTGTGGCAGGTTTACTTTAGAAACACCTGTTTGAATGCCATGCAGAGCTGTAATGATCCTGCCTGCATATCTTTGGAGATCACTAAATAAATCAAAGCAGACAACAGTGCTGTTAGAAGTAAAAGCTTTGTAAATCACACATGATCCATGTAAGCAGACTTGGTTTAGTTTCTGGAATAGTCAGCATTAAAAAAGTGCTGAATGAAGCTGCTGTGGGTGCATGATGGCTGCTCTTGTGATAAAGAGCTCGGTTTCTGTCAAATTTCTGCTTTTAACAGCAAGTGTCAGAGATATGTGTGGTTTCTGAATCTGATGGTATATTTTTGGCGGTGACAGGGTGTTTTCTTGGTGCTGTGATTGAGTCTTGCATATGACACCAGAATTGTGTATGAAATCTAAAGACAGCCACTCTTTTGTCTCAGCATGTACATAATCTCAACCCCTTGTTTATGTGAATACAGATGAATAACTTAAGGGTTTGAGTTTGCATTCATTATTTTAAATGATCTAAAAAACATGACTGTAACTCTGATATGTTTACGCATTGTGAATGTATTAAATGAAGCCTCCATCCTCACACTACACCACGCTTCTCACATAAATCCCTTACGAACAGGAATACACTCCGACTCTAAGTCATGTGTCTGCTTACTAACTATCTGCCTGTTTTCTTCAGGTCAGTAATGAAAGTACCTACCAGGAGGTTGTGCGAGCCTCCTGTGGGAAAGTCACAGGAGTTATATGTGAAGTGGCAATCGCTATCTACACCTTTGGGACTTGTATTGCTTTCTTCATCGTCATTGGAGACCAGCTGGATCGCTGTAAGTATATCTATCTGAGGGAACAGAGAACAGCAGCTGCTCAGTTTCCTCCTAAGTGAACCAGATTCTTTCATAGTCGGTGAATGTTTCTCTTAATAGTGACAAATGTCACTAAAAGGAGTCAAGCATGCTATACTTTGTCATATCTTTGTGTTTTTACGTAGACTCTGTCGTTTTTTTCCGTCATGTAAGTAGTCTGTGCATTGACCACAGGGGTATGTTATGTAAAACCAGAAATACTATTGGTGCTGATTAACTTTTTTTAAGCTTATGCCATCATTGATGAGGCCAAAGAGCATATTTGATGTCACAGTCAGCTCTTTTCCTCCTGTAAATGTGTCCCTCATGTGACTGACTCTGACGTTTCCTTGTACTGAGACTCTGTAGAAATCTGAACTCCTGCCTGATAATGGATAAAGAGTTTGACCCTCCACCTCTTTGGTTTTCAAAAAGAATCCACTGTGTCTTCAATTATCTGATATAATGTCTGTAATATATCTTTTTTAAAGTTTTGTGTCATTCTCTTTGTGCTTTGTTTACAGTGATTGCAGCGGCAGGGCATGATGAGGGCGAAACAGTCAAATACCTCTGGTACACTGACCGCAAATTTACAATTGTTGTCACAGCAGTTCTAATTATTCTGCCCCTCTCCATCCCCAAAGAGATTAGTTTTCAGAAGTATGCCAGGTACTCCATCAACTCACTCCCTTTATTTTCTCACTAAGGATACAAAAATGTTGACGTTCATGCCTGAGCTGTTGTTGTTCCTTCTTTCAGTACACTGAGTGTGATGGGAACCTGGTATGTTACCATCGTGGTCATTATCAAGTACCTCTGGCCAGACAGAGAGATCACTCCAGGCTACATTCCTACCAGGTGAGCACCACACACCTGTTGTGACACTGGCCCCTCACTACACGGAGCCAACAGCTTTCTACTAACCATTTTAGCCTTGTTTTCTCCCCATTCAGGCAGCATCATCTGCTTCCTCGTCATCATGCTTTGCTTCAGCTGCTAAATTCTTGTATTTGTTTCAGTGCTTCTTCCTGGACTGCAGTTTTCAATGCAATGCCCACCATATGCTTTGGTTTCCAGGTATCTCTTCTTTTGGTTTCATAAAGTTACAATGCCCCCTCCCCCTTGAAAAGAGTTTATTATTAAAGCAATCTTTTTGTCTCATTTCTTTCTCTTTTTGCAGTGCCATGTCAGCTGTGTGCCGGTGTTCGACAGTATGAAAAAGAAGGAGATCAAACCTTGGGGATTGGTCGTCACTCTTAGCATGATAATCTGTCTCTTCGTTTACACAGGAACAGGTAGGAATAATCTGAGATGTGCTTTGTACCCAGACTCTATCAAATAATCTCACATTACTTGTGAACAGGATTAAGACACTGTAAAAAGGTTTCATATTATTATCAAACATTACACAGTCCTCGTGACCCACCTGATGCAAAATTATACACACTATATTTTAGACTTCATCCTAACTTGCTTTATCTTTAATGTGTGAGTAGTCTCAGAGTTTTGGCCCTGAAAAGTTTAAGTTATGCACACAGCAAGACTAAAACTTGAACCGTGTTTTAATTGAAATGCTTTTGTGTCTGTCCAGGTGTCTGCGGCTTCCTGACATTCGGCTCTAATGTCAGTCAGGATGTGTTGATGTCATACCCTCCTGATGATATCGCCGTAGCTATTGCCAGGGCTTTCATCATCATCTGTGTCATCACCTCCTACCCCATTTTACACTTCTGTGGCAGGTAATAGTTACACACAAATGTCTAATTTCCCCTTGACAACTGTAATCTAGTTTGTTACGATTCTAATCAAGACGTGAAAATTGCAGGGGCCCACCATAAATGATGAATATAAATATCTAGAGGTCCAATTTCGTTTCTTTTTACTGGCCAACTCATAAAAAAAAAAATAATATTAGTTACCTTTGTAAGGCATGTGATACTCTGGTGTCCATAATCTGTGACTCTGCAAACTATTACCACAATACTGACTAAGTGCTGAAATGCCTTCATGACACCCACAAATGGCTGTCACAGGACTTCATGCAACCTGATTGATAAGACAGAGATAATCCCAGGTGAAGATAGTGAAAATTCAGTCAATTCTAAATGTCTTGGACCGATGTTATTCAACACTGCAGAAATATTACTGTTATTTTTCTTAATCAAGACCTCAGTTTAGGCAAATATATTCAGCAGAAGTTCACTTTGGCTTCGATCATGTCGGGAGCTTTTGAAGGATTAGATCTCTTCTCTCCCAAGAAATGTGAAATCTGTAATTCATGTTTTCATAACCTCTCGATGATACTGTAATTTTTCTCTCGCCCCCGGCTCATCCAAAAATCTGCTGCCAGGATTTTGGCTCAAACTAAAAAATGAGATCATATCGCTCTGATCCTCGCTGCTCTGGGTTGGATATCTGTGGCTGGGAGAAATAAGAATTGTCTTGCTTGTGTAGCACTGAGAGGCCTGGTTAGTGATCAGATGTACTTTACCTTAAATCCCCTCCTGGACACTGAGATCCTGAGATCTTGTTGTTTCAGATTCTACATTATTAAACGGGTAGAAGAGCTGAAGGGAACAAGCTCGGTCTACAAACTGTTTTTTTAAACAATTCTTCTAAAATCAACTTTTTGATCAAGTTGTTACTGATTTTCTGTATGTTTTTTTTTCTGAACTTTGTACGTGTGGGATTTTATGACTTTTTAAAAAATAGATTCTTTTTGAGTTTTATAGTCTGACACTTGTTTTACTGCAAAGAACTTTGTAACTTGAATTATGATGATGATGATTTATTGTCAAAATGGAAAGAGCAGTTTATATCAGTTTTATATCAGCCATTAACTGACTCACTTGCAGATGAGTAGATTTTGTGTTTTAAATAAAGGGGCCCCAGCTTGTGCACATTTAAGGGGAGTTGATGTGCTTTTTCTCCTCACTGCTCTCTGCTGTAACAATGTGTCCTTCAGGGCAGTCATTGAAGGACTCTGGCTGCGCTTCCAAGGGGAGCAGGTGGAGGTGTGTGTGCGTCGTGAACAGAGGAGGAGGATCCTGCAGACGCTGGTGTGGTTCGTGGTCACCCTGGTCCTTGCGCTCTTCATCCCAGATATCGGGCGTGTGATCTCACTGATCGGAGGATTAGCAGCCTGCTTTATCTTTGTCTTTCCAGGTGAATCTTCCCTCAGTGCATGTCAGACTATTGATTTTTGTACACTCTATGTCACAATATAACATGATGCCTTTTCAACTTTTATAGGTTTATGTCTGATGCAAGCCAAGCTGGCTGAGACTGACAACAGATCTGTGAGGTAAGATGGCTGTTGTTCTCACGTCTTCACTTTCTTAAACTTTTAAGTGGTGATTGATAATAAATCAGTTGAGCTGAAGCACAAGAATCCAGAGTTCTTTATGAACAAAGAGTGACTCATTCACTCTGCTGTAGAGAGGTTTTATCTCTTGGGTCGATATTGAAAAATGTGTTATCCATATTTAATAATCTTTTTTCCTTGATAGTAATTATTTATTTAATGTCTCTCGTTTACAGCTGGCATGGATTGGTGATCTTTGGTGTTGTCATGGTTACAATTGGTGCTTTCATCTTCGGCCTCACCACGACCAACTCCATCTATCAAGACGTCGTCAGCTAAAAGGAACTTTTTAGGCAGAGCCAGGAGAGTCCTAGTTCTTGAAGACAGGAAAGACAGTTTAAGTGCGGTGCTGCTATTCTGAACTGATGGAGAAGCATCTCATGACTCTCTTTTAAACCAATTCAGGTCCTCTACATCATAACACCACCCTGCTCCACGGCCCCATACTCTGTCCAGTGGTTGGGAAAGACCCACGATGCCAAGTGACTTGAGACACTTTGCCTTTTATTTTATGTACAGTTTTGTTGCATGTTTTTATGATAGCTGGAACTTGCCATAAAGCAGATTTAACCAGTGTAGTCTGAGGCATGGGTTTGCTCCTTCTGTCTCTGGACCTTGTACAGGCAGCACATTCCTGTTGTATTTATTGAGCTGAAGTCTTTGTGCAGAGGAGTCTTGCGATCAAACTGGTTTTAATCAAAAAGTCCTGTTTTCTGTATTTTAACATGTGCGACCAAGTATTTGTTTTCTCTTTTATATTAGGGATGTTAAATTGATTTAAAGATTTGCACTCGTTTGAAGATAATATCATTAGTGATGGATGTGTTAATTTTAGGACTGGGTAGTTAATAAGTTGATCTCTGGTATTCCAATGATTTTGCGAGAGAAAACAACTGGAATTTTAAGGACAAATTTGAAACTCTTGGGTTATTTCCCTTGTCTAAGTTTTCGTGTCAGTTTCCTACTCTAAAGCCGGTAATGATTTGACAGTTGGCTTTGAGGCTGAATTGTTTTTAGTAAGACATGCACAAATTTATCTTCAGGTAAGCCTGCATGCCTTTTTAAAAAGTGAGTTTTATTAGAAATGTACAGATCAGTTAACAGACATCAGCATGCCTCTCTCAACACTAAGCACAGGTGTGCTGTGTGTTCAACATTAGAAGCATCACAATGCAAACTCTTCCACGAGGGCCAACAGAGTGGGTTGGAAAATGATGTGTGAATGTACCGGAGACATGGATATGAAATGCTCATAGTGGTTGAACTTATCATTGTTTACAGTTTTTCTCTCAGTGACAGACGGCTCAACTGCAGTCAGTGTCAAGATTTTGGTTTTATTTACTTGAATCACTTCATTGTTTTTTTCAGCCTCAAGAACTGGGAAGTAGTTTATTTTTTTAACTGAAAACCAAAATGTGAGCTTCTTTGTTTTTTTTGTTTAATGCAAAACCTCATGTGTTGAACTGTGATTAAAGATGTTCAAAGTAATATTGATCATTTAGCACAACTACTGGTGAAACATATTACAGTACTGCTGTACCAAATCTTTACAGCAGCTAAATCAAAATTCCAATGAAAAAAATATTCAAAAATTTTCAAAGACATATGAATCAAGGGTAAACTGTAGTGTATTCAATCCTTGGTTTACATTTTTTAATGATCGAGGAAATTATCTTGGCTAGGTCAAGAATTACCGTATCTATGATGTATGGCTCGATAAAGTACTTGCCAGTCTGTTGTTTTTTTTAATTATTTGTGTTTTATGAAATCCAAAAATATAAGTTTTTTTTTTATTGAACATAAGGGACAGTGAGTATGAAAGGGATTTCATCCTCCCTGAAAGCAATGACATTGTTATGAGTTACACTATAAAAGGGGCTACAGTCGAGACAGTTTCAACTGAAAATGTTTTAAATTTTAGAATTTATTGCAGTTGTTGAAATTTAAATTGTTTTTTGGAGAAAACTACATCTGGGATTTTGTCAGAGTTACTGTTTTGTCAGGCCAAATGATTTCAGTTCTCTTCCAGTGCATCTATAAAACAGACATCATGTGTCCCTGCTGTCTCAGAAGGATGACTTGGAAACATAATGATCTTGTAAACTTGTAATGTTTGATTGAAGTTCTTGAAGGGATGATCTGTGACATTCCAACAAATGTTCTACAATCGAGGCATGTGATTACATCTGACAATCTGTTTGATATTGAAAAGTTCAAACACTTAATAAAGACTCATGTAAGTGAGGCCTCAGTTTATGTTTAGACATTTGTCAGAGAGTAACCTTATCTTTCTTCATTTAATTGGAATTTTGTGTCAATGAAAATTTCAAAGAAATCACCTGAGCTTTGCATCAGGATAATAAAAAATAGCATCATTTGATGATGTGGAGTATAAGGATGTCATCTTAAGAACCGCAGACATGAAATGAACAGACGAGGTCAGAGGCTGAGTTTTTAAACAGTTTTATTTTCTCCCTATTGAAGTGTCAGAGTAAAAGAAAAGACACTTAACGTTCCCCACTTCAATCTCACACAAGCAAAAAAAGGCAATTGAGGTGTTTTTGAGGCTGATCAGAGCTTAACAGTTATCTGCAGTTTTCTGGGAATAAGAACAGGACAACAGTCCCCCAAAAGAGCATGAAGTGAAACTGCCTACAGGGCAGACATTTAAAATGATCATCTCAATTTCTCTGCATCCAGTCGTCTGTGAACCCTAAAAATGAGCTATTGACTAAAATAAGAAAACCCACTATGATTCAGCGTAAAGGCCACATAAAAAATATGTCCTACATTCTTACCAACTCTAGTAACTTTATCAACAACACAGATGACAGGAATGCGTGCTAAAAGTCCCTTTACCTACAAAATCATCTTCCCTGAGAAAAAAAAGTACCATTTAATAAGTGATGAGTGCAGGTATCCATCATACAGCTGTCTGTTTCCAGACTCAGTAGGGGCCTTTTGTTATAAAGGACTGGAACATGTGAAAAGCTGGACCCGGGGCCCACTGGGGAACCATGTGACCTGCACCCTGAAAAACAAACGGCAGTGGGGTGTCACAATAATATCACTACATCAATGTTAAACAAAACCTGCTTCAAATTATGTGACTGTGGTTACCTTGACTGTTAGGAAAGTTATGTTTCCAAACTGTTGGTAGAAACCAGCAATCTGGTCATCAGTGATCCAGCTCTGGTATTTGGTGGTTGGCTGAAAATATATATTGGTTGTATTAAGAATTGTAGCTGCAGTTTGGGGGACAAAAAAACAACAAAAACCCCCAAAGCTTTTATGTTTAAGTCCCTACCTCCAGGCCAAGGTCTTCAACAAACCACTGATCACCCAGGAAGTTGCACGCCATGTCAGTGTCTCCATTGTAGACGAGCGCTCTCAGGCCCATAGAGAGTAACTTCAGGTAAACATCCTTCACTGTTTTGTACAAGGTGGTGTACTTCTCACCAACATCATCACTACAACAAAGAAGAAAGTAGGTTATGACCAGCCACTCCATGTCAAACACATCCTGCCTGTGTTCACACAGTGGTACAGAGATAGTGACTGACAATGGTTTTAAACAATGCAAGTTCAACCCACACGCTTACAGTCAGGGATTTGATGACTTTATGCGCCTCTATTCTTATAATAAAGTAAACTGGTGCTTTTTTTTGGTAACATTGTTGAGTGGGTCTACAGGTGGTAGAGTACATCTGCTGTTCCACTAAGTCCACACTAAAACATGGCCAGGATCTACTATGGCCCACTCCCAACACACACTGATAACTTTAGTGAGAGGGTTATCCCACTGTTAAATCTGTGTGATGTATAAGACTTTTGTTACTTTTCAGCACCACATGGCACCTTTTCTAACCCTCATATTTGAGCACTTACCTGTGGTACTTCTTCCGGGTTTAGAGATAAATTGGGGAAGTCATAAAGCCATTAAAACATAAACAATGCTACCAACAGGTTAATGTTATTCATTCATTTTTAAGATTTAAAAACTTTATTCTTGCATTAAAAATCTAAGTGAAGTATACTTGTCTGAGTCAGAGCATGAATCTCTAAACTCTGCATAGCAAAAACTGAACAAAAATAGGAGTTTGATTGGGTGATGAAGTGACATTTATTATTACAGCTAAAGATCATGTAACATTTATGGTGTCTGGTTGTAACAAACCTGCAGAGGTCCCATGGAGGCAGGGTATCTGGAATGTGTAAAGCCTTCCTCACATCGCCTCTCCTCAGCCAGTTCCTCTGAGCTGTACTGTTGAGGCAGGGGGGAACGCCCTTCAGTGACATGAAAGAGGGGCCTGGTTCTGAAAACTTTATTCAAAATGTCTTTTAGTTAACACAAAAGGCACAAGATAGAACAGCCCTTTTGCACAGCAAGAACACTCACCTTACTGATGTGTGAGTGCTTCCTGTAGTTCCTAAACAGAAGACTCATTGCACTCTCATAGCCTTTGTGGGATCTTCTTCCACCCTCACAATCCAAGTACAGCGCGTACTCATTGAGTCCGCTGTTATAGATAATGCCAAAGGCCACATTCACCTAAAAGGGAGCCAGGGACAAAATAAAATCTGGATAAATCACCTGGTAACATTAGCTGAATGCTCAGGTGTCAAAAAGGTAGTTCAGACTTACCAGTGTCTGGCAGGTCTCTGAGGTGGAGTTGGAAAAGTTACAGCCTTCCTTGTCACAGCAGTTTGTGTTCAGGTCACGCCACAAACTGCACAGAAAACAATACTTTATGGTATGTCACCCAAGTACAAGTAATTCATAAGTCTTTGGCTCACTGTTAATACTTTAAATTTCTGTACGATAACACAACATAACAGCATGTGCGCTAGTACTTATTTGTGATGTTCTTTTGTCTATTAAATATCTAGAACAAAAAAAGGGCCAATAAAATAAACATTTAGACTCTGTGCTTGTCCAAATTGACCGGTGATACAGAAACTGTGGCTTTTCTATTCAAATGTCCAAATCTTACATTTTTTAATTTCTGCATCTTATTGTTAATAAAACTAGAACCATCTGCATGTTGTCTGCATTGTTCTACATTAATCAAAGGGATTAACATTCACCAATCAAACTGTTATCTAAACACAATCTCTAAACAAACAAAGAGATACTTACTCTTCTCCAAAGAGACCATGGTAGTAACCAAAGTAAATCAAAGCTTGGTCATTGAGAGCAAAGCTGCTGATCCCATTTCCCACTCCAAAGCCCTAAAAACACATTATATATATATTCGAAGTTTGTTATAAGTCAACACAAAAGCCAATAAAACGGTTTACTGAATTTGGTAAAAGTGCATGTGGGGCTCAACAACAACATCCTGAGTCAAGAAACTGCAAGGAAACAAAATAAGCAAACAAATCTAAAGCACAAGAGAAGTTGGCTCACCTTGAAGTTGATTTTGGCAGCTCCAGTAGCCACCCTCAGGCTAAGGGTTGGTGCATAAATGCCACCATAACTTTCTCCAAAGATGAAGAACTCGTTTTGAGTGAAATTTGGGAACTTGGTAAAGAAACTCTGCAAGGCTTTGTAGTTGTCATCAGCAACCTAAGACGGCAAAAAGTTACATTTAAGTAATGTTTAAAGCTCTTCTTCAGTTGTCAAAGCCAGTTACTGAACTCACCTGGTCGTCATCAGTTGCATACTTTTGGTCATCAGAGTAGGAATATCCCACTCCTGCTGGGGATTCTAGGTACAGTATATTAGCAATCTTGTTCCAGCTGAAGTTATTCTCATACAGAGTGGCCCCATCATCGTTCACCTGCAAAGTCACCTCAACAATTCCTATCAAATTGACTTTTAGTGAGCATATGTGCAGTGATTCAGAAAAAGCTCACATGCTTACATGAAATGGTCCATTTTCTGACAAGAAACCATCCAGTGAGCTACAGCCTGGTCCACCGTTCAGCCAGAGCACCAGAGGGTCTTTGACTGGGTCCCTCTGAGAAGTGACAAACCTGCAGGGGATCAGGACCAGGGTTCAGTAATGCACTTCTTAAAAGGGTCACAAGTGCCACAAATGTCGCCAAACCGGTGGCACACAAATCAAAAACAATGACAACAGGAGAGTTGAACACACTTCATACTGTCAAGCCCTTCATGGTCGATATAAGCCCCGGGAAAACAACAAACTCTGGTCTTACTGATGCCCTCTACATTGCGATAATACCTATTGAAAAGCTTCAGCAAGTTTCTTACCAGTAATGAAGAAACTTCCCCGGTCGAGCTTGCAGGTATCCTGACCATTGTCGATAGTTTGGCTTAAACTTCATACCAGGAAGGTGCGTGACTTCATCAGGAGCGTACTGAGCCCATGAGCCATGGTGAAACAGGGCCAGCAAGCACAACAACAAACTGCCAGAGAACATCACTGAAAAACAGTCACTCCTAACAAAGACAAATCCCTCACTACAAGACAACGCTCACGGAGAAACTCGAGGCTTTTTGTATCAAACTTCCCCGAACAGGAGCTCCGTTTGTACAAGGAAACCCAGAGCGTCATATGACTGCTGCTCTTGTCCACGTGACCAGCGCCTGACCCAACGCGGAAGTTGTTGAACCGCCGAAGTCGACTATAGACATAATAAAGATTTTTATTATGATCTTTCTCTTTAACTATTTGATCTTCATTATGTGTATGGAGTCGACTGGTAGTTGTGGAAAGGTCGTGAGCCGCATGCATGACAATTATTCAGTAAATGAAAGAAAATATTTGCTTTTTTCCATCTTGAAATGTGACGTTTTCCCCTCTAGTTGACTTTAATTATTATTATTATTATTATTATTATTATTATTATTATTATTATTATTATTATTATTATTATTATTATTATCATCATTATTATTATTATTATTATTAAAAATTAATTCCAATATTTAAACATTTTCTTTGGAGGAAAGTATGCATTCTGCCAACAATATAACCACACGATCGCCAAATCAATATAAAGTCAACAAAAAGCAAGGCAACGAGAGTAGAAATAATTCTCGAAAAGCAGTTTTGATGGGAATAGATGCATTATTTATTCAAAAACACAAATTAACAAGTATTGAGTCACTCAATGAATATTTTTGCATGTGTTGGCTTTTTCTTTGTCAAAGAAGTAAATTATCGCTGAAATAAATATTGAGGTCGGCCGTTTTTCTGTAGCCTCTAAAGTCTGAAACAAAGTTGGATAATCAAAATTTTGGACTTGTTTTGCGTCATAAAAGAGATAAAATAGCGTGTATGTGAAAATCTGAGTAAAGTAGGAGAGTGACAGCCCTTTATAACCAGATTGTTTCCATTGAGCCTTTAAATGTTCAGCTGTTCGGACTTTTATTGTGAAGGCAGGTAAACATTGCTACAGGACAAAACAGGCGCCCAACTCCCTCACAGCAGGGGGTCGCAGGATTTGCAAAGTACAGACGTGACCGTAAACATTTGTTAGATTCGCTGAAAAACACTTGACATTTTTTAAACTGGACGGTAAATTTTTCATTTTTGGAGAAACTGCAGTTTTTCATCGCCAGAAGTGTCAGCTTTGGGCGAGTTTCTTACCTGGAAATCAATTCAGTGAACTTTACGAACAACGATTCAGGTAACAACAACTTTCTCTCATTATCTTTACTTTTCACCTACATCGAGGCTATGTAGACTTGCTTTTTGCTCTCTTTGCTTTCTTTTTTGTTTGACTATCAGGCATTAATGACTTTGCAACGAGGTTATCACTATATTTGTAAGTGTTGCAGTGAAAAGTTACCTACACAAAATGTGAGCATTTCCTGGACAACTTTTCTGAATAAATTCCCCACGGAGAGACTTGTGGAAGTTTACAAAATTAATGCAACTCATTATTTTTCCTTTTAAAAAGTTGTAAATAAATATACAGTAGCCTACGTAGTCGCTATTTACACTCAGACATTGATAAACTATTGTTCGTCGAGGAAACTCTGGCATGCCTTTGTTTCCGGTTGTGTGAAGCGGGTATCCTGCAGCTGGTTTAAAAAAACACAGCAAGGACTAGAAAATGCTTAAAATGTCCTCGATCATAACCAGCAGAATGGATCCTGGGGACATTCCAGAGGAGGACATGACCATGCCAGAGCAGAGTATCGTATACCAGAGGAGTCTGGTGAGTCTTCGCTTGTTTGCCACCAAGTTTGTCAAGATGGTACAAGAAGCTCAGGGCGGTGTGCTGGATCTCAGAAAAGTAAGTGATTTCAGACTACTCCGACATGGCAGGACTGCAGTCTACTTAATGAGTGTTTTACAGTCATGTGTCATGAAAAAAAACTCATATAACTTGGTCGAACTCGCAAAACAGAAAATTTAACTTGAAATTCTGCATGACATTTCTTCTGCCATTGCCTACATTATGCTTCAAGAAATAGGGTATAGGGGAGAGTGTGGTGAGGTAAGCCAAAGGGTAAGTTGAGCCACCTCCTTTTGCTTGGAAATGGTAAAATAAATTGATCATGTGACCAAATATTTAGGAGATGGGCATCAATTCATGGAGTCTGTGAAGGTTAGAAGCACATGGGTGAATGGGGTTAGACATTTATTTCCAAAAAACATTTTTCACTCTTGAAAGTGAATTTATTCTGTCATAAGTTTTATTAGGATTGTGTTCAGACCAAAAAATATGATTTTAAATTTGTTTTATACATCAACTGTGGTATCTATGAGCTACAACATGAGGTGCATAAAAGTCCACCATTTTAGCTCAGAGGACTAATAAAGTCAAAATAGTAGTTCTGGGGTAAGTTGATCCAGTGGCTCAACTGAGAAAGTAAAGGAGTCTGATGAGAGGATCAGAGTTTCAGTTCAGATTGTTGAAATGTGTTACTTTTTCTTTTCAAAAATACAGCTGTGAATATTCTGAATCACTTAAAGACATTCTCATGTTAAAATGTTTTTTTTTTTTTTTACAAAACAGCTTTTCAGCAGTTATATGTGATAATAGTAAAAACCATGTACCATTTGAATAGTGTATAATAGATAAAATTACACATGAATGTGAAGAAGTGACTGTTATATAGGGAGAGAGAAGGTGAGGGAGGGCTGGGGTGGAGAGTGGGGGGAAGTCGGGACTTTTTTACTGGCATGCTATATTATCAAGACAGTTATGTTTACACTCATTCTGTTGGTTTGCAGGGATGCACAACATCTTAAAATATATACAGATACACTAGTTAGAGACAAAACTATGATTGCTTTGATGTAGTGATCCGAAATATGAAAAATGGCACATCTCACCCCACTCTCCCCTACCCTGAATTTGTGAATGCTTGCCATGACTGTGTGACTGGTAAGATAATGGCGCTCATTGAAAAGTTGAAAAGATAATGTGCATAAAACATTATCGAGAGTGTGTTGGATGCCCGAGTCAAAGTTTGGACTCTCAATATCCAGTGTGAGTGTGACCTGAATGTTTAAATGCACTAGCCAACTGTAACCTGTTAATCCCAAAGCAGTAGATTGATAATGAGTATGTAAGTGTGTGTTTTCTTTTTAAATGTCTCAGGCTTCTGTTCTACTGGGTGTGAAAAAGAAAAGGCGAATCTATGACATTACCAGCGTGCTGGAGGGTGTTGGTCTGATTGAGAAACTACCTCATGGCAAAGTGAGGTGGAAGTAAGTTGTCAGCTCAGTCTTGTGTGCTTTCAGCTGAGTGTGCATGAGAGTCAAGAGTGTGGTTAACTGGAAAGTATTTTGACAATCAATCTTTTTCCAAATCAGGGGGACATTTCCAGTAGAAAACTCACGAGAGTTAAGCATCAGACTAATGGAGTTAAGGTCTGAGCTGGATGACTTGGAGCTGAAGGAGCACACATTGGACCAGCAGAAGTTTTGGGTGGAGCAGAGCATAAGGAACACAGCTGAAGACTTGAGCCAATATCCTTTTTCAAATCCTGGAAAAAAGTGCAGAATTGTTGCCGGGCTGGACAATGTACTGTATACACTATACCATATGGACGGGCCTGAAAAAAAAAGCATTTTTCATTATATTTGGCAGTTAAAGGTCCCATAAATGTAAAGCAGTTATTGAGATGACTGCCATACAGTCTTGCTACCTTCATAACTCTGGGGATTTCTCTTTTAAAACGATACAGTGTTTTAATTATACCTTAACTCAAATTAACTCTAACCTATGTCAATCATGAGGATATCTGCAACTGCTTCAATGGTAATTTAAATTTTTCTTACTTTGTGACTGGTTACTCTTGTGTTAAGCATAATTTTGATTTGGATGAAAAGTTTAAGTGGAAGGGAAGCCAAATTCATACAAGTGAAATACACATCAAAAACCTGTTTTTGATGATTCTTCAGCATGCCTTCCTTCCTACTGTTCTTGAGCTGGTAACTCACAGATCCAAAGGTTTAAATTATGATCTTTCAGAAGTTGTAAATGTAAATTTACATGATGATATGTTGTACACCAGAAACATATAATGGCCATACATGTCATTGGTTTTCCTTGATGTGTTTCCACTAGCCTCAAAAGATCCAGTATTGCTGATGTGTTAAAACTCTTACTTAGGACCAGGAGGGATGTAAATTGTTAAAAAAAAACAAAGTAGATTGCAGTTTCTTATTAGCCAATACTGTAACAAGTAAAACTGCTACAGTTTGTCCAGAACCTTTAAAGGGATACTTCAGTATTTTTCAGGGTGGGGTTGTATGAGGTGTATGTTAGTAAGTGTGTTTACTGCATGGGAATGAAAGTCAGATTGAGAAAGTAGCATGAGAACCAGACCAGAAGCTAAGCGAACAGGTAATTTAATCAAAGTACCATCCTTAGTATATATCTGCACTACTGTTTCTTCAATACTCAGGAGTTTATTATGATGATCTAGAAAGCAAACAGTGAAACAGCTTTCTTAATAAATGGCATCCTCTGTGGGTGCCATTTATCAGACACCTCATCATACAACCCTGCTTCTTTTTTAGCTGTACCAATAAACCAAAACTGCCATGTGATGAAGGGCTTTTACTGTTTTTCTCTTACAGGTCAGACTCTTCTGGCAGTCGAACCACCACAGGGCACACAGCTTGACATTCCTATTCCAAAAGCTGTAAGTATCCTTTCAAAAAATACTTCAGCTTTTGTTGAAATCTCCACTTCAGATGAAGAGTATACACCCTTTTTCAGGTACTTAACGGCCCAGTAAGATACCAGATTCATCTGAAAAGCATCAATGGACCAATCGATGTGGTAATTCTGAACAAGAGCTCTGCGAGCTCAGTACCTCTGGTGCTGCCAGTCCCACCGCCAGAGGAAATCTTGCAGCGAGCCAAATCCTTGATGTCAGATGAGCCAGACAGCAACAATTTAATTTGCCAGGCTTCCGATAATGCGCAACATAAAGCCAAACCCAGATGGCCGGCAAAGGAAGACTTTAGGCTCCTTTTATTATCATCACTTTTGAAAGATGAACCTGAATCTGGAAGTGAGTATTACTTTGTACAATTTTTTGTTTATTTTTTAACGGTGTACAATTCAAACAAAAAAAAAACCCCAGACATCTCTGAACTGGAGACATAACTGCCTAAATCAACAGGTTAAATGTGGCGCAAGTTCATTTTAGTTTTTAAAATTAGTCAAGTTGTAATAATCAAGTGTTATTTAAAAACTTAGTTTTAACACTAAGTTTACTAGCTTTTTGAAATCAACCAGTCTTAACCCGAATCTAGACAAAGATAATCTAGGTACTAATTTTTCGTCTTTGAAAGGTAAAAGCCTTTTTTTCAGCTTTATTTCGTGCTGTTCACACAATAATGTATCAAGGGTCTCTTTTTTTAATAGTATTTAATTCCCTCATACTATTTTTTTTCCAGCACAATTTTTATCAAAAGAGCTGGGAAAACTGCTCCATCTGAAAAAAGGTAGGTCTCCTGTTACATTGTTTGTCTCAAAATAATTGATGTCCTTTAATTCTTTATTTATTTAAAGTATGTCCTCTCCTTTAGAAAAACTGACAGAAAAGGTTTTTACTGAGCTAACAACTTCTTAAGGTAAGCACGCATCATTCTCTGACTTTATACATATATTAACTATATTTGTCATGTCCAGGTAACTGGGGAACAGCTATTAACTGTGTGTTTACTTTGCTGATTTTAGCTCCTCCCACTCACCTGTCTCCACCCACACCTGGACGGGACTACCAAAGCTGCTCTGACCTTTTTGACATCCCGATGCTTAACGTGTGAACATGAACTCTAGGACTTACAAAGTAAACATTCTTACCCAGGAAATGTACATAGTAGTCTGTTTTTAAATAGTTATTTGATCATAACAAATAAAAATCAAATGATTTTGAATTTGGTGTCCATCTCATTTATCTGGTAATTGGTCAAACACATTGTAATATAATACAGTCCAACAAAACACCATGAAGTAAAGCCTCATTGCCAAAGTAAGACCATTTTCAAGACTGGACTTTTATATAGATATATGTTTTTTTAATGAAAATTACGAATTATTAAGTGCAGCATCACAGCTTTTGAAACATACTTGCTGTGGTTTAGACCAGTGGTTCTCAAGTCCAGTCCTCGAGGCCCACTGTCCTGCATGTTTTGATGTTTCCCTGCTCCAACACACCTGATTCAAATGAGTAGCTCGTTATCAAGCCATTACAGAGCTTGATAACGAGCTGATCATTTGAATCAGGTGTGTTGTACAGGGAAACATCCAAAACATGCAGGACTGGACTTGAGAACTACTGGTCTAAACCAAATTAATGTACAATAAGAAATTATGGCCTGATGGTGGTGCCAGAGGACGGGTATGGCAGCATTTCAATCATCAGGAGCAATTCTCTGGGAAGTGTGACAAACAATCCTTAGGTGACATATTGAACGTACTCACCTACAAATCAAAAATTTTAGTTGGTTTCACTTTTTGTTCACCAGGAATTAATTTTTTTATCAAGGCATGCACCTGCAGAAACAAACCACCAGAGTGAGGGCTTCAAGTACTGAAATAAACAAAGAAATGATATTGCTTAATTTTGCGGTCTAGAGATTGTTGAGGTTCAGTTAGTCAGGTACAAGGACTGGTAAAAGTTTAGTTTTAGTTATTGTATCTTGGGTTAGATAATGATGTTAAACCATATAGCTGAAATTCATGTCGTATCTGCCTCGTATTTAGCTTCAAACAAGCCACCCTTTCTTGTTTATTCTTGATCAAACCTCTGTAGATTTTAATTATGTTGTTTGTAATTGAGAGATAGTTGCAGAGGTAAAAGTTGGATTAAACCCAAACATTTCAATCTCAACAGCTAGTTTCTCCAGCTGATTTCTTCCAGCATGGGTTTCCTGCTGAGAGAGGAGGGCCGAATGAGGAAGCTCAGGTTTCTCATTGAATATTCCCGTGGTGAATCGAGCCCTGCTGCACTGAGTGATCGCTGTTCCCTGTGGTATCAATAATACAGGGGGAAGTTATTGTCCCTGTGCAGGCCATAGTATCATACAGCTAAAGCAAGTGGAGGGGGGAGGAGGTCCTTTCACTCAGCCCTCTTGGGTTTCAGGGCCTGTAGACAGGGGTCTGACTCTGGGGAACCGGCTGCTGCGCCCTTGCACAGGGCTCAATTGTGTGTCTGCTTGACCGAGGGATAAATGTGTCCAAACAGTGACAGCCTGCACAGTCCTGCTGGCCTGGTCCTGTTGGTAAGTCTACACTCCAAAACAAACCCTGAGCTGTGAGATGAGTCCCAGCTGACAGACAGCTCAATGGGGAAGTAGTTAGTGGGAGATATCTGACAGTTTGAGGATGGGATAGATATCCTGGGTGTGATCAACATGATCCAGATTTTCACCTTGCTTGAGCACCTAGCTGAGTAATGCCTCTTTCCTGTAGCCTCCTGATGCTCCAAAATACTGACCCGGGAACTTGATTAACATATGTAGATCCAAAATTCAAACTGCGACTAAAAGGCTGAGACACAAGTCTTGTTTCTAGAGCTTATGTTCACCAAAGTCTAAACCTATTACCCTTTCCTTTTATTCCTTCTTGCTGGTGGAAAGCAGCCAACTATAAAACTGTTGCATGTAAAGAAAACTCTTGAAATATGAAGCCAAACATTAACCCTAAACTCCAGGGTCCGAAAGTGCTCCAATCAGCTAAAAGAGAACATAGAGAAAGACGGGGACGCAGGTGGGAGGGGTGCACGAGGACAGAGTGAGAGGTAAAGGAGTCCGAGTGATAGTGAGACAGAGAGTGGCACATAGAAAGAGGTCAGCGCCGAGCATGTTTGTACCGCTGAGTTAGAGATGCTGACAAAAGCCTCAGGATATTCAAGGACATTTAAGAAAATGAACAGAGTTTATCTGGTGGTGAGTGTCTTGTTTTCTAAAATTTTCATTATGATTGGGGGATTATTGATCATTTAAATGCATCAAAAGCATTAAAGGGCAGATATATTCTTATTCTGGACAAACCATTAGAGGTGTTTATGAAGAAAATACTGTTAAATATTTTTAGTAAGGATCTTTAGTATCCTTAACTTTAGTTACTTTTTAAACATCACATAAACAGTAAAGTGACCTTTAAGACTTCATACTCTTATACTTAACAAAGCTTCTCTTAGTTGAGTTCATTACCACGTCTTGTTTTAGTAAACATGCAGTGAAAGTGGGAAGGTTAGTCTCTGGTCATTAAGGTTTAATATGTCCTCTCCCCTGAGATACTTAACTCTGTGAGTCTTGCTCATTACCGTAAATTAAAAAGCTGCATCTGCTTTAACACAGGGTTTCATGAAGTGAAGAAAATAACACCTCAGAGAAAAAGATGTGACAGCATTGTGTCACCGTGTGTGCGAACATAAGATGAAGACAGCCAAGATGGCTACACTGAGAATAACGAGCATCATAGTTTGTGCTGTTTTACTGGGACAAGGATGGTCTGAGAAGACAGGTGAGTGCTACTCTCAAGTACAATGCCAGTTACATTATTTGTGTGTTTTAATACATGTCTTTATGTGTGATGCCAGCTCAAGCTTTCTCTGATGGAAATCTTTCAGGAGGTAGTAAAGAGGACCAGAGAGATGCCATCCTTAAAGAGATTATTTCAAAATGGAGCACAGGGAGTGGTTGGAGTCCTCAAAAAGCTACCCCAGAATCAGAGAAGGACCAGTCTGTGCACCCTTGGGTGAGGAACATCATGGGAAGCCTGGGAAGTTTATTTCCAAACAAGAAACTCCCCTCTCTGAACAAACCACTTGACAGGCACCGTCTCTCTAGCTTCCTCTATAACATCTCTCTGTACCTCCAAGAGATGGGTGCTGAGCTGGAGGAGGCTCCTTCAGAGATGGATGAGGAGCAGCTCTGGGAGAAGGTACTGCAGTTCTTTCTCCAGGCTGAGGGGAGTGCTACAATGAACCAGTGGAATGGAAAGGTGCCACCTCGGCCCAGTGTCAAGGTGCAGGACTGGTTTTTGTCCCTACGGGGCAGCCCTCACTGGGACTGGCTACTGGGGCTGCTGCAGAGTCTGATCACTCTGACAGAGCGACAGCCCTACAAGCCTCTTCTGACTTATTTATCCCAGAACTGGAGGACAGTGAGTGCTGTGTTAGAGGCTGCTCTTCAGGCTCTGGTCAGTGGAACCTATGGCCAGGCCAGTGCCGGCCTGCAGGGCTTCATCTGTGCGCTAAAGGGCCGTAGTGACTGTGCTTTCAGTGTCAGCTGGCTCCAGCAGCTGCTGCGTTTTCTAGAAACACGTAACTGGAAGCCTGTGGTCAGTCTACACCCAGCAGGGGAAAGTGCTGAACACGTCAAAAGCTCAAGTGCATTTGGACGATTGAAACCCTTCAGCCTGCCTCCTGAGGCCATAAGGAAGGATGCAATGACTGGAAATGCTTCTTTTGAAGACACAATGGCCACAGAGGATGATCCAGACTCGGTGCAAAGCTTTCTGCTGCAGGCGTTGTCCCGTTCAGGTGGAGGAGAACGAGGGGGGCACATGGCGCAGAAAAATCTAGCGCTGGTACAGAGTTTGGATGGGCTGAGGAGGGGTCTCCTGCACAGGGTGGGGAGTTCTGTCTATGGCAACCTAAGGAGAAAAGTTTCACAAGCTACCATGGCGCTGCTTGATGACGTCAGCAGCTTGGTGGACGTGCCACAGCCCAACGCCCACGGTCAGTGCTCAATTGGTGAGTATGTGGAGCATCTGGTCTCAAACAAGAACTCATGGATAAAACTTTGCTAATATTAGTGCTCAGTGCTTTGATACATACAACCTGACGTGAAATCATTTCACACTCAAGTGAGTCTCCTCCAATTATTGCTCACATATAAGATGCTCCAGTATTTTGATGAGTTTACATTTAAAAATTGCAGCAGAGATATCACACATGTGCTGTTATCTCAACTCTGAATTATGAATTGTTCCGATCTTTATTACAAATCCTCTCTTGAGCCTCGGTTTGGCCCTGGTTTCACCTAAAAGAAACAAGGGAGACTATGACAGTGACTGACACTGCTTTACAATCTCTTATAATCATCCTGGCTGGTGAAAGCGGCTGTTGTTAGCTTGACTAATCCCTTTATCTGCCCACTGATGTCAGTAACATTATAACCTGAGCATTGTCTGTTGCGCTGAACTGTTACCTCAGGCATTGACATGTGCCTCTGAAACTTCCAGTGGTTTTTTTCCACAATCACTCACTCTGACTTTTTGTTCAAATGTTTTTTTTAATTTTATTTTAGGGGACCTGAGGCAATTGATCTTATGGTGAGATATTTTAGTTTGCCCAACTATTTGACTCTAATTTGCTGTTAAAACTAGATTCTCATTACTTCCATTTCTCCATCTGTGATGATAAAGGGGGATTCGTCACAATGTCACCTGGAACACCGAAGCTTTAGGTGTTGGGTCTCATGGTCTCCCAAGCTCTCTCCCATTCCTGTCCTGTCCCTCCACTGAGGGTGATGTACCAAGATCACAACAAACATCAGCACGCTCAGCTCCAAAACCAGACTCCTCTTCAAGAACAATCTCTAAACAAAAACGCCTTCATGAACCCTCAACTGTACCTCACCACTCCAAGCTCAACCAGTCACCAACAAGCAGAACTAGACAGAGCAACACCCAGCAGAAAGAGGTCGAGGATCCAACCTCTATTGAAATCCTGGAAGCAGCGTGTAATGAATCCATCCCAGGCCTGACTGGAGTCTCCAACTTCACAGTGTTCCTCTACTGTAAACTGTTTGACGGGGAGAACGGGTCAGTCAGCTCTGCCGTGGCTCAGATAGGGCTCGACCTGCACGCCACATGCTCTGATGCTGCTTGGTACCTGTCGGCTGCTGAGGAGGACTTCCTTTGGGTTCACGTCTGCAGTGAGTTCTTCGCCCAGGAATTTAATAACACAGTGTGTGCCAACTCTTCTTTCTGGCTGCAGAAAGCACATCAGGTACTCCATTTTTTTTTTTTGTAAGAAAATGATCTGGGAGGTTTTGGTGATTTATAAATGGTAAAATTGTTCCATCAGGGAAATCAGAATCAATCTGATATCATACTATGCCACCAATTAGCCCCCAAATTTAAAATGACAATGTTTTGAATGACACACACGTCTATGGAAGGAAAAATGGTTTTGCATGACTCCTGATCCATGGCATCAGAGAGGTTTGAGGATATGCTGTGTCTGTCATGTTTCATGAGTTCTGATTAGTCTTGGCGTCAGCCCCTGATGGCAGCACTCGTAACACACTTTGACACATCTCTCATAAATTGGCAGAGCATTGGAGCTTACTGTTGATTAAAAATGATACAAAAAAATTGATATAATCAAGTAGATCATATGAACAGGTCAACCATAAAGCTGGCCCTTTACAGATTGTAAGTGACAGCAAAGGAATTTAGCCAAACAGCTGCTCTTAGTGCTGGAAAAACAAGCTAGTATTGAAGTGCAAAACTCTGCAGTTCCTCAAATGTCCACTCGAGGCTGCCAGGACTGTCCCATCAACCCTTATGTTTAATTTACAGCAAGATTAGATTAGTTTACAGCATTGTGCAAAAAAAAACTCATCATTTTTTAAGCTACGACAGCAAAGGGTTGTGCATACACTAGCATAATGGACAGGTAACTTATGGATTTCTTAGTTGTTTAAAAGTTGGCTGAGTCAGCACTGCTATCCCTCATCACCTTGCAGAGCATTATAGTTGCCTACAGAGTATCTAATCAAGAGATAATACTGAGGGAGGAAGGGCACCCATGAGACAGATCTAAATGAATAGCCAACATGAATAGCAGCTTGTGGTACCTGAGAGAACAGCCATTATGAACTCGGTTACAAATTGCAAATGTATTTGTGAATTTGTTTTTTAACGAGCAGGTCTTTTCCTCTGCTTATTAAATGATTGTGATTTTGATATTTGCAGGCTGCATTGACAAAGGACTACCATTTTTTCAACCAAACAAGTATAGATGATTTGTGCATACACCTGTCAGGTGAGGCCATAGGAAGCCAAGGACCCGGTGAGAACTGTGTGGCTCAGCTGGGCAGCAGGATGCTCACTGCGCAGACTTTCAGACACTGTTTTCTACCCAACAACTCTGTCTTAATATCAGCCCTGTGTGGGAGAGATTCCCCTGACGCACAACAGTCCTTACCGGAGGGAAGCTGGGCGGCTGCATACTGCTCCAAAATACACAACTACTCCCATGCTGACTCTTTTGAGGAGTCTTGTCAATATAAGGAATGGGCTGTGCATCATTTCACCAACTCCACCCTCCTGGAGCTCTGTGGGCAAACACAGGGTTTGAGGGAGTACATCTGTCTAAACACCACACTCTACAGTGAGCTGTCAAAATCAGTGCCGCAGTTTGCTGATCTCTGTGCTGACCTGCAGGCAGAAGTAGAGGAAAGGAAGTGTGTCCTGCAGAGATTTTTCGACATACTCCCAGCAAGGTATGAGTTTGACACATCCCAGCTGTGTGTGGACCCGGCTCCACTGCTGGTCGACGTTCTGCACAAGCTGAGTGTGTGTGAGGTTCAGGGAGGGGAACGAGAGGGCTTCTTGTTGGCACTAGGGTATGTGTTTCGTGTTCTGGACATTATGGTGGGGCTCTCCTCAGGCTTGGACGAGGGGGAGAGAGAGGCAAGACAAGGTTTGGGTCAGGCCATTCTTCTCTCCAGCCTCCTTGACAACACATCTTGGGCAGAACTGCAGCCAGAGGCCTCTATGAGTGTCCTTCACACCGTCGGAGTCTTCCTCCGTAGGGAGCAAAATGCCACGCTGAAAGAGGACCTGTTGAGCTGCTTCAGTGTAAGATAGCCTTCTCTCTCTCTCTCTCTCTCTCTCTCTCTCTCTCTCTCTCTCACACACACACACACACGCACACACACACCAGAGCGAATTGTGAATTACTTGTCCTGCTGTTTCACCAGCCTGTCTTGTGGGACCTCATCCAGCGAGACAACAACTCCTCTGCTCTGAGGGTTCTGCTGCAGGTATTGGCCTGTGCTGCAACAATAATCACATTTAACTTTCATACTAGACTCTATACTCTTACTTTATGTCATCAGGAGTACCTACAAATGCCAAGAGACAGCATTCGCACTCTTGTGATGTCTGCTGAAAAAGATGCTGTAAAGAGATTCATCTCCCATATGCATCAAAGCTGGGACCAGTTAAAAGTTGAAACCGGCCAGGTTTGTTTGTACTTTCTCAACAAATAACTAATGTAGAGACATCTATCATGAAGCTATTTGTAATATTACAAAACAGAAATATACACAAAATACAGCTCTGATGACTTTTATTTTGCTATTGTACTCTCCTCCTCTGTATCCATATATCACCCCAGTCTCTCTCTCTCTATCTCTCTCTTTTTTTCAGGCCTCCCAAAAGGAGCTGCAGGCCATGGAAACAATGACTGCTGCTTTCATCCATAAGTTCCCTCGAGTGACCCCAGAGCTGTTTGTGGACATGTCTCAGTTCATCCCCTTTATGTCTGTGTCTGATATCATGAGTTTCCCAGCTTCCCTGATCGTCAACGACACAGTGTGAGTTACCAGTCAAGGACTTATTTCACATAGTTTATGTCTTCATGTTACAGCTTGTCTGTGGCTTTGGACTAAAGCATCAGCTGATTGAAACTGTAACTCTCTCTGTAACAGAGTCGCTTCTGTGTTTCTCTTCAGACTGACAGCCATTCGTGACCACAGCTCAGGGATGAAGTCGCTGCAGAAACTGGCATTTGTGAAAAGACTCCTCCAGTCCAGTGTTGTGGGTGATGTTCCTTCATGGCCACCGTACTTTCTCACATCCATCCTTCCACTTCTGCCTTACCTTCCAGTCAGCCATTTTCAGCAACTGACCTCACAACAGGTGAGATCCTGTCACACTTACAAAGGTTTTACACGGCTTTAGCATCTCTTTCCTAGATGTTAATCATCCCACATGGGGTCAGACAGTTACTGAAGACAGTGAGTAAGGTCCTTAGTGCAGCTTTGGCAAGTCAAAGGGGATGTTACATGTATAAACAGTCTACCGAATGGTTTCAACATCAAAACTGACTCCATAGAAATAGTCTCTCCTCTTGTTAAGGGTCTTTTTTTGTCTTTTTAGGCCACAAAGCGACTTCAACATCAATTCCAGCTCATTCATTGTCTGCTAAAAACTTTTTACCAGAGCTTTAAGATGGTTGGAGTGTAAAAAAACGTTTGAAACTAAAGTTACTTTATTGGAGCTCAATCAAGAACTTTCTGTCACCAGCCTACACTTAGTCATCACCTGAGACACTTTTTGTTGTTTTCGCCTTGTCATCTGTCTGTGTAAATTTTACCTCTAGCCTTTTTCTGTCACCCCTTTTAGCTCATTCCTCTTCTAGAGCTGCTAGGCAACAGCAGTCTGGATGGTGTACGGGGCCGCCATATGCTCCGAACTCTTTTCAGCAAGAAGAAGAACTTAACAAGTGACGGCTTACTGAGGTGGGTTCCCCACTTCTGTTGATCTGGCACCCTTTTAAGTTATTTTTGAGGCACTTTTGTCTTTGTTGGATAGGACAGTTGGCAGGAGATGGAAAATGTGGGAGCAGAGAAGGGAATAACATGCAGGAAGGGGTGGTGGCTGGGAATCGACTCACCCTGATCCTTCACTCTTGATTGCTTTTTGGCTATTGTAATGTCTGTAAATGAGTACAATAAAGTTTCCCTGTCAGACCTGACACAGGTGCTGCATCAGTTGACATTTCTCTCTAAGTTATTCATCCCGTACTCCTCTCATGTTCCTCATTTGAAGCAATGTGACAGACGTTGTCTTCTTTTTTTAGATTAGGAGTCCTTGTGTGCTACCTGGATCCAGAGGATCTGACTACATTTCTTCAGAACTCACCTGTGTCCCCAGCGCTCTGGCAGCAGCTGGCACAATGCATGTCCAAAGGCTTCATCAGCTCCAGTGGCAGGGTAACACACACACATCTCTACAGAAAGAGTTCACACTCAGGTACAGTTTTATTAAGGCTTGATCTGTTTACCTGTGTTTTATGGTCAGATGTCTTCTTGGTTGATACAAGCCATTCAGACCATCAACATCAGCAGCGTGGGTCCTTCAGAGCTGCCAGCCCTCAGGGCTCTTCTACCTCAGTTGGGGGCCTCCTTCCTGCTGTCACTCCCCTCACAACAACTCTTAGACATCCTCACACAGCCAGGACTTCACAGATATTCACCAGCACAGGTCAGTGGGGAATTAATTCTTTGTGGACTTTTCTTTAAACTTCTCTTCAGTGAAGGTGTCAAGTTTTCTCAAGTATTTTAAAGTATTCAGTAATTTCTCATCCCTGCCATAGCTCTTAATTTTAGCTTTAAATTCTCAGAATTTTGTCTGAAAATGTCAAGGTACTCATCAGTCTTTTCTCTAATGAGGAGAAAGTAAATTGCACCAACTCTTATCAGAAAAGAAAAGTTAGCCTTGTCCCTCACATGTACTGCAGGGTTTTTAATTGTGGTTTTATGTTGAATTCCTCTCCACATTTCTAGAGGCAAGAAGATAATTAACACTGTCAAAATGTTTAACCTCTATCCACATGTAGTGCAACTGTTGAGTATTTTTCACACTCACTCTCCTGTTCATTTTGGAAAACTTTCCTCAGGCTTTTCAAATGCTGTCCAAGATTTCAAAGGACATCCCTGTAAGTAAATCATTTTAATTTGATTTGTCTGATCTCAGCCAACTTCCCTTTCATCACAGTGTTTCTCTCTCTCCCCTGTCAGCTCAGCATGGAAAAACTTTGCAGGCTGAAGCCGTTACACGGTGGCCTCTCCCCTGCTGTGCTCTCAGACCTCCAGGGGACTGAGATCATGGAGGCTGCCCATTGCCCGTGTGTGAGATCACTGCTGACTGAGCTTAAGCCGGGCCACAGAGCTATACTCTACAGTGCAATGCAGGAGGTGATGGTGCTACTGTCTTTCCTCACTTCATCATTTATTACACTTCTTATCTTTCCATCACATCTTATCATTTTTTCTGATATACTGTGTCGTCATGTCTTGAATAAACAGATCAGAGGTAGACAGGTTTAAAAGAATTAAATATCACGGTTCATATTATTCTCACAGGTTGTTGAAAGTCCAAACATTTCCTAAAATTAACTGATAAAGTAAGAATGAAACATAAAACATTGGCCCAAGAAACATGAATCTGATTTCTCTCAAATGTTCATTGAAACCACATGTGTAAAACTTGCTTTGTGTGTTTTATAATTGGTTTAAAGCATATCATGTTTGACTGTGCAATGCATCTTTGGCTTTTGTTTTGTATCGACAGGCCTTACAAAGAGACGAGCAGAACATCACCCAGCAGGTAAACTGTCTGTCACCATTTGTCCCTCTGAGGAAGCTGTCAGAAACTGTAACTGGTGAAACAATCCTGAGAGATATCAGCCTCTACAGAGACATCCTCTGGTCACCACAACAGGTGATCATTTAACCTCATTCAACCTTTGTGTCTGATGTTTAACATTGTATTGCTATGATAACAATAGATCTGAAGTTCTCTGACTCGAGGAGCAAATGCCACCAGCCCTGGTCCCATTAATCTGTAACTCATTGGACATGCTTCAGAAGATGCTTTCAGGATATTAATACTCCATACGCATCAGCCACCATCAGGCTAATTAGTTTGGATGTAGTACAATGGTGTGGAGGAGTGTAGCATAAATTAATAATGGTTACCTTTGAGGGATTTTGTCACAGCCAAGGGTGTATTTCAGCCCCTGTTCTCAGTCTAATAAAACCTGTGTAAAATCAATAGACTTGGCTCGTCAGTGAGAAGCTACCCTTAAATATGATGTGATGCTGAACATCAGACCTTATTATATTTAGTTAACCCTTCAGTTGAATGAATTATACTCTCAATCTCTTGATTTGTGTGATAATTTCTTAAAGACAGACAGAAAGTTACATTGGAAATGAATGCCATTGGCTCTGAAAGCAACCATCAGAATTGTTGTAGTTTACAAAATTGGGTCAAGATACATCATTGATAACAAATTAGTATTGCATAAAAAATAAAGTTTAGTTCTTTTTAATTTGGTTTAATAAGTAGTTCAACTGCTCAGAATTTATATGAATTCTGGAGCTTAAATATTCATTAAACTCACCTCAAAAGGAAAAGGTTAAATGAAACAAACGTAACCATTTTGCTTTGTTTTAATCTTAAAGTTAAAATGAAAAGGGTTTATTCTTCATGAAATATTGAGGTAGTGGCCTTTTCCTACTATCAAAGGCAGGATAATCTGATCAGCGTGAAAACACAAACCATGACTATCCATCTTGACACACAGCAATAAAATCAGCTTTTTGAAGCATTTTGAAAATGTCTTGCTTTAGCCCCCAGAGTGAGACCTGATATCTGAAAGCAACATTGAACCTAATCCCCTTCAAGCATCAAACACCAGTGATTTAAGTTCCAGCTTTCACAGTCTGTAGTTGTGTCCTTTACAAATATCAGCTGTAAATTCAACTTGTGTTGAAGGGATTCTATCAGTTAGAAAGATTTATCAGGCAATGACTCGGCAAAGAAAAACATCCTGGAAATCAAATCTTCCTTTGTTTGCTCATTATGAGCTATGTCTTATTTTTATATTCAAATATGACCACATGTGGTTTCAGTTCATGGTGCTGGTTAATTGGTTGGAATTGGTGAGTAATACTTTCTGGAGGCCTATCTCATTTCTTTAATGGCTCTCAACTATAAGGATTTTTTTTTACCTGCAACCACCAGGAAACATCAATTTGTTTAGGCGAGATTGATTTTTGAACCATTTTTCCATGTCAGGATAAAAACTGTCTCACAGTTGGTCCTAGCTTTCATGATTTTAGGGGCTGGGAATTCAGATTAGACAAATGTACCCACTACAACTGATTAAAGCTTTATCGATCAAAATTTTAGGTAAGGTGAGATGATGAGTCTGACTTTTTTTATTTCCTGCTCAGGCTCAAGTCTTATTCAAAAAGATCAACAAATTTAAAAACGTTTCAAGCAGCATGGTCAGGTAAGTTGGACATATTATTTCCTGAAAACCTGATTAAACAACATGCACTTATCAAAATACTAACACACACTCAGATCCAGAGACAGTAATTTTTACAGAGCTATACCTTTCTTTTTCATAAAGGAATCTGGGTCATATTGCCAGTGGAATGAGTTGTGATTTGCTAAGGCTTTGGCGGAACAATACAGACTTTGAAGAGCTGCTTCAGTTTATTACTGAGCTGCCTGGATCTATAAGACCTGCCCTGGTGAGAAACCAACACTACAGCCTCGCTTATCATGTGTATCACAGTGGCTGCTTTGCATCACAGATTAATTTGTTTGTTGTTTTATGTGCTTGGAAAAATATAGACTGACAAATTCTAACAAGTTCAGGTGTGTTTTGGCTGTTTTACCAGCGGAGATGTATTGTAGAAGAACTGAGGGCACGTCCTGATCTTGACCCTAGCACTTTAGGCTCTGGGTTTGCTGCAACATTACCGTTAAGTATATTCAAATTAAAACATAATATTGATCTTTTTATTATTATTTACAGTTTATAAAATGATTTACACCACTGTTTTGTTTTTTCCAGAGTGACGATGCTAGAGAACATATCTAATGCATCCTTCAGAGCCATCCTGGACTACATTCAGGCTAACTTTGCTGATTTTCTCAGACTGCCACATTACAAGCAGACAAATTTAGCAGAGAAAGTCGTCTCTGAGCTGGTAAGATACTAACATACTAATTCTGAATTTAGTGCTTGACGCATTTCTATATGCTTGATGTAGAAAGTGTTACCTGTTTCTGAAAGTTAAACAGAAATTCAAAAGTAACCCCTAGATAAGTAGCCCCACACAAATACCTTTTAATAGCACGCTACAGCCAATAGATGCTATTTCTGCTCAGAATAAATCAGGGCGTGCGTCAGTGAGGCTGAGTCATGTATTTGATTAGTATGAGCCATGTCACAGTACAAAAAGAGCAAACTCCTTTGTTTCCGGCTTCTCAAGCAAACACAGACAAGAGAAAACTGATGGAAAATTCCTCTTCTCAGCTTTGTACCAAATCGAAGTCATATCAGTGTGAAATCCTTGTAATCCAGGGTTTATTCTGACTGTATGTGGTGGTCTGCTGGGCTCTTCTCAGGCTGCAGATGAAATTGATGGCACCGTGCTGGACATTCTGGGGCCTTTGCTGCCTTTCTTGGACAGAGACAGTTTGGCTCTGGTGGACAGAGGAGCTCTGGCTCTGCGGCTCGAGGAGATGAGAGATTTTTGTCTTCCTAAAGAGGCCTTGAGAGATATAAGTGCCCTTCTCACTCAGAGAGACATGCTTGGGTAAATATCTGGTAGGGATCACACAAGGTGCACATGGGATCAAAAATATAGCAAAGGTTATTTTTTAAACCAAGGGTGTCATTAGGTACTCAGGTTTAAGCTAAATATACAGCAGATTTAGAAAATCACTCTAAAAAGATGTATTATTTATTTACAACAGGTTTTTAAAAATTTTTTTTAGTCACTTATAAATCCAACAGACATCTACAAAGCCAAGTGATCATGCAGTATCAAGGCAAAATGAGTGATGGAATCTAAAATGTGTTATATATTCTAAGTATATTAGTATGCTTATATTTGACTATAAACCAACAACTACAGCTGACGCTAACAGTTCAGTTAGCAGCAAGTCTTGAGTCAAACTGATAAATTAAATCTTCTGTCCAGTGTTTGGACAGAAAACCTAAAAGTATCAGAGTTATATAGAACATCTTACAGAGAATAGAGGTAACATTTGTGGGCAACAAGGGTGTTGAATTATAAAAAAATCACATATAGGAGAACACATTTTTTACTTAGAAATACTGTATGTTGTGATTCCTTTGCAGAATAAAAGGGATTGTGCAGAAAAGTTATTTTGAATGAGTTGGTACTTAGCAGAAGCCTGATTGAAATTAAGTTTGTGCTGCAGGACATGTTTTTTAATGAAACACTAGTGTTGGTAAAATGTATTTGCTTTTTGAAAGGGAACCATCCAAATGGCAGGTTGGAGATGTTGAACATTTGAGCAGGCTGGTGTTTTCTCTTTCAAATAAGCAGATTAACTCCATCCCACTGGTGAGCATCAGCAAACCTCAACCTTTGAAAAGAATGAATGCCACACTCTTGCTGGTTTTCTTAAATATGTCCTGACAAGCTGGCATATAAAATATGTGTTCCTCCTGTGTAGGCTGTGCTGAATAAAGACACGGTGGAGCAGGTCCTGATGGGTCAGAGTCACTGGGAGGACAGCATGGTTGGAAGAGTGTGCATTTCTCAGTGTATGGACAAGCATCGCCACAGAAGAAAGACTAACAGTCTCATTCGAGGGATTGTCAAAGCTCAGAGCAGGAGAGCCAAAGGTTTAGTGCTGTGTCTGATACATTTTATTTCTACCTGCTGGTTTGTGCTGGTGGTGTGCCTCACCGCTAATCTGCACAGTAGATAGGGGTTGTATGAATGGTTTCTTTGAGTTTGGTTTGATATGACTTCTCTGGCCTCTCTTCAAGCAGTGCCCGTTCCTAGCTGTGCAGACATCAGGGGAACGTTTCCTTCGGCTTGGACATCTACCCAGTTCAGCCGTATGTCACAGGAGGATCTTAAACAGTGTACTGAAATCTTTGCCCAAGACGCCTCATTAAGCCCTGAGCAGCGACGAGCACTTTGGATTAAACTCAGGCAGGTTGGTAGCTCAGACTGCAAAATACCACAAAAAAATTCAGCTTAAGGTTGTTCATACTTTCTGTTAAATGCAGCATGGCCTCCCATATGAAATGTTCAAACTGCATGTAAAATGTGTTATCCCTGTTTTCAGGACTTGATTGTCTGTTAGAGCGCTTGTTTATTTTTAAAGCTGTGAGATGTAAGATTGGGAATAGAAAATAAGAGTAAGAGATATGCAGTATCTGTTTTTGACAGCTCACTAAAACATGAGTAGTTTTTTTACATTATCATCAACTGTAGTTGAAACATGGTCTTGTATTTCCTTTCATTTAATCCAGTTCTACAGTCCAATGAGAGAGCTGAGAGCGGATCAGGTGCTGGCTTTGGGCTCGGTGGTGACTGAGATGGGGGAAAGAGAGCTCCAAGAGGCAAATCTAACTGATCTGGGTGTCCTGACACATCTAGGGACTCTGACAGAATGGAGCCCTAAAAAGGTCAACTTCAGTGTTTTATTGGGTGTAATAATGCACAGCAATACGAGAGTTAATTATTTAACATGTCTATTAGTGTCACTGTATTTCTATTTGTTATTTTCAGATGAGAGCAGTGGTTTTGGGTGCAATGCGGAAACAGAAACAGAAAGTCGAACAGTTAACAGCAGTAGATCTTGCAACATTAGGTCATCTGATCTGTGGTCTGTATCCCTCGGAGATCAAAAGGTTGAGTCCTTACAACCTCAGGTCAGTCAAAGTCCTCTTGTGTGTTAACTGAGTCTCCACTTAGTATAACTGCACTAACAGTAAAAAGCAATATGGGGAGGCTCATAGTTTAATAGACTGTGTTTAAATCAACACAGGAATGATCATAAAGAGGTGCTCAAACACTTCACACAAGGTCATACAATATGCCAGTAGAGCATTAATAACATTTTTATGATATCAACTCAAAGACAAATGCAAACAGAGATGGATGTTTAAAATCATAGGGTTTTTAAATACTTTTTACAAGATAGTAAATACAATGTGTGCACACAAACAATAATTAGCTCTAATCATTAACAGCAAAACATCGATTCAGCCACCATCACCTTGACAGAGTCACTCTCCTTTGGCTTCTAAGAAATCAGCTAAAGTCACATCCACCCTCTAACAGATGTTAACCAACAGGCGGTTGGCACATCTCTTAGCTGCAGAAACCCCATGAAAATATTTTTGCATACCCTTAGAGGAGGATTGAGTCCTGGATCTTTCTCCTTAAACTGCAGCATGGCGGTCCTGTTCCTGCGGGAGATGTCCCTGCCGTGCACAGAACAGCAGATGGAGGTGTTGACAAGCCGTTTGTCCAGACCTGAGGCCTTCGGTCCAGTCAGTGCTTGGGGACCAGAAGTGTTCACTGAAATTGGGACATTGGCAGGTGCAGTAGAAAATAGTGTCCCTGAGGGTATAATGTTTTTTTTTTTTTTTTTTTTTTCAGATTGTTTTTGCTGAAATGGAGGAGGGGATGACAGCTTTTGGATGGATAGTTACAATTTGATACTTCCCTTGGGGCATGGAAGTTTGGGAAAACTTTTTCTGTGACTTGATATGAGAAACATTAATTATCTGACTGCAGTACTTGTGTCTCTGTCCAGTGGGTATGGAGGACATGGTGCTGTCATCTCTGATACAAGAACAAGTGGAGGGAATAACCCCTGAAGCCATTGCTGTGATGTCAAAGAAAAAGATGGCAGTGAGTTTTGACTTAAATACAATTATCTCTATTTATGGTGAACTATACAGGAAAGTTTGAGTCCAGTATAAATGCAGAGTCATTAAGTATTAGCACAGAATATTTAAATACATAATGCTTGAATAGTTGAGATACAACTATGAATAATTCATGTTGATGTAAATTAATGTTGATGTTGATACAACTGTATAGAAACTGCTGTTTATAACTTTATATAGCAGCTTCATGGTCCAAATTTGATACAAACAAGCCTTATTTGACAATGTCAGGACTCAATAGCATTATTTTAACTTTTAGTAACTCATGTGTTCATCATAATATTACAAATCAAAATGTCTGCTGTTGGGAAATAGGAGAAAAGTTTAAAACTGCCTTTTTTTAGTTAATCGTAAAATGAATTGTTTGGGTTTCATTATGACTTAAAGTGAATTTGAATAAGCAGGGAAGACATCTTCCGGAGAATTAAATAATGTTGAAGGATGATTGTTGGCTTGTCTGCTCATGTGTCTTTACTCTGAGCTGCTAAAAGTTGAGGACTGAGTACAGAATTTCATATATTGCCAGATAGGAGTTTAATAGATCAATAGTATTATTGGGGTGTAATATAAAACCATTAAAAGGGCATATCAAATTTTGTCTTCTCATTTTTACTCATTTTTTAGAAGACATATCAATGAAAAGTAACTGCATTACCATAGTTCACCTTGTTAAATGTTGAAAGCCACTAAGCTTTTTGGCTATCAAAATACTTCAAAATGTGTGACACAAGGATCTTTTGTCTATGACTGCACTGTGAGTCTGTATTTTTGTTGGGTGTATGTCTGAAAGGTGGTGTTCAGTGCTGTTCAGCTATCCTGGCTGAGTGCTGAGCAGGCTTGGGCTGTCACTAAAGAGCAGTGGGAAGAGCTGGACAGTGAACAGAGACATGCTGTTGGACTAGCTCGATACGAGGGAGATGTTTTGCTGGAGCTGAGAGGTGAGTGTGATAAAATTTCATTTTTATAACCCTCTTTACAATGGCTCTGTCGTGGTTGTTTTAATTAACTGAGAGAGAGTTTGGGAGCATGTATACTTTTATTATGGTTACACTTACTTCCTCTAACCAATTTGATTTTTATGTTGTGTTCATGAGGGAATAATAAATGCTTTGTTTGTCTATTACCACAGGAAGAAACTCTGTTCCAGCGGGCCTCAACACAGACAGCTTCTTTTTACACTCACTGCTGCTCTGCCTCTTATTATGGCAGCTAATTTAAAATGCTGGAAATAATTGAATCTGTGTCTGCACCTCCCTTGGTATCATCACATTTGTACTTAAATAAATATTTTGGACTGTTCTATCCCTTCTTGAGTTGTTCCTTTAATTAAAATCCCTCCAATTGTGCTCTGATTCAGCCTACATGTATCACTTTAATGTGAACTATTAGCCTGAAAATATGTAGATAAGTGCATGCAGTTACTTTTTTTGTAATGTGTTAATTTGATAACAGTCATGGAGTACTTTAAAAATATTATTACAGGATGTCAGATCTACTGAATAAAGAGCTTGAATCATTTTTCTTAGACTATAGACACTGGGGTTTGAAAAACATTGAAAATCATAAACATGTATCTTTAACTTCAGCACTAGCCTCAGACCTTAATGGAAATACTTGTCCCTCTGGAGTTTGCTACTTTCAATCATCTTCACTGCAGACTTAATGTATGAATTACCTCAAAAGACAGTAGCTTTGAATAGCTTTCCAGGAGCCTCATATTGAATATAAATGGGCATGATTAAGCTTTATGAAAAGCTTAAAATAGGTATGAAAGTATGCTTAACCGAAGTCAAGGTATAACAGCAGGATGATTTATTATGAAAATGATTCCCTTGGTTGTTTGACATGGGAGATGTGGTAGTAAAGAGTAAAACGATAGATCAAAATAACTGCTTGCCCGCTTCATTGAGAAGCCTGAAAAAATTCTTAAAAGCTCCTGGATACCTGGTCTTTTGTACTTTGGTAAACCATAATACAAAATATTTAAACTTCTGACTTCAGCTTTGAACAACTGAGTGAATCATCTGAGAAACCTTGAAAGTGATTTTTAGCCACCAGGTATGGACAAATTTACTGTAAAGTCAATTTTACAAATTAGGACGACAGAAGGAGAATATCTATCACAGGCAAACAGTGATCAGGTTGTCAAAGGCTATCTTCAAGGTGGGGTAGGCAGGATCTGAGGAAGTGCCAGTTTTGGGGAGAAATCTTGAATGTAAACACTACCCCTCCCAACCAGTTTTCCCCTCAACTCCTTCTCTCCCCTTCATCTCTACGTCAGCAAGCCCCGCCCACAAACAGACGCTCGTCCGCACTTGTATCGTCCCATTTAAATTCAGATATAATGCAGGTAAATACTTCATAATTACAAATGGAGCCCAGTCAACGTGAAAGTAACCAGCATTGGTGCTACTGTAGATGCCAACAGACTACCAGAAAACACAGTGTTTGCAGGACTTCTAAAACTAGGATTAAGTGACATACTCCAGGACCCGAGTTAAACAGAGCGCTACAACACACAGCAGGTCCTGTTTGACAAAAAACACTTGTGTTACAGACATTTAGCTTACTTTGTTAAAGCGGATTATCTGTCCAGCATAAAGGTTACAGGGTCCGTAAGATCCCAAAGCTTCCCCAATCATTGCTATTTTAGTTCTTGTCTGGGTGGTCTACCTCCTTTTTAAGTGCCTGTTATTCCGCCAGAGTCTCCGGTATTAAATTTGTTTTCTTGCTTGTGTCGGTGGTCGTGGCTAAAGGAGGATTCAGAAATTTTTTTGTAATTTCTGGTTGGTCTCTACTGTCCGATATTGTAGCATGCTAACTTTGTTTGGACTCCTGAACGACACGAGGGAGCAGCGTCTGCCTCACAACCAATCAGGATGGGGGAGGAGGGGAATGGCTTTGTTTACAGTCAGAAAGAGCGGAGTGCTCTAAAAATTTAAAATGTTGACTACACAGACATAACAAAAAACAGCGATATCATTATTTTACCAAATGTCATCAATGAATAATAGCTATTGACTGAAATAAAACGCTTTTTTGTATATACACCACAAAAAATGATGCTTCTTTAATGGAATCCTGCCTACCCTACCTTTAATACAAAATACAAAAAAAAAAAAAAAAAAAAAAAAAGAATGGATATACTACATTTCATCCAAATGAACAAAATCACCTTAGGGACAAGCAGATTATAGTGTTAATTTAGTTCCATATAACCAACTTTTTTTTTTACGCAACAGATGTGCAGTATTCTTCGTAAAAAAGAACCAGTCTAGCAGCTGCCAGCACAACCTTTTTATTTCGACGAGAGTGCAATGCAGCCTGCGGCCTGAAGGTGGAGATGTAGCAGCGCTGCTGGTCGGTAAGTAGGTGTTGCTCGAACGTCCCCACTTTGTCCGCGGCCGTGACGTATTTCCTGGGGCTTGTACGGACCACTCAGTGGTATACCAGAGGGGTATCATGACTATTTATAACCAGCAATTCTCGGTTATCAATTTTTCAGCCGCTACACCGTGCTGTCGTCGGTTGTAACGCCGCGGTTAGAGACAACAACACGCCGAGTGGAGCAGGATGTAAACGGAAGCGGGTAAGTTGTGCCGATTGTAAGTTTCCCGTCTGCTCCTATTTTTACTTGTTTGGGCTGCGTGGTTCGGCGAGTTTGCTGTGCTCTTGGTTTTGGTGCCACACGGGGACCCTGACACGGACCGGACAGGGCAGGAGAGGACGCCGTGTTGTCTTATCGACCCTGGTCTCTGTCAGTTTGTATGTGTGTGTCTGGTTGAAGGGGGTCTCGTCTCTCACACACACCGAGGTGACGTCGACTGCGCCGCGTCCGGTTTCTATGGTTGTTCCTGGGAAAACTGTGTGCTGGTTCGTGATCCACACTGCTCGGTGGGAATGAGTAGTAAAATGTGAGGTCGGAAATGCTTGTCAGGGGTTGATGAGAGGAGAGGAAAAGGGGGAGGCACCTGCGAGACGGAGCAGGTCGGTCAGCCTACCGTGGTGTCAAGTTTACGTTAATCACGATACACTTTCAGACGTTTTAGTCAAGCGGAGGAGTCATTATCAGATCAGCTCCAGCCACTGCCTCTCAGCCTCATAATGACTACGTGTTGTTGTCAAGGATTTGCCGTGTGAGGTGAGTCAACCCACCGCAAACTGAAAACGCTTCTCCGATCAGCTGATGTATTTAAACCTCTTAACTTTAGCTCATAAACATGAAAGTGCTGCAGGCCTGAGCGAGAGAAGTTTACCTCGTTACTGCTACAGATAATCTCGGGATCTTTCTGAAGCCCTGCATGAGTGCAGCTGCAGCTTTATAGACATCTCAGAGGAAACTTAACTTTTAACAGTATACTCTGCTGGGCTGTGGCATGTAGATTCCTGCAGCACTGAACTTTGTCACCAGAAGTGATCAATGCACATCTGCAAAACACAGCTGATGTTGCTGAGACAACTTTGTCCATCTCTTGCAAAGTTTGCGTCTGCTGGAATAACCCAGGGTGATAATGCAGCGTCTCTTTAGGGGGCCTCAGAATTTAATATGTAACTAAGCTGTCGCTGTTAAGGGTCCGGCTATTTGTGGCAAAAAAAGTGCTTTTGGTTGTGGGTAATTGTGTTGAATTTTGCGCACTGTAATTTTACCCTTAAGTTGGAGTCACTTATATTGGGGATATACGGTAAAGTACAGTGCTGTAGAGTCTTGTGCATGCAGAAAAGCGCTACAACCCATACACAAACTGCACATAGTCCTGAAAATAATTGTGTGTCAGACTTCTATTTGTGTCATGAACTAGCAACTTAAAGAAATGCACGCACTTGTCTTTATCTCAGAAAACAAAATGTATTAAGGTTGAATTCCAGTAACACAGTTTTGTTGGCATTGTTTCAGAAAGTCTTAGAAACTAGATAGGTAACAGTTCTCGGAAGAATGAAATGTACAAGGAAGTTAAAATAGATTACAAAAGTCACAAGTTATCAAGCCATAAAAATACAACTGAGAAATCTCTCAGACTTTTCAGTTTTCACTAGAAGCGTATTTGGAAAGATGACAGAAAAAACTTAAACTATGTTTGTTCATGATTACATAAATTCAAAAACAAAAAAAAAAAGGAGAAAGTATAATTTTTTTAGCCAAAAGGCAAAATGGTTAGAGCCCTCAAAATCAACTCATACAATTAAATCCTCCATACAAGAGGGCAACACTATGCAGACATACATGCCAACTGACAAGAGCTGCTTTTGTGTTCGTAAGCATCTTGAAGAAACTCACAGTTGTGCTAAGATCTGTATCAGCACAGTTCATATTCTCTTGAGGTGAATATTCCAGCATTTGTTTCCCTTTTTGTTACCTTATAAGTTTAAACCTGGGAATGATTTTACAAAACAATCTGAGTAAAAATAAAACATTGGAAATAATGAGAAAATCAGACATTTTCAAAGTCCCTCTGTAGAAAGATTAAAAGGTCATGACTTCTGCTTTGTTTCATGTATGTTATTCAGGCTGTAGTGAAAAACTTACATCATCTACAACCTTTTTTGACCCAATGCAGAGAGAATCTGCAAATCAAACAGTGCTGCTGTTTTTTTGTTATTTCTCTCTGCTGTAATTCAAAATCTTTCTTTGTACAGCAGCATTTTTGAAAACCTTGGAAAATTACCCTTAACACATTACTACACACTTGGGTTTAACGTTTGAAGTACTTGTTGCAACGTAGAAGACAGAAGCAGACATCTGGTGACACACACGTCCTTCCTGATGATAAGTCGGCTTCCTTGTAATTCCACTGCATGCGCATAAGAACACCAATGTATCGTACTAAAAAAAACATTCAAAGCAAAAGCTTGAGCACCCACAGATAAAGTAATCCTCTCATTTTTTTCATTTATTATTGGTAAACCAAAAATAAAGTAAAGCTATTTACCATCCTAAGAAGTACTGCCGCATTGCTTAAACTCTGTTGTTGTTGTTGTTAGTGTTGTAGGATTGCTTTATCTTGGCGTGCAGGAGTTTTGTTTGCTTTATGAACGATCTCCTGGAGCTTTTTTGGCTGCTATTTTTCACATTTTCATAAAAGCACCATACAGTATGGTTAGCATTCAAAATGTTTGTTTAGTGACTTATATCTGTATTTGTAAGAAGGCTTACCGTCATGCTGACTGATAAGATGTTGTTTGTCCAAGTGCATGAGCAGATAGCGCTTAAACCCTGTGTGCTCATTTGAGGGTAAACAGGACAAACATTGCAAACATAAAGGAGACCTTCAAGCTTCATTTAAAAAGTTAAAAAGTTAAGTTTTTGAACATCAGGTCACTGAGTAATTACACTTTTAAACATGTTGAATAAAAAGCTCTTCTCAGTAATTTAACTCGCTTAACCATTGACGGTAAAATCTTACATAACACGGCTCTGTGTTTCTGTGGTGGTAGTGCTGATGATGTACCTCCAAATAGTACTTGAGATAGTTACTCTGTACCAAACAGTGGTAGTTCACTGCCTGTTCAACAGTTGGCTACAGATTTAGTGAGGGTGATGTTCTTGAAAAAGCTGATAATGACAAACACACTCCCTGGTCTGGTGACAGCAAACAAAAAGTTTATTTGAAGGTTGATAATGGAGTATTTGTGAATTGACTTTATTTACCGCTGTTGTTTTTCTCATTCGCACAGTTTGACCTACACACACAGCTTGTCATTCTTCATCCCTCTGTGGGCTGTCTGAGTGTTTCTGCTCCGAGATTTTGATTTGATGTTTATCACAGTTTTGGAACAGGTGGTAAGAACTAGACATTTGTGTGTTGGATAAGTCTGTTTTGGCTAAATGTGTTTGATACCATCTCTACCTCATTAAGATGTAAAAAATAAACTGATGAGGTGAACACTGTTTCCTTTTTAAATTGCCCTGATGAGTTTGGTAATGAGGCTGATATTATCCTTTGGGTTAATGATACTTGGCTAATTATAATTTGGTGCAGTTTTTTTTCTATTATATCGTCTGTTATCACAGTCAGACATATGGTATCATTTACTATGGCACCGCTAAAGACCACTCACTGCGATAGGCTCGGCTTCTCCTTTGTCTCTTGGAACAGTTAAGTAGTTGGGCCACTATTACTCCATGGTATGTGGTTTTCACACTGACGTAAAAGAAACTGAGTGGTTGAGCCCCCAGATGAGGTCACAAAGCATCTGTACTTAAAGTCAGTGTGTGTCGAGAAGCCAAACACATGCTGGAACAGTCGCTCTGTGTACAAGTTGCAACAGAGGACAGAGTACACAGCTGAGTAAGTTTTCAACTTTATTTATCTAGCTTATCTATCTCCCCTTTTTACTTCGTTTTTATTTTAGAATTTAGATAGTCTGGTTTCTGATAAATGCAGTAGAACTTGTTGAAATTAGTAGCAGTGGTTAACCTTATAAATAGGTTGTTATCTAAATGGGCTGCAACAGTTAAAGTTGGAACTGACCTATAAAGAAAATCACCGTTGGATATGGATCATTTCTACTAAATTAAGCCAGATTTTAATGTGTTGATAATGTAGGTTAATGGCGATAGGAAAGTAGAATTCAGGCTGATGCTTTGGGTATGATTGTGTATTTGCACATTTAAAACTCATTCTTCTATGAAAGGCAACCTAACTGAACGTGGTAGGCATCTAGTTGTTCTTTCTTTTCTGCACATTTTGCTGTTCAGTGAACTGTTGTCTCTTTTCACTGCATCACAAGCTAACTTATTATTCATGTAATGAGAACCTATACCGTTAAAAAATCTGGCATGGATTTGCAACCCACATACCAGCACACCGTTGGTCTAACAGAAGGTTGCCTGCAGTATTGCTGAATGTCGCAAGAAACGCACAACACCCTATGATTGCTGTTTATAAGAGGTTGTACAGCCACTATTTTTGTTAGTCTTTTAGCTCTTATTTAAAATCTGATTGAAAACAAAGTCACCAAAGCATGTTTTGGTGATGGCATCTTTAAAAAAAACTTAAGCGATAATATATCTTATGTAGTTTGAAACGCCAATGAACCAGCCGGATGGAATTATTTGCTACCGAGGGGTACTTCTTTTGTTACGTTAAGATAGTAATGCTTTATAAATAAATGCCATATAGTCTCAATAATGACAGATGCGTGTTTTTTTTTCACTGTACTTGTACTATTAAGGATTTTATCATAGCCGAGTGTTTAAAAAAGTCAGGTTACCAATGTTAAATTATACATTAATACTTAAGGTTAACCCATTCCTGACCAAGTAACATGGATTTGAAGTTGCTCAGTGCAAATAGCTCTTAAAAGGTTCCTGGCAGGGATCTTTGGGTTAATAGTATTATTTGATTACCATTCATTTCCTCATTTGTAATGGTTTGCCTGTGGTAGTTTGTCTAAGTGAACAGATAGGCAGAGCTGTAATTTGCCTGCAAGATTACCAACCAAGGGTTAATGACTTAAACTCTCTCGATACTCAGGGTGAGGCCTTTAACAATGCTGCTGAACACATTGTGTCAGAGAAGATATTCACTCATCTAATTATTGCCAATTAGGCCACAGGTACAACTTGATTGTCACCTTATTACTGGAATATGTAGAACCTCCTCTTTCCAGTTCTATAATTGTTCTATCACGAAGACTCATGATGATACTCTTGTTTTCGGTGGCATCCTGATGTGAGAATTCAAATATTCGTTTATTATTGAGGTTATTGCTTCAGTGGTGATGTAATAGACAATATTTTGTTAGGTAGATGTTTTCTTTTGTACCATTTACTTACACAAAGGGTGCAGAGACACTGTAACTCCTCAATTATTTTGTCCATCGCAACAGCATTGCTGACCATGACCTCCATCGCAAACGGATAATTAGATTTAAACATTCATGAAAAGTGAGCATGCTGAATGGCCGGGCTGTTGCACTGGATTGCATTACATAATACACTCAATTCAGTGGCCACACAGTGTACTTTATACACAAGAAAAGGGGGCTGAACTTGGTGATGAAATGCTGAAAGCTTGGATGCATCAACAGTGTCCGTTGAGGGTTAGTAAGCAATGGAGAGATGCCAGCTGGCAGCAAGCGAGGCACATCATCTGCATCTCAAAATCTTGCCAGAAATCAGTGTAACCATTGCCCCAAATCTCTGAAATTAAAAGACCTTCAGTAGTTGTAAGCAGTCAGCATCTAATGTCGGGTTAATAACTTGATGTCTCTTTGAAAACAAACACAATATTGATTGACTATATAGTATGGTAAACAAAAAGAATAGTCTAATATGTTAAAATCAAGATTAAAAAGTAGCTACTCTCAATACTGTGGCTTTGATCGGTCTCGAATAAGGTTGGCACTGTGCTTTCTAATCCAAAACTACTCAGAGATGTTTAACTAAATGATGACTTAAAAGCTCAGTGAATTTTCCCAGCCACCTCTTAACACATCTTTCTTGGTTCACTACAAACTATCTGGGGAATATATTTAAGTGCTTCTTTATTCATTTGGAGTGTGGCATAATTGCACTGAAAGTGAAATTCGCAGGTTTTGTTTATTGGATGGGTAATGCAGGGAACACTGAGTGATTACAGAAGGCTGTAACATTTGCAGAAAGATTCAGTTGGGTTAGGAGAACAAATGGGACTGCACAGAAAACACAGTGAAGCGGCAGAGCATTTAATGCAGTCCACTAAACTCAGAGTTGCCCACTGTAAAAGTACACTTTTGATTGTAGTCTCAGTGGACTAGTGGCACTGCTGACTTTGGTCACTTGAAGCAGTCGTTTAATGGTGAAATCATATCAGATAAAAATTACTGCATGAGTTTATGCTGGTGAAGGTGCTTGCTCTGAACATCAAATCTAGTCTGTAACCCTGAGGTTTATTACATTTTCATTCACTAGGTTGAGTTTAAAGTGCTTTTGTCCTCTGATGGCCTGTAGCAGCATATCATCCAGATCTCTTCCACAAAATGCCCTCACTCAGTTCAAGATCAAATGGTAAAGACGTGTGCTGTAGTTATTTTTCTGGTGCCGAAAGTGTTAATTTTTGCATATACTACGATCTCACAGCATCCAGGGCGTAGCCTGCCTTAATAACACAACTCATCCTCCTCCGTCGTAGGACGTTGTACCTAAGCATTTTCCTTTCGCAAGCTTCATCTACCAAATCCCTCCATGGGAATGTAATTACCAAAATTTGCTGCTACGTGTATGATTGCACCATCAGGTGTGGCCCTGACATCCCACTCACTGCTCCCTGTGGGATTATCAAATGTCTGTACTCAGCTGAGCTGTAGTACACCTGATCAAACCAGCTGTTGTGCTGCCCTTCATCCTCATGGACCAAACATTTTGAATTTGTTGTCTAACACTTCAGTTTCAGTCTACAAATGTACCTTTTAAAAGCTGAAAGTTTCCACAAAGGTTACTGCTTTATTCCTGCCTCTGTTCCTTATGCCACCGACTGTTGAAGCAACTGCAAAGGGAAAAAACAACCTCAATTTGGAACCAAGTGTTCTAAGTTTAGCCTTATGCGAATAGTTTCCCCGTGGATCTTGGCGTGTCTACAGTGTAACAGCCTTATTTGTATTACAGTTTTCTGGTTAAAGAGGGCCACCAAAGAATGACTTTTGTACGCCATCACCAGCTCTGCTAAACCTGCGTATATTCATCCTCTTTTCTTTTGTTCCCTGCCAGGTGAGCTGTGACTGTCCCCTTCCTTGTCTCTCTGTGCACCTGCATGTACCGTGAGCAGCCCCGGCCTGTCGGAGAGGCGCTGTGCTCAGAGACTGTGCTGCACTAGGAGGACCCATGGCTTCTGGCCCTCAATCTTCTTCTCTAGACCGCAGGCTCAGGTTGCTGGAATTGCTTCTTGGGCCTCTGTTGGTCTTGCTGATTTCTGGGCTGGTACCAACACTTGGTCAGAAGGTCTACACCAACACATGGGCTGTACACATACCTGGAGGTCAGGAGGAGGCTGATCGTATCGCTGATAAACATGGGTTCATCAACTTCGGACATGTAAGTAACAACTGCATTGTTATTTATTTTTTTATTTTTTTATTTTCTCTGTTTTTCTGGCTTTACGCTAAGATTTAGTAAAGAGTCAAAGAATTAAATCACTCTCGATAAGAAGTGACACAGAGGTCATGTGTGATTACAAAACCAAACACATTCTGACTATGCAAATACAGGACTTGTTTGCCTCCTGTGGACATGCCTTCAAGGAGCTAAGCTTGCCTCTAGGTACACAGTGTGTCCTTGTTTTTTGTCCGTATTTAAAGGTACCTCGGTGAAAACAAATATGAAGGCTCTTGTTTGGCTATAATATGTGTTGTGGTCACCAGGCACTATCAATCTGCTCAAAGCTTATCGGTCATAAAAAGGAGCTTTCACAGCTCACTCACATGTATACACATACTCTTGGCAGTGGTGTTGCAATAAGCAGAATACTTTTGCACCATTAGATCAAAACTTCATGTGACATTTTTACCTCCTTGTTCTTAGTCTGTTGTCGAACCAGTTGTGATGGTAGTCACAGCAGCTCTCTGCAGTTAAGTAATGGTGGGAACATATCTGAGTGCCGAGACCTTTAAAGGTTTGACAAGGCTGACAAGGCTAATACCTGATCTCCCATTACATGTACAGTACAGTAAGTTTTGACATGTGAAAAGGAACATAATAGAACACATGCGTACGTGTTTTGATCAACCAAGCAAATGATGAACTAAATACTTAATGTACACAACAGTTAGAGCTGTGCACCCGCTATCTGTCTGAGGTCTAAGGTTACTGATTTATGCAGATTTTCGTGTCTGTTTGTCCAGTTTTTGTCCAAGCAGGAACGAAGAACAAATGTAAATACCATATTTGTAATAAATGCTGGTTAGAGAGTTAATGAAGACACATAAAGGGTTGAGATGTAGCCAGAGCTCGATTTCTGCAGCACCTATCTGCTAAAAACCCCTGTGTTCAATCATATTTCATAGAAAATTCATCAATACCAATACAACAATTGAAAATTCTCACATTCTAGACACCATGACAACAGCTGCTTGATCAGATTTTAACAGACCCCATCCAAAATGTTCTGAATAGTGGCAGCACATCTCTTTGTCGGCTCTTTTGTCACCAGTTTTTACGTGAAGTCAGAATTATAATGATGTTGACTCAATCTTGAGATGCTTTCCTGTCTCAAAGGTTCATCTTAAACTTATCTCTGAACATCACCACATCCTTCCTAAAAAATCTGTAAAACCTGTGAGTAATTTAGTCTTCAGTCAGATAGCAGGAAGATTTTTTTCATTGAAATAGTTTTTTTCCTCTTGTTTCTCATTCTCTCTCTCTCTCCTCCCCAAAAAGTTCTCACTCTGAAACTCCAATCACTCCTTCAGACTGTAAAGAAACAAGTTATTTCAGGGTTCAGACAAAAGGGCCTTTTTGGCTTTTAATCAGCACATTTTTGAGTCTGCATTTGACCTCAAACTTTGTGATTAATCCTGATGACCCAACAATAATTATCAACTAATTTGAATATAATTTAATTTCCAAGAGTTGTATTGAACAAACAAATTAAGATCATCTGTTCCTCCCATCTTGTTAGAAGAAATGTTTTCACAAAGTAAGGCTATAATTTGCTGATTGCACAATGTACTTAAAGACCTTTAATTACAATAGTTGTGACACGGCACACACAGTGAGCTTTCAAGTAAAACAGAGATGATTTTAATACTGATGTGCGTTTATACTCCTCTGAAAATGAAAAACAAAGCCTCCAAGACACTATGGGCAGCTCTCCATGCAGATGTTTAATACCAAAGTCTCAAGTCTCCTAGGGATACGTATTCTGTTTGCTCCATATGGTCTTACTGGTTATCACCAGGGATGTAATTTGTGCTCTGAATCACAGCACACAGACTAATGAGTAATCCTACACACTGGAATCCTTTAAGTGTGTGTTGCCTGTAGACTGTAGGAGCCCAGACGAAGCAATAACACCCATGTAGTTACAAAACTGGGTCTTGGAGGGGAGGAGCTGTGTGGTTTTGTCTTTTCCAGCAACTTGCTTTCTACTATTTTATGGTATTTTGAGGGATGGAAATTTGAACATGGTATCTGACCTCAGGAGGCTTGACAAAGTCTTGATGGCATTTAAAATGGTAAAAAGCCATAACATGGAATTTTATGATGGAGGAGCTCTAACAGAGTCAGCTGGATAAATGATGAGTAAAGCCCTGAGCTGGCTCAAATCTGGATCATGGACTAAAAACAGATGTACCAGGTTTGGATCAAAGTGGTTATTCTTCTAATTAAACCTCCTTCATAAACACTGGATCTTTGATCTGACATTATTTCCTGGTAAAAAAAAAAGCAGTTTTGAAATAACCTTGTTAAGACCTCCCATATAAGAAAGGACAAGGAGCCAAAAAAGGCCAGATCTGACACGGTGTGTGTTCTGTTCAAATAACCACAGAAAACATCGCATGTTCTCAAGGAACCCAATCAGTACCTGCATCCTATTAAACTCGTTTTAGGCTGCTGGTATCAACCCAAGCAGTGGGCTCGAGGTGCCAAACAAAAAAGTGAGATATGCTGTCATTGCAATGGAAAAGAACCACCTATTCCTTCGATAAAGGGGGTCCTGTCGTGTTTTAGTTCATCCGTTTAGATAAATGATCATCAAAGTTAACCTTGTTCCAGTGTTTCGGCCTGAAGCCTCATGAGTAAGGTATCAAGCCTCAGGGCTGATCGCTGATATATTGAATTTTTGACTAAGTGGCAGCAGTTTTGGAATAGATTTTTCATCTAAGAGCATTTTCTAAGAATAAGACAATGTCATGGCTTTTTCTGTAGTCCTCTACAATGATAAAACAAACCCTTTTTGGTTGTACAAAGTGTAACATAGTGAACACATACTTTGGAAGATGTCATCTGAATATTTGTGAGTTTTCTGTCATGTTGTAAACAAATAATGATCTGCAAATAAAAAAAAACATCCTTAAATATCATCAGATGGCTCTGATTTAAAAGGCCAATTTATCGTTTGTCTGATTAGTAACTTTAAAAGAAAAGGTGTAATTGTTAATGATGATTGAAATTGAGATCTTCAGACATTCTGTGCTGCCCTGCCTGCTTGCCAGTAAGTCCCTGATCATTGATTTGAAATGAAACCATTTCATTAGAGCAGGTAACAAACAAATCTTTTGATCCTTTTTTTTTGCGTTCAGCTGATGTAAAACGAGCATCGCTGTGTGAGCCATGTGTGGCCAGATGTGGTGAGTGTGAGCTATGGGGGTCTGCATGTAGTTCTGCGCCTCTATCTGTGTGCAGGTGTTGAAGCTAAGTGCGAGAGCTGGAGGGAAGGATCAAAGACTGCAGCTGGGCAGGTTTTACAGCTCTTATGATACTTCTTTTGGCATTTTTCATTCTTCTCACATCTTTACTGCCTTTACTCAAACATCCAAGACTCGTGGGTTCCTCCTTCATTACACAGACGTGGCTTTCTGTGGGTCGAAACATTTGTAAAAATAATAATTACATAACAGGTCTTAAAAGAGCAACCTCCTAAACCTATAAAACTTGTTTTACAGCATGTGTAGGACCGCCAAAAATAAAGACTTAATGACGACGCGATTGACGTCGAAAATTAACACATTTTAAAATCATGGTCTAAGTCCCTTTCTGCACTGTAGTTACGCTGTCACAGGGTGTTCCTGCTTCTTACTACCTGCTCCTAAAAATAACAATACAATTGTGCTTTATTATGACGCATATCTGTAAAACTCCCAGATGGCTCAGTTGACGAGTCAAAAGAAGTATGCACTTGGTTTCAAATAGGATTTACATATTAAAGAAGTTAAAGTTACTACAAGCCAAGAATACAGCTGCCACTAATCAGACTGATGTCAGCCTGCAACTGCATTGCAAAAACCAACAGAGTACGGTTTTAGAGTGTGTGTGATCTGTGTATGAAACTAAAGTTAACTACAGCACCTGCTGAACAGGTTTCAGTCTACCGCAGGCTCGTCAGCATTGTGGAAGATTTAGACCTAAGAGGGGCCCTCAGTTTGACATAATACTTCAAAATGTTCCCAGGGACTAAAAAGCTTTTGAAATGCAAAGTATCTGATTTTTAAACTTGCACTTAAAAACCAGCCGATACATATAGTATCTCAGTGTTATTACTAGTAAACTTAAGAAGCAGTATATTTACAAAATGTGAGATAAAGTATGTAATCTCTGTCATACTTTACTAAGAAAGCATTGGCTGAAAATGACTTTTTTATAGTTTAACAGGGAGACCAAAACTTCAATGATTTAAAATTCAAATCTTCATTTGTTTCTGGAAAAAGGACCTGTGTATTGGATTTTGTTGAATATTTGGAGTTTGATTTATTAAAGTGATAACCAGATTTCTGCTCCTGAATATTTTTACAAACTTATGAATGTGTTTGATTTCATAACTGCTAATTTATCTTGTTTCCTCTTTAATTTGAAGTTAGGGTGCTCACATGTTTTTGTTACCTGTGTAATATCATAAATTAGATGCTGGAAAGGTTTATTATAGCTACTAGCCTCATTTCAAAAAGAAAGCTACTTGTAAAGAGGATCTGATGGCAACACAAGGATCTGGAGAGTCCTCTACATCAAGCCGGCAGGGGTCTACTGGGTGCTCTTGGTTTGTTTTATAGCAGCTGTTTCACCTTATGGCTTCGGATGGCCCTCAGGTTGTGTTTTATGTTTAATTCAGCGTGTTGAGATTGTATTAGGTTTCTGACTGTCTGTTGATATTTTGACACAACTAAGATTCAACATTTTGTTCTGCTTCCTCCTTGTTTTTTCATGTGTAGAAGCAGAAGTAGTGCCTGTGGTCACATTTTGATGTCCAAGTCAGATTTGCTGTGACATGAAAATGTTTGGCTTTTTTGTGTCCTTTGCTTTTCTATTGTATTTTTAGGATTAAAAGCACAGGCTGCCGGCTTGTCAAATGGCTGGCTGATTTGATGCATCTGTCCATCTTTGTTGATGCCTTTCTTTAAGGTTGGTTTGGTGTGTCAAGGGGCCAAAAGTCACTTGAAGTCTATTTCTCATTCTGTCACTTTTAATCAGTCCAGAAGGACTGACAGTGGGGCTGGTCTTTTGCCAGGGAAGAGAGTAGGGAGGTGTTGTCTGACAGCAGCAAATCATTTTAAACCCTCATAGACTAAGTGGGCAGCAGCTCTATCTGCTGGGTTTTATCCACTCCTCTTTAACTTTTTCCTATGGCTTTAAATACCTCTTTTTTTTTCTTTGTTCTCCATATTTCTGGAGGAGCTGCAAAAGATTAGGCCTGTAAGGAATATTAATATTAATGTGCCTGAAATGAAGCAGATCTGTTTTAAAGTAAAAAGTTGCCATGACCAAGTGATGTGCAATTGGATTACACCCCTTACTGTGTCTCCTCTTCTGCATTGCAAGGCCATTTAAGAACAAGGAGAATAATTAAAACTAAGTTAAAGTCATAAAATTAAGAAACAGCTGACTCACACAGCTGTAAATGGGCATTAACTGCAAACTTGCATCTCCTGATGGTTATTTTACATTTTAAAGACCTTTTCTTGCCCACATCATCAGACTTGCTCTGCACTATTTCAGGGGGGAACTTAAATTTCTCTTCCGCGCGGCTCAATTGCACCTCTTTTACGTGGCTCTTTTAATAAATAGTGAACGTGAATCAGAGGAATAGCTATTAGCAGTATGGAGCGATTTGATAAGGAGGGGTGACACAAGTTAAATAAACGTGGAGAATCATCTTAGTATAATGTGTGGAAAAGATCAAACAGAATGTAGACCAAAGCCTCTGTTTAGAAATGGATTAATGATGGTCACTTATACAACAAAAGCTTCACTTTTTATTCCACCTGCTGAGCTTGACTGCTGAAAAGATTACTGATTTTTTTTTTAGTGGGTCTCATGTATTTGGAAATATTGTGCCTTTCTGTGGCCTCTAGCTTTAGACATTTCTTCCACTCTATAATCACAGTTGATGATGAACATTGAATATAGGCCATTCAGATATGGACGACATGCCTTTATCTCTTTCCATTGAACAAAGTGAAGCCAAAGATACATGTAAGATCTATGTGCGCTGACATATTGGTTTGGTGATATCTTGGAGCCGACGCATGAGCGAAAGGAATCTTGCTGTGGATTGATAGGATTGAAATCACATCCATTCAGTCAGAGCACGCTTTAAGCTTACCACCTCCTCCGCAAAGATCTCTTGAGTGAGTAACATGTTCTTGTTTGGCACAGAGACCTATAGTAATTGAAAGTTCAATGACCCCCTGTGATGGTGTTCATTTTATTTTTTTCCAACCATTTCTCGTCTTTTCTGTTTTACCAGTAAAAAACATAGCATGAGCCACATTTGGCAACAGAGCTGTCACTCTTTGTGTCCTTTTCTTATTTTTTAACCCAATTTTTAATGAACACTTTCACATTCATCAGCATGATAAGAGCTAACTGGTATGACATATAGCATGTTTGAGCTTTGACCCAAGTCCCATCTGTTTAATAGAGGAGACAAGCTTTATCATATTTACAGCAGCCAACAAGGGGAACTTCCTCTTTGTGAGAGCTCCGTTTCTATTACAGTCAATGATGAGATTTAAGATTAATATGTTCCTCACAAAGTGTCAAGACTGGTTCCTGTTTTGTTCGAGCTATACAGTCTTTTATTTAATTAACATGGCCATTATTTTTGAGATGTAAAGAGTAGAGAGTACCATAATGTAGCATGAAGTAGTATAATGATGATTCTAAAAACGTAATTCAAAAGTAAATGTTGGATTTTTTGCCACATCTTTCAGAGAGATTGTTTCAGGTTGAAGTTATGCACAGGGAAGTATCAAATTCCAAGAAGTCTTATTTTCTACTTCCTGCTTCCTGGTATTAAAGCAGGTTACAGGTGATCATTCTCACAGGACAAAAGAAATCTGACATTATAGTGTATTTGCAGGATACAAAACAAACCTTTTACTTTCTCTAGAAATGGCTTTGATTATTCACACGCAGAGGTGGAGGGAAAAAAAGTGATAAATATATAACTCATCTTATCCCCACTCACTTCAAAGTAATACGAAGCATTTCTCAGAAGTGTGTCACTTCCCCTCTTGTGAACAGAGGTTTCTGTTGCCTGTGGTGGATAAAAACGTCCGTGTTTGTACTTCGGCTCTATTTTGAGGCCAAGTTTCTTCATAACTTGCCCTGCCGGTCCACTCTAGGGCTTTGCATGTAAAGGAGGATTGTATTGGCCACTCTGTGCCTTCACTGTACTCTGTGACACCATCTGGGCCTATTTTGGCTATCTAATGTGCTGATTTCTTCACTCCTTTCTGAAGTGGTTACACTCTTTTATGATGAAATTTAATATTCTGCTCAGCACAAGATTAAAAGAAGGAGCAAAAGAGATGGTTATTATCTGTAGTTGTGATGACGTACATGAAATGACTCTCTGCTATCAGTTACTTGAGACAGCACTGCACTTAAAGCAGCCTGTGTAAGAACTTGGCTTTAATCTGGCTCACAGCTTTCTCAGTTCAAAAGATATGATGGAGTGATGCACTTCTAATCCCCTCATTCCACATCTGGTTGGCTTTTCCTTTTTCACTTTACAAGCTACTTTATATGAAAACTGCTTTCAGGGTTGCAGAGGATCAGTCATTATAACATCTAATGCCTTCATATCTTCATAGCGTGAAGTAATTACTGAAAACACCTGGTGCTTTAAGACCATATTTACAGGCAAGAACATCATTTCAAAACATTTCTTAGTATTGCAGAGATCGTAACTGAGTAGACAGATTTGTCCTTTATTTTCAGTCCAGAATTTAATTTTAAGCCCTTTTTAAATGATTAAAATATCCCAAATCCAAGACATTGTTTTCTCTTCAATCCTTTTTTGTCTGGTTGAAGTATCTGTTACTTCCTTCAAATTGCAGTGTTGGGCATGGTGAGTGATAGGCAAACATCAATAATTGATAATGGGACCAGGACACCCCTATTAACAACACGACTGCAGACAGAGATCTATGCTATCATTAGTCTTTTTCTTTGATATCATCAATGCTATATAGAAACAGACAGATAGTCAGACACGTGTGCAAACATTGTTCTGCTCTTGTCTTGAAATTGATTCTCTTTCACCTTCAGATGTTTTCGTTCATCCTGTTACACGCCGCTCATAATTGGTTGGATGGTAATAAAAAAAAAGGGAAAACATCATCACCCCTGCCTGCTTGTTTGCAGTGAATCTTCCTGAATAGCTCCTACTGCGTTCTCACATCAGCTCCCCATGACTTCACACAGAAATTTTGTCAGGAGGCTGGAAGGAGAAAGTGCTGCTGAAAATGTTGGTAGCTGTTGCCTGTGTATGCAATCCATCCGGAAAATTCTGTGTTTTAAAAAAATATGTATTTTCAAGCTTTCATAGATTTATTTAGATTAGAGAGAGAGATGAGTGACATGCTTGAGAGGGGTCACAGGCTGCCCGTTTGAGGGGTATAGCCTCTGGGGCTTAGACTTAGCCACCAGTCCACATTGGGGCCTGAATTCTAAGTTTGAGGATTTATCTTTGAATCTTAGTGCAGCTGTAGCCACCACAGTGTTGGCAAATCTTCTTTGTTGACAGAATTAAAAATAAACCCTCTTGAGTCAGACTTCTTTCCAACACTTTGCACAACATTTGTGGTAATGACTCAAGTCAGAGCTTGACCTGAGTAATTGCTCCTTTTTGGGCTTTTACAATGCTTTTAGTATCGAGCATTACACTTATAGTTGAATGATTTAGTTTTATGGTTTATCCTGTATCTCAGATTAGGGCTTTAAGTTTCTTCTTACCCTTAACTATCCTTCAGTGTTTAATATTTTGTACCTCTTTAAGTGCTGACAGCTTGTTTAAAAGTTTCAGTCCAGACAGCAAACACATTCCTTATTTCAGCTTATTTTCGTTCTCTCTACTTTTGATATCAAAGTGTTGTTTTTATCTCACCTGCAAAATGTGCTGAATGTTAAAAGTAGCACTAAGGCGAGGATTATACTGATTAAAAGAGGAACCTCACATGTCAAAACAGGAAGCTTCTCAACAGTTAACTATCATGCCATTTGGAAATCTACAAACTACTTTTGTACTTTAGCAATATTCAGCTGGAGACTTGTGCAAACTTCCCACCTGTCTCCCACTATCTCTCTTTTCCAGTGGAAATAAAATAGTGTTAAATGCGACACCTCCATTTTTGCTGAACTGTTAGTCCTGCTCTGCCTGATAAGAACTGAATTATTTCGGACCCATCTTTCAGTTTAAATCTCATTGAAAACTACTTCCAGAGTAAACTTGAAAACACCGGGAATGAGAGGCTGAAGGTATGGACTAAATAATTGGTCTCTGGAGACGTGAGGCAATTAACTGTGGAGCTGAAGAAATTTGCTGGGAAATCTTCAGACGAGATTTGATTGGCTCATAGACGATAGAAGAAGAAGCTGCATGCTGAGCGCTGAGAGGAGGTGCTCTGCATGATTTGTACAAACCCACACAGGTGCTTTCTCTTATTATTTTTTTTAGCAGCATCGCCACCAAACATAACCGGTCTGCCAGAAACTAGACACATAAAAACCTTCATAAAGCCCTTTCAGGATTAAATCCATGCTTCTCTGCTTACATTTCACCCCAGTCTGCAGCAAGGTGTGAAATGAACTTTTCAAATGTCACAAAGTCTGTGACTTATTTGTGGTTTTCCAGCTGCTGCATTGAGTAATTGAATAAGGCTTTCCTCTACAAATATTTGCAGCCGTGTCAGTAAACACACCCACATGAAAAATGGAGGGAGCCTTTCAGGAATTAATTAATATTGAGAAGGTTATTCCTCATTCATGGCATTTAATGTCTGTAATATGCTTTCAGGTTATAAAACGAGGTTTTATGATGTTATAATGTAAACACAGAAGGGGCTGTTTACACGGGAAGCACAGGGCATTTTCTGTATGAGGGGATGTGATGGACAGATAAAGCCTAATTATGAATATAACAAACACTCTTTTATCTTTGTGCATTCAAATCTTTATTTTTTTTCATTGAGAAATGAGCACCCATAACCAGCCTGTACTGTGTTACATAATTTATCTATTCGATGCAAATCCTGCCCTCCACTTGTCCTGTTTTAATCTTTTATGATATATAGTATACATGTCAAAAAATGAAGGGAATAAAACCAGCTATTTAAAATGCATCATGGTTTCTAGTCATGCATGATATGTTAGTCTACCCACAGGGCCATTTCAGGGGTCCTTGAGTCAATCATGTGGCTCAGACACACCAGCGATATAGATTTCCTCTCCTTAATATTTTATTAAGCTCAAGCAGGTTTTGTAAGCTGGTTTACTTGTGCGATATCTTCATAAATCTTTTACACACTTCTCTGTGCTCAGTGGCCCTGGCCCAGTTTAACCAATGAGAGCTCAAGGCTCATACAGACCGTGAAGCCCTATAGATCCAGCAGAGCGTGGCCCTTAGAAATGTTGCATCTTTGAAGCTCAGTGATGACAACACTGCAAACACAGTCCAGTGAGAGCTGTTGATTCGAGTCCTTGTTTGGTATGAACTCATTAAGAGGCCGGGCTTGTCATCCAGAGAGGAATGTATCATTTCTTATCTCGGTGTGGTTGATCAGCAGCAGAGGGTGGTGCATCACTGCTGTCTCTTTTCTCCCAATGCCTTTGGTCTGTGTGATGCTGTCAATGAGTGAGCCTCCCTTTATTCTGTGCCCGGGCCTCTCTCTCACACACTAAGCAGACTCAGATCTAACTTCATCACAGTGCAGCCGCTCTTCTTTGAGAGTTAATGAACTGCAGAGATTGACTTATCCCGGCTGCTCTGCTGGACACTTCTGTGTTTAGAGGAACAACTTTAGAGCCAATACGCCTGAAATTCAATCCTGAACCATCGCAGTCCCAAAGCGATACCACTGACACTGTGCATGAGGTCATCCATAAAGAAGTATCCAAACTGTTTAACTGCATGTCATGGAAAAACAACTTTGACATGAATTTCTCTTTTTTGGTATAATGTTATATAAAACAGAAAACAAACAATGTAAGAGAATACCAAGAAGTGTTCAAATGTAATTCCAAACCTTAATGCAAAGCTGTGCACCCCTTCCTCATAGCTTTAAGTAATACAGTTTTAAGAACCTTTACAAGGGGAATCTGAAATACCAATAATTTGACACGCTGAACTTTTATTAACATTCAATCCTAAAACTAATGTTTTCAGTGAGATCTGGTTGACTGTGGCATCAAAGACTCTGTTTCTGTCGTAGTTTAAAGATTTGTCGACACCCCTTTTTTTGCAGAAGGCATGCATGATGTGAAATAATGACAAAATAAGAAGTCAACTGATCTTGATATAAACGTATGCTCAGCTTTGTATGATGAGTGTAGGATTGTAGTGCTGAAAAGTGACATTTTATTTGATACCAGCCTTGGATGTAGCGTCCATTTGGCTACTGAACTTTAGCTGAAAACGAGTTCTTCCGCAACATTGACTGTGCTCAAAAGTTTTGTGAAGCGAGAAAATCTTCACAAATGGAAACCCCTTTTTCGTCATAAATGCAATCATCAGAAGTAAAAAGCCAATGTGACACTATCAAATAAAACATAACAAGGTGACATGACCTCATCATCACAGTCACTTAACTATTAACTCATGTTGTTATCGACTTTTGTTGTTCCTGACACTCTCCAAAGACTCATGAAACCACTTTTTATAGACTCCCAATTTGTGATAGAATTCAGATGAGGAATATTTTCCTACTTATTTTATGCTGTGAAAATTACAACATTTTTGAAGCTTGTGTTAACCCCAGATCTCATTTCTGCCTGAACCAAAAACCCATTAACTTTGAGTGAAGGTGACCACGCAAACGCTCTATCTTGGTTTCACAATGAATTCCTGCTGCGCTCTGTATAATTCATCTCACTTTTCATCATCATCAATCAGCCGTTTTTCAGTCATAGATCAAAACAGAACCATGCCATCACGTTTCTCGCAGCAGAAGCATCACACTAAAACATGACCCGGACAATTTTGAGCCTGAGCCCCCTCATTCCACCAAACTCAGCAAAGGCTCAATTTTTGATTTCTCTAAAGCAGATTTTACCTGATTTTCAAGTGAGGAGACTTGACCCTTAACGGGGCTGCCCTGGTTAGTAAATATTAAACATACTCATGGTGACGCTTGATAATGCAGACTTCAGAAACAGAGGACCAACTTGTTGATTTGTGGCGACATGTTTACACATCATGTCTTATGGAACACGCCACGGTCAAAGTGACTAGGAGAGGAGGCGAACAACTGTAATGGACGTACTAGATAAACAGCTAAGTTTAGTTCAACAAACATCCCATTGTTCAACATGTCTGTGTGCTCTTTAGTGATGTTTGACTGCCATTTATGAGATATCAAGTTCTGATTGTTGGAGTAATGGACCTGTTACTCTGTGTCGTGCTAAAGTGGCCAAATCATCGTACACCACACAGTCAGAACAAAAACTATTAAATGTATCATAATTCGCCATCATGTGTGGCCTCCCACATTAAAAAAAAAAGTTAATATTTTAAAATCTTTGAGTGTGAACCAAGCTTTGGGAATAAGTTTAAAAGCCAGATAATTGTCTTTATTGCCTACCCTTCACATGTACCACTGAACCCTCCAGACACCATAAGTTCTGGTCCTGTTAAGTCTTTTTTAAGCACTGAAGTAAGCACTGAGAACAAAGCTCTGCTCTGAGTTTGTTATTGTGTCTATATAAGCAACTATATATCTCAATAGATGGCTCAGTTTTGTCCTCAGAAGTCAGGAGAACAACATCTGACACCAATAGTTTGAAAACATCTTTCACCCAGACACATCTGTTCTCTCAGCTCTCGTCTCCAGGACTTTCATTATAGCTCATCCACTGATAACATTTTGTGACCCTGTATGTGTTTGTCTTTTTAGACGAGATTATTAATCTAAAGGACACTGCACCAGGTCAAACCAATAATTGCTATCTTTAAAAAAAAAAAAAACTGCCAGCATTGTAAGTCGAGGTGATAATAATAGAGGCCAGCATTCGGAGAAGATAAGTAGTGGGTGCATAAATCAGTGATTTCTGGAGGATGATATAAATGTCTGCAGTAAGACGGACCTGGCTTCACTTCTTCTCCCTTAAACAACGTCAGACTGATGACTATGATGAAAAAATAACAAACTGGTCAGCAGGAGGCTGCCTCCAGCTTAGAGCAAAGTAGTGAACACCCATACTGCCAGGGGTCCTGAGAACTGCAGCAGCGCTCAGCCATTATTCGGCTTTCCCACAGTGGAGCGATGGGGGCTGGGATGGAGCAGAACCACACACAGGTCACAGCGGCTGTAACAAGAGCCAGATGTGCCAAAGGGACGTGAAACTCCACGGACATGCAGCTCTTTCTAGCTTCTTGAATATGACCATGCTCACATGTGTGCACATGCACACACAGGGAGGAAGAGGGTTGAGGTATTTGAGGAATGTCAGCTTAGAAGTGGAAAAGGAGTTGTTTTTGGTATTTTCATATGAGATGATAACAATAACAGATAAAAGTGAAAGGCTGCCTTTTTGATCAGCTCCCCGCACAACACACAACCCCCCCCCCAAAAAGTCAGTTTATGATCCCTGAGAGTTAACCAGCACTTCTTTTTAATGAAGTAAAAACCTGTTCAGTTTTATATGTCATACTTATTTTGTATGTCTATGTGCTTAAACTTGCAGTGACAGACGACTGATCAACAACTTTCAGCAGCTTAGAAATAAAAGAAAAGGTAGCAGAGCTTAGATGAAAAGTAAATTGACAGGGAAATTATGATTCGGTTTCTTTTCTGCCATTTCCAAGCAAAAAAAAGAGTTTCTGTTGTTCAAACTTCTTAACAGAACATCTTTTTGTCTTTTGGACATATTGGAAGTTGTTTTTCCTGTGATTTTTTTCTTAAACCTCAACAAACAGACTATCAGAAAAAGAACGGAAATACTGATTGATTTAAAAAAAGCCCTCTGGTTTGCAGTCTCCCAAATATAACATGTGAGTGCTTTTACCTTCCTGTGATACAAGTTGCTTGTTTGCTTTCTAAATCTGATCTATAATTTAATATGACTGCAGAAAATCTCTAAACCTAATGAGATTTGAGATCTTTTCCTCATAGCTTCTCATTTTTTTACATTCACATTTTGAACCAACACAAAAAGAAAACACCAAAATTCCCAATCAATGTATTTAGATGCAAACCCCAGCCATTGAACTGGAGCAAAATCAAAGCTTATGAAAATCTCATCAACAAGCCCCTCTTTACACTCGGGGCCTTAATGAGGAGATTTTGGTTTGGCTGGGATCAAACCTGTGGGTAAAATTTCAAATCCCAAATTAGGACACTGAAGTGCTTGTTAAAGCACAAGGTTAAAGGAGCAGGCTTTTGGTCACTTGAGGTCATGCATGTAAATCTTTAACAAACAGAATAAATCTAGGTGGGGAAATGGGGAAGGAAGCCAATTCACAGGGCTGTTAAACATTGCACCTACACATCTGCTTCAGCGAACAGAGAGGGGATAAGACTGGTGCTGCAGTGTGAATATCTCACTTATGTTTAGATACCTGTTAAATCCGTCTACACTGGATTAAGCATACATTGTGTTAAAATAATGAAATGCTGTGGTCCTAAACAGCTCTTGCTCAGATATTCCTCTGTTGTCCTCGGGCCAGTGTCTGATCAGAGACAGTTGTATCTCTTAAGTTGTTGGCAGCCGAAGTTGGACCCATTGTTCAGCTCTGTGTTCGAGATAACTGATCTGTCAGTGAAAGAAGTTGCTTTTGGCTTGTGTTTCTTGTCATGGAGAATCTAATGAGGACAGGATGCTCCTGTCTAACCAGACTTAAACGACCCCCCCTCCCCTCTCTCAAACACTGGCTGGCACGCACTGGCCTGGGAGGTGGAGCAGAGGTTTTTTTCCAGTAGTTTGGAAAGGGTAAGGGCTTCTATCTGATAAGCCTTTTACAATGAAAACAATGGGGTGAACGTTTAAAGGCCTATAACTAACCTAATGGAGGTAGCAGTGTGTGAGGAATGCAGCGTTTGGGTGGAGCTTTGTTTTACGATGGCTTCAAGGGATGGTTTTTTTCCTCTCATTGTAACAAGAGTCCTGCTAAGTTGTAACAGATCAGAAGTTTGGTGCAGAGATGCTGGATTTAGATTTCAGGTCAGGTGTCATTTTCACTGATAATGTTCATGTAGCTGCACACAGAGAGGAAAAACAGGTTTGCTTCAAAAGATTTGATCTTTGTGTACCGTGAGGATCACCTTTTCACATGTGACAAGTAATCTTTGTGTTCGTCGTGCCGTAAATGGTGCAATTTAGAAGAAAGGAAAAAACACAAACAGTACGCTTTAGGTGCTTGCCTTTACACTGTCATCGTAACACTGTTGATACATCAGAAGATAAGCACCATCTTGTTCCTCTTGCCAGATGAAGCCTTTTCTTTCTTAAGCTGGAGTGACCTCAAGATGTTGATGCAGTTCATTTCCACGCCAAGTTTGCCTTGGGAGAAATCTTGTGAAAATATTGTTGGCACAAAACGGGTGATAAAAACATCAAGCAAACAAACAAACATCTCTCTTTCTCTCTCATGATTTTGTATCACCTCAAATCCATTTCACAGTTTTTATATTTTTTGCCTCCAATCATGCTGAGGCTGTTTCCTCCTCGCAGCTCGGCACTCTGAGTAGGTGCTTATTTGTCTCTGAATGTTTCCAGTAATAGTTTGGTAACCTTCCAACTTGGCAGACACGTCCCTTAAATGTGCTTGAGGTAGAGTTCTTTTTTTCTCCTTCTTCTTCTTCTTCTTCTTTGATACGTTTTTTTCTTTTTTCTTCTAAGGATGATATAACATCTGTTTTACTGATGTGACAGCCTCCACAGGTCTCTCTGTGCTTTTTGGTTTCCTGACAGTTGGCCACGGTTAAACTCGTAAACGCAGGATCTTCAAGGTCATGTATCCACCTTATATACGAAGTGGAATTTATGATGCCTATGTACAAAACCAGTTGTTGATGTGTGTTCATGAATATTTTATTGCCGATGTAAGCCATGCATCATTGAGCAAGTTTCCTCTTCTTCACCCCTGACCACCGTCATACGTATGGGAAACAGATCCCCCTGATGTCTGCCACTACAGACTGGGCTCGTCTCCTTCGTTCCTTCATGTGAGATGATTCTGCTAACTGAATTGGATGTTTTACACAGTCAGTTTTAACTGTGGGGGCTTGTTACATTGGTATTAATACAATATACATAACTGTTGGCTGCGTGTTTTTTTGCTGCGCCAGGAAAACTCTCTGAGGCATTGTCTTTTGTAACGAACAAAAAAAGCAGGGCTGCTGAAGTCAGGACTGTTATAATGAAAACGTATTCTTGTGTGATGCAGATTTTTAAATGATAAGTATATAATAACATAAAGCATAATGGTTAGTTAATATCTATGTGGACTTATTTTAATTATCTAGTTCTTTTGCTTAATAAATGTTAAGAAAAGGAGGTAAAAAGTCTTTATACTGCATGTCGACCTCATATGTTTGGTCTGTTGTACTCACAAAACAAGACTTAAGGTGCAGGGCAGTATAAAGTTTTTTGATGAACTCACTGCATTTTTAGTGTGACTCTGAAAACTAACTCCTGTAATATATCGTGTAAGGTAGAAGGGTAGTAGTGAGTGGGTGGTTATGTAAACTAGAATCCTAACAGAGTGAGACAAGACCTCTATGTGGAGTGTGTTTACTTCATGTGTGTTTTAACATCCCTTGATAGTTTCTACTTGTCGACTCTCGTTTCTCAGCTGGTGATTGATCAGCCATTAACCACTGATCTGAAATTTTGTAGACTGAATCCTTTCTGTGGCTCTTGTTCAGTCTAATATGTGAGATCTGGTTATCCCCAGCATCACTCTTGCTATTCAGAGTCTGTTGCCATTCTCAAGTTTAGACCAATCACAATCAAGTATTTAATGCAGTGAGAAAGGTGGGTAATAACTCCAGAACAAATCTCATGACACTTCAACTGCTTGTCACGGTATACACAACTAAAGAAAGCAGTAAATACTTATAAATTCAGCTCTATAAATAATGGAGTGTATTAGAAGTCAAAATATCATTCACAGTGTAGCTCAAAACTGTGTACAGGTCAAGTAACTAAAGTGTTTTTCTTGGATTAGCTGATTTAAATAACAATTTGTAACGGCATAATAATATCAGCGTGACCTCTTGCAACACAAATTTACAGAGAGGAATATTTTCTTCCTAAAAAAGTTCCTCCTCGTCCAACAGTATGAGATTTCACTGAATTATGTAAAGGGTTTCCACTGAACATGCATGCGTGTTTAAAAAACAACTCCCTTTTCAATTATTAATACACATTTTGAAACATTTACCCATTACTGGAAAAGCTTTCTTTATTACTCTGTATTAAAACAGCAGCATATAAAGTCTATATACGATGATGTACACACAATCCCTAATATGAGCTCTACACATACTGTAGTTGAGCTTTGAAAGAGCTCTGAACATCAGTTTCCTTTCCTATTCAGCAAAGTGAAAAGAAAACTAACTGCACAGGAAAGACTAAAGAGGTTGTTTTGTAAGAAGTGTCCATCTGTTTGGATCTGTTCCTCTGGAGGCTGCTGCAGCTCAGGGAATGTTACCCGTGTTTTGGACAGGAAACTGTGGCGGCGATAGTTGGTGAGCCACTGTGAGTGAATCGCTCTCATTCCCAGGGTGGCAGTAACTCCAGCTCAACCCCCCCTTCCTCAGTCTGCTTGGTAAAACCCTGCTGTGTGGCTCAGCAGAGATCCTCCGGCTCCCAGGTTACTCCCACTGTCTTTTGCCTCCACTTCTTGACTTTCCGATAAACAAGTAAACCAGGAGAACTGCAATTATGGTGGGTCAGAAAGAGCTGAGCCCTGCACCAAGCCCTTCCCAACAAGTGGGTTCAGTGTTAAGTTCACAGGCATCAGCCAGCCTCCTACTGCTTTCCAGACCTGTAATACTCGCTGTTTATGAAAGGATCTCTCTCACCCCCTCTGTCTCTCTCTCTCTCTCTCTTTCTCCCCACACTCAACACTGCCTGGAACCTTGTATTTTCGCTATTTTGGCTCGTTCGTCTATTTTTGGTCTGTTCTCAGCTTTTGTTGTTTTTCTCAACCTACAGTAACCTAAGAAACTGCTGCAACTTGTTTTCTTTAGTATATGGGAATTAAAAATAGTCATAATTACAGTCACAAGGAGGCTCTGAAAAAGAATCAAAAGATGCTCAAAGTAATTTTCGACTTTATACCTTTTTTCCCTTCCTGTTGTGAAACCATGTTAGGAAGTATGTTAATCAACAAAAAGAGGAAAAAGTATTATCAAGATCTGTCTGCAAGCTGAGAAAAAGGGTTATAAGAGTGGCCGTAACTGACTGTTTCATGAAACCTGTTTATTAAAATGAAGTACAGACACTTCTTCATTGGACAGATGTTTTTTTCTGGTTTATGATGTCAATAGTGTTGTCAGACTTAAGCAAATAGTTGTGGCTGGCTTTCCTGTCATTGTCCAGCCTCCAGCAGCAGCATGGTTTGGGCAGTCAGAAAGCAAAACCCAGTGGTTGTGGCAGTCAGTCGGACACAGTCTGAGTGTTTGGAGCCTTAAACTAGACAGTTTAAGAGAGAGGAATGTTCCCCCTCTGTGCAGTAGAGTGACCTGAAAAGTCACTAAAGAGGGGACACGCGCTAACAAGCACGCACATGCAAAGGCTTATCAAGAAACGAGGCACAAAGAGAGGACAAAGAACAGGACAAAACTGTGTCAACATCAAAAAAGTTAAAAGTCAGTGATTTTGCAGTGTGGGGATTTCACATGTTTTTTGGTCCCCAAGTTCAGCTCAGCTCAAAATACTTATACTGTGGTTTGCCAACAGGAATGTATCCACAATAAAAAAATACAATTCAAGGGAAAATATTCATAGCCTTGTGCTGTTTGTGTCACTATGGGCAGTGGTAGACTGAATTTGCATTTCTCAACACTCTGCCTTCCCCACATGCACATGGGACCCAAGATTATTTTACACAACCTCTACGTATTCAGATTCCACAAACAAGACATACATATTTTCATAATTTATACTTTAATTAAACCAGGAAGAGCTCATTAAATTCCAGGCCAAAAAAGACATAGCTCAGTAAACAAAAACTTCCGATCCACATTGAGCAGCCATATGTGAAAACATAATGCAAAATACACAATTAAAATGAATGGAAAGACACAAAATAAGAAGTAAACAGTGAACATTTGTCTGAAATTTCCACGGTTATAAAAGCATCCAGTGGGGCCAGTTCACTGGTCTGGGTATGAGCAATATTAAGACTTTTAAAAATTATTTTTCAAAACATTCATAAACATTGAACTGCATATTTTATTTCAAACTGAATAACTATTCAAAGCCGGTCATTTATTTTAATATACTAAACCAAGAAGTTGGCTGCTTTATATCGAAAAACAATTTGCCACTTATTGATTTTTTTTTCTTTTAGGATACCCTTTTCATATTCTAATACCCACCAGACTTTGAACCAATAAAATCAATTTGTAAACTGTTGGATGAAATAAAGATAACAACAAAGTGATGGGACTGCCAGTCAGCCAAAATTCAACCACACCCACATCATCTGTAGAGGAGTTTCAGACCTCCAGCATCAATAAAAGCAGCTGTGTGGGTGGATCTGGGAGTTCTGCATAAATAACCAGGTTGTGATTAATAGTTTATTGTCAGATTGCACTGTTGATAACACCACCACATTACTAGAAGCATGAAGTGTACATGATCAGGCGTTATTGAGTTGTAATTATTTCGCCGCAGTAATTAAGTCAACATTTGTTCATTTACTTGATGTCACACTATGGTGGCTGCATCTTGATAACTCTTCCTTGTCTCATCACAGAATCATAATGCAACCTCAGTGTTTACATCCTTTCATTCTCTGTGATAAAAAAGCCGCAGTGGAGAGAGCTCTCCTAGATGATATATTCTTCCTTCTTCAGATTTTGCTGTGTGGCTATATATGTAAGCTCTGATATACTTTTAGAGATGCAGCTCAATAAATTAGACTATCATGAAAACTTTTCTTTTTTTTAATCTCATTTAAAAGAATAAACTTTTATATATTCTGTATTCATCATATCTAAATTAAAAATGATGATGATTATAGGTTATACCTCATAAATCAGAAATCCAGTATCTCAGATCATCATAAAAATATCAACTACAAAAAATGATTCAGAACATCGGAAATGTCCCACTTCTGAAACGCATGCTCATTTATATGCTGGAAAACTGGTTAAGTGTTTTTTTACATGTATGACTACATCAGAGTTGAAGGAGTGTCTTCAGCTTGTCTGTAATTTTGGGTTTGGTGTTTCTCATGCCCCTTTTGCTTCAGATCAGGTAAGTCAACTGGTCAATCAAGCATAGTAATATAATTGTCAGCAAACCTTTTGGTTGGAGTTTCAGCACTGTAGGAAGGTGCTAAGTCCTGCTGGAAAAATAAATCTTCATAAAGATTGTCAGCAGATGGAATTGCCCTGAAATCTCTTGGTAAACAGCAGCATTGAGTGAACGTCACTTCATCTTTGCCTTTTCACTCTTCCTCCAGACTTTAGGACCTTGATTTCTGAATAAAATCCAAAATGTCTTTCATCTGAGAGGAGGACTCTTAACCGTGCAGCAACAGTCCGGTTCTTTTTCTGCTTAGTCCAGCTAAGATACCTCTGGCATGGTCTCTGATCCAGAGGTGGCTTGACATGAGAAGTGCAACAGTGGCAGTCTCTTTCCTGAGGACATTTCTGTGTTGCTCTTGATGCACTAACTCCAGCCTCAGTTCACTCACTGTGAAGTCCCCAAACTTGTGAATCAACTTTTCTTGGCAGTCCTCTCAATGCTGTGGTCATCCCTGTTGCTTGTGCGCCTTTTCCTGTCACACTTTAACTTTGCGGTCATCTTTCCATGAATTGTCTTTGGGACAGCCTCTGAGCAGCCAGCTCTTTCAGCAGTGACCTTTTGTGGTTTACCTTCCTTGTGGGGGGTGTTGATAACTGAGTTCTGGACAACTGTCGAGTCAGCAGTCCTCCCTATGATTACGGTTGCATTTTTTTGAAGTACACTAAGAGGTATGTGGTGTTTAGTTGGTTTGAATGGTACTCAGACTGAAAACTGGATATCTCAACATTCAAATATGTTACGACATCTAAAAGTGCAGACATGTATAATACAATTTTTAAACTGTACGTCAGATTAAATTAGAAAAATAAAGTAATGAGTCAGGTATAAAATAAAATATCACCTTCTTGAATATCTTTAATAGCTGATCAATAATGCTGAACTATTTCAAATTACTATATTTTACATGAACACACGTTTTAAAGCAAAATGAACATTACTGGAACGAAATGTGATGTGATAGCAGAGAGGTGGATGTTGTCTTTTTGATTTTCATTGCAGCTTTATTTTCACATCTCTATCTTGCATGAATGCAGTCTCAATCAAAGACCCCTGTGAGTAAATATAAAGTATCCACAGGATGAATTGTTGATGCTGTAAGGTCATTGCCAGTGCCCAGCCAGTGGCTCGGTGGTTTTCACCCTCACCTGCTGTGAGTGAGATTGAGGAGGCGGAGGTGGCAATAAAGAGATGCTCATCGCCTGTGTACTCAGATGACGTGGAGCACATCCTGTTTCTGTGAGGACTAGTCCTGGCGCGCAGTTGTTTGCCAGGCTTTATAGTGCCACTTTGAGACCTGTGCCAAACCCTCTAGACATTGGGTTATTTTCTTCTCCAAGATATTTTTGACTTAATTTTGTAATGCCAGAGAGAAAACCATGGGCACAAAGGGTGAACGAAGATACTGAGTTTACTATATGTGCCAGCTGAGAGTCTCTAGACTTTCTCTGACAACAGCATCTAAACAGAGCTGTAATTTAAAGTACCAGGACTGGAGAACCAGCTGGGATAGGGAACATCTGTGCATTTTAATTGATCAAATCAGGTCAAGCACACAGCCTCTCACTAACTGTAAAAATTCATTATCTCAGCTCACTTTTATGAGAAATGCAGTGTCTCTGAGACAGCTGGCCTCATTGATGATCGTACCACAGCAGCCTGACAAAGATGGATCAATTGGCAAACAGGAAAAGTCCGAATCCACTTGGTTCATACTTTATATTTGAAGAGATACAGACCAAAATAACTGTGGACTGTACATCCAGTTGGAATAAAGAAACATGGAACTGGCTCCTCGTGTAGGTTACTGGTTTAACTTTGAGTCCATATAAAAGAGGGAAAATTCAGTTGCCACCAACAACCATTTATCCAGTTAGTTTGATATTGAGGGGATAGTAAAAACCAGAATGTCCCAACAGCACCAGCACACGGCTTGTCTGTTTATTGGAAGGCCTCAGTCATATTAACCTTGCCCTCATCAGATAAATGGTTGCAAGTGAAGCCAAACTGCATCAGTTCTGATGAAGATCATCTGAACAAGACGGGGGAAAGATGCATCTGTCAGAGCGAATCAATCACGAGCCTGCACTTTCATGTGGATCCAAAAATATTGTTGTTTTGAGGCAGCTCCTGTTTTGAAATAAGTCATTGAAGGAAGATGGATAAAGTGCTCATAATTGCTTTAGATGTCCTTGTTTTGTTGCCTCTTCTCGATTGATGGAGAGCTGGACTGTGATGTCTCTCTGCCAGAAAATGTGCAGTACAATACGCTTCTTAATGGCTGCACACTCTCCACTGACTGGAACCATCGTCTGATTGATATCATTTTTGTTGCTGGACCCCACAGCTCTCTTTGACAGGGAGATGAAATAAAGGCGGCCACGTCATAGGGGTTTAATGTTGCTTGACAAGGCAGTGACTGCTTTTCATTCTCATAATGTGGATGAGAGCGCAGTTGTTTTTGCAGGGCGCCGCTGTCTACTATGAATAATTCTGTGTTGTAACTGCGTTCAATATCAACCCCCTGATTGCTGAATTATTTGGTTGGAAGGGCTCATTTGTTCATACTGCCCTGGGAATGGAAATTATGAATAATTTTGTTGATCGACATTCACCCACATAAATGAACACATCAATTTCTGATCCCGGGGAACAAAGCAGTTCGGCTCGTGTGGCGGCAGAAGAGGCTGCAGCTGGACCTGGACTCAGTCTGTGTGTAACTCCTGTGTTAATTTGCTTTTATAAGATTCGAGAATGATGATGTAAAATAAACCGTGATGACCCATTAAAAGCCCAATCCAATCTCTCTGAAATAGACTTCCTGCTTTCAGCTAATTTCAGTTCCACTTAATTGCTGTTGACAGTATTTTCCCTCAGCTTCATTTTAAATAAGAGCACCATACTAATTGATGTTTGCTCATTATTTTCAGGGCATTAACTGTGTAGCACACCATGCGGCTTTCATTCAAGCTGCAAGGACAAACCATAGCTTATGTTTCATTAACTCGTCTGTTTAAGTACTTTGTCTGGCTGAGAGTTACTTAAAGCTGACCTGTGGAGCTATCGTGTAAACAAATAAAAGCCTTTGTTCCGCACTGAGTGTTTCTCACAAAAATCAAGTGGTTCAAACAAACGACTTAAGATTATCTTTGGGGTCCTTGAACACGCCAAGTGTGTACCCCTCTCAGTAAAATGCATAAAATTAGTACAGTTTTTAAACTTTTAACACTCTTTCATTCGCATCTTTGTTGAGTGCTTTGCTTGACTATTTCTTCTTGAATGTGTTTACAAGAATGACCAAAACACGGCCAGATGAACTGAATTCACCATAAACCACCACTCACTGGGTTGTAGCTCTACTACCCGGCAAAGATGACATCTCCAGAAAATGGAGATCAAGTTGTATTTGACTATTTTTGGAGTGTTTTGTTCTCAAGTTACTCTGTTTGGCGTTTTCGCATTTATTTGATAGGGCAGTAAAAGAGAGACAGGAAATGTGGGGTGTAAAGAGTTGAGGGGGAAACACAGCAAAGGACCATGGCAGGGAGTCGAACCAGCAACTGCTAGGGCAAGGATTATAGCCTCTGTGCATGGTGTGTGTTAAAACTGCTAGGCCAACAGTATCCCTTCTTAGTGTTTCTTTCCTTTTGACAAATCTGTTAGTCAAAATCTACATTTCCACACAAAAGACAAGAAATGAGTCACTTTGCAACTTTCCCTAGTTTCCACTGAATATTTTGTCAATGCTATCGCAGATGCTTTTAATTTTCTCTGAGATTAAAGTCACATAATTCTTTTAGTCTCTTTTACTTTCAACTCTTTCTCCAATCAATGTAGAGGGGGTAAAAGGTTGCATTTCCAGTCAGTCATGTGCTACTATAGATCAGGTTATATCATGCTTTGCTTCTTCAGTGTATTTCAGTGAAAACTTTATTCTGGGTAATGAAAATGCACTAACAGGATATCCTTTGTTTTTTTGTCCGACAGATGAACATCGAGCATGCTTTTAAAAACCCTGCGTAGCTGTTTCCTGGCATTATTCACAGTTGTGATGCAGTTAAATTAAAGGAAACTTAGATGTCAGCGCGGGGCTTTATAAAGTATTCTCTTTAGTAAGCAGCAGGGAAATGGGTGTACCTGCAGTGTGCATTTATGCACTGCTGATGATCCATCTCATTGTGTCTGACACATTTTTGCAGAATACCCTCCTCTCAATGAGGCTGGGCCGGCGATTAGGAAGTTTTTCACAAAGATGCGTTCATTTCACAGCCGCTTTTTGTCAGCGTCTTTCAGTGCTTTTATGTGAAAGCAGGCAGAAGCTCGATTTTTTTGCAAGATCAATTTCTCACCTATTTCTGCACACTATCTGTAAAATTGATGCAGAGACAGATTCGAGCATGTGTGTCGGTTTGAGTGTGTGTGTATTGAGTTGCTATCAAGCACTAGTTACTCATTTATTCGATCAAATTCACCATTTAGTCCAGGGTAGGAGCAGCAAAAGGATTTCGCCCAAATTAAGTCCTCTGTGATAACATTATAGAAGCAGAAGGCTCCAGTTTGTAGTCTCCCCTGAAGCAAGACAATAGCTGAACAGATAAGTGATGACTGATGAGACTGTCATTCTTTCAGCCAGCTTGACGTGTTCAACAATTTTTCCATAAATAGCAGATAAAGTGAGCTATGCATACGATGCCAAAGCTACATCGGTTTTGTGTGGTTGGTGTCATGTTTTGAAAAGGCTTGTGATTCTGTAAAAGACAACAACAGGGCATACAAGAATCTGTTTTGCCATCCTGTGGTATTCTTTCATACAGTTCACCCCTATGATTTATGCCAGCTTACAAAAACAGACTGACTGCATAATTTTTGGCATTTCTTTTTCTGGCTAAACCAAATACTTTATCACAATCTGATGCCCTCTTAACCCTCCTACAGTGTGACACATCATCAAAGCTGAACCATTAGAGCTAGTCTCCATGTAAACAAAACAAACCAACAACCAGTCTTGCAAGGCTTCCCCCTCGACCATCTGTGTAAAAGATCTTGTTTTGTGATCGCCTTTCTTTCACCCCACTTCCCCTGCACAGTGCTAAGAGGAGGAGTACAATGAGTGGGAGGCTTTTTGTAGAGCGAGGGGATCACAGACTGTAAATGTGTGTAGCCTCGGGCGTTGGCAGAAGCAGGATGATTTCATGTTGGTGGTGTGCAATGGGACACGTTGAAATAACCAAATCAGCTATAGCGATAAAAGCGTCTTTGAAATACAGTGTATCATACTAATCTTGTATCAGTGGGTCTAATCTTTCCTTTTTTTAGCCAATGAAAGCACCAAGTGAAGTGAATTTCTCCTCCTATTGAGGGTTCTTTTTTCATTGAAAGGAAAAGGTCCTTTACCTCGAAATGTGGAAGCAGCATATCTGGTCCACACTTTTCCCAAAGTCAATCTCAAACTGCTGCTGCTGCCATGCACCTAAGGGAGACCCCCATGACAGTCCATTTAATTGTAGTGCAGAGGGAATAGTTACCCATGGTGGGCACGGAGACAAAAGTGCTCAGTCCTTTGTGGAGGTAGAGGACACTGATGGAAGTGTGTTAGATGGAAAGTTGTAAAGAAATTAAGGGAGTGCAGCTTCCTCTAAATGGCCTCGGTGGTCCTTCATTTGGGGTTGGAAGATCCTGTTTGGTATTTCTGTCCTGTGGTCCATCAGCACTCTGAGAGTAAAGAGGGGAGATAAAATTAGACTCCAGAGCTAAATCTTATTAGCGCCTGTCCCACTGGCAATCACCTTTAGCACCATCTTCTTTCAGACTGAGTGTGTTTGTGAGTGTATGTGTGTTAGACAGAGAAAGGGAAGGTTGGAAAAGCTCAACAGGTTATTAATGAGATTCAGACATCCTCACAGTTTCATGCGTCCTTGTAGCCTCTGCATTTATAATCCAAACGTGCTCCTCTGTCAGTTCAAAGAGAGTGTTGTATTGAAGAAGCCGGGACAAAACCACTAATAACTTTTTTTTTTAACCAAGCTTGAGCCTTCCTCACTTTGCCCAAAACTCTCTCAAATTGATTTGTTAAAGCATGAAAAATCAAGTAACAAGACAAAAATAAGCCAAAGCATTTATATCAGATCTTTAACCTGTGACCCAGTCTCAATATTTTTAGACTTATCCCTGCGTGAGTGTCATGCCCATGTTTATTCATCAGAGCATATTGGTTCATCTTAACACAGGACTTTAAGCTGCAAGCTTCCATGGCCGCTTATATAATGGTGTTTACTCTAGCGCTACTGGCAGGGGGTCCCTTGGAGCTGACAGACAAACTACCTCTGTTGAAATGCCAGTGAAGTCACACTTAATCCTCTCTGTCTCTCTCAAAACTGTCACTTGCTACTTCCCCACACATGAAGCAAGAAAGGGTGAAAAAATATAAAACTTTTACTCTAATTTGGAGATCGTTTCCAATTACAACAAAACCAAAAGATCAATCAAACACTATTTAACGAGACTCTTCTGTTGTAATTGAAAATTTATATGCACTGAAAGACCGATCTATACTGAGTGTCAGCGGTTTAAGAGAGATAGTTTAAAAAAAAATTCACCTGTAAAGTGTTTTATGTTAATATGGTTTAATTGTGAGGTTTCTTCACTGCGAAAGGTCAAACTCATTAATGAAGAAGCTCAAGGGCCTTTCTCAGACCATCTCCATTACTTATTCCCTACACTCTTCCACTTCATTTACACTAAAGGTATGCCACATTAAGTGCAGTCCATAACCGCTAAGGGGGAGTTCTCTAAAATGGATTGTTCCTGCTAATTGCACCTAGAACTGCACATCATTTTCCCTCTGTGTCTGCTCTGTCTCAAGATCTCATTCTCAAAGAAATTACACCAATAATATATAACAATGCCTATGAAGGGGTACAGTTGTGTGCAGTTTGCTCCAGTGTTGCATTTTGTTGTGACTGAACTGTCAGCATCTCGCTCTTTGCTGCACAGAGCTGCATTGTGTACTCTCATCCTGATGACATCAAGTTCTGTCCACATACACAGAACAGCCTTAAAGTTGCAACCTAGTATGATAAGATGCGGACTCCACTTAATCTCTGAAGGTCTGCTTAGGTGTCGTCAGCAGCCGATCCTTTAAGCTCTGGAGGTTGTGAGGTGGGGCCTCCATTGATTGGACTTAGTGGTCCAGCACAGATGTCAAGTCAACACCATCATGTTCCTTCAGGCCACCTCCTTCCGGTGCTCCCTGATCCAGTATGGATGCTCGTGCCCATTGTAGGCACTTTTAAAGCTAGAGGACAGGGGTTAGCATGGACCCTTTTATAGTATGTGTTCACATCTGTCAGTACCAGCGATAACTATTATGGCAATCTGAGCTCCAGTTGCCCTTTTAGTGGACACATAGGGCATCTTTCACTATCCATCAGTAAGTATCAGTGAGTCATGGCTGCCTTTGACCCTGCTGCTGCCTGTTAGACCAATTTTCCCTCAGACCACTGCGAACCGTGGACACACCAGAAGAGCTGCAGTTTTTGCGATGATCAGATCCAATAATATCGCCATCACAATTTGTCTTTCATTAGAGTCGCTCACATACTCGCTTTGAGCCAATTTGTTTCTTTCAACACATAAACCTTGAGCACAAAATGTGAACTTGCAGCCTGACACGTCCCTCTCAGTGTAAGGTGCCATTGTAACAAGATAATCAATGACATTCACTTCAGCTGTCAGTGATCATAATGGGTTGCTGATTAGTGTATTTGGTAGAGAGCTGGAGAGAGAAACGCTTCACCAGTTTATTGTAATTGTCTATTCATAACCAACTTTAAAACTAATTTTACAGTTTATATCTAGCTTACTTCCCAAAGCAATCTAGCTTTTTCAAACAGGAAAAAAATGTGTTTTGTTTCATAATGACACAGCCTGTATCTTCAGAAACTTAGCTACAGAAATCCCCAGACTGAGTGAACCCCTGATGCTTTGGGGAAGGGCAGTGAGAGAAATAATCTTTATCACCAAAGAGAATGAGTTTCACCAAACTGATCACCAACAGATATCAGCAAAATATACTTTTCTCTCATACTGGGTGTTGTTGTTAAAACCATTACTTGTAATTTTTCTTTTTAAATTTTACTATAAGACTCATTTGCATAAAAAAGGCATATTTGCTCCAAATAAACGTACAGTGGTCCATCTAAATGTATGTGAACAACAGAGGCATGTGATACTATTGGCTCTGCAGTGCAGTTTGTGGAACATCAATCCTCTTCACATGTATGTGAGTTAAACAATATCATTTTGTAACTTTACACAGGTTTAGTGGGCAAACACCAAGTCCTTTTGTGATTCTTGATCTGAGTACGGAGTGGATTGGCAAACCCTCCGACAGGGAGTCGAACCAGTGGTGACCATGGTTACATAAAGTTTCTGTGTATGCGGGAGCGAGGGAAGTTTATCCCAAAGCTTATTGCTGTATCTGATCCTAATGAAGTGTGATTCATTCATCTGTGGGTGTGAACTCAACTCAAGTTTAGGTTGTGAGTGGGGATGGACCTTTTTGAGAAAAACTCCAACATTTCACGGTCTTTGCTTTGGCACCATCAGAGGGTTGTCAGTCATCAATGAAAAAGATGAGGGAGTGACTGAGAAATGTCCGTTTACAGAGTCAGCACCATGCTATCCGTGAACTTCTTTGACAGTGTGAATTTGGATTTTACAGAAAGACATAATTCTGAGGCGGGTTATGATAGGGTATGAAAACATGTGCCAGTTGTTTACAGACTAACGCCAGAAATACTTCTCCAACACCCCCATTTTGAAAGTGTGAATTCTCTCCATATGCTGGTCATTTTTCTGTGCTGTCTCAGAGTTTCAAAGCTCAGATTAGATTCAGTATTCCCTCATGGAGTCAAAAGCAATCATACAGTTTGCACTCCAAGGGATAGAAGTGCCTCCCTGGTGATTAAAACCTGCTTACCCCTGTCCCTCTCCAATTTCCTCCATCTCAGTTTAGCATTTTGTCTCTTTTCAAAGACACACGCACACACCCGCATGCACACACACACACACACAAGCACGCATACACACAAACACACACACGCTCAAAAACTGGGTAACTAGCAATGGATACAGTCGAATTCCTCCCCTAATGAGGATGAGCTCATAAAGGCATCTGTATGAGAGTGGAGGACGAGCTAGCAGAGATTATCTCTGAACTGTTAATACGACTCCTTATGGGGAATACTTTGATTGATCTCCAGCAGACTGATAATAAAAGGGTTATTTTCTTTCTGTTATCATATATTTATAATGTCTGGTTTTGTGAGACTGATCACACAGTGGATTGTCACACCAGCTCTGCTCTCATTAAAAATAGATCATCTTTAAAAAAAAAAGTCTGTATGAATTCCCTTTTTTTCAATGTAATGAAAACAACTGAAAATGTCCACAGTGTTGTTGCCTGGAGATTAGCTGAAAAAATGCAAGAATTTCTTGAAAAGTAGGGCATCGTGAGTTGAGTCACAACAAACTATTCAAAGTTAGGCATGTTCATTCTGCTTAGACAAAAGACTTCTATCTTTACCAAATGATTACTTCAAAAAAGTTAATTAAATTAATGAAGTGATCAAATTAAAATAAATAAATTAAGAATGATCAAGTGTCAGTACCTGAGGATTCTTTCATTTACTGCACCTTAACTTGTCTTTTAGCTACACATATAGCAGCAATTAAAGCTCCTGTGGGGAACTTGTTTTGGTGGATTTTGGCGCCCTCTGCAGACAAAGCAATACCTCTTCTCCTTTGGTTTAAATGTATCCTGTATTGATTCAAGTTGTGGTTTTTCACCAAAAACATCATCCTTATTTTGTCTACTATTTCAGATTCCCCAATATATATAATATATATAAAAGGGGGTGAATCAAGAGCTGCATAGTAAAAAACAACAACAACAACAAAAAACAGACATCAATGTGTGATAATACTTTTTCATTTCCTATATTCTAATGAACTTAGGCTGTTGTTTTAAACTGGTAGCAGTCAGCCATGTTTGGTGCTTAGTGTTTATTTGGAGGCTCTTTGTACACTTGAAAGTGTGATGCTCTATTAGCTACTTGCTGTTTGTGTAGCTAATAATATTGTGCTAACAAAGTTAACTCTTAGTTTCTGTGTGTCTCCATATAGTTGTCATCTTAAATGTCATCAAAGTTCAATACTCAGTAGATTCAGTAAATTCTTTTGTAGTAGATCATTGCTGTTTAACAGTTTAAGAAGCACATGATCACTTTCTGAGTGTTTAGATGCAGCACAGCATCTCAAATTCTAACTCACCCCAAGCTCTAACAAAACTATCTCTGTGTATCTGTCACTGAATGTTTCTTGCAGCCCTGAGGTTTATTAGATTTAAGATTTCATTACATTAAGGTCTTCCTTCTTCATTGCATATATTATTCTGTCTTAAAGTTTGTGTTAGAAATAGAATATTAGCACAGAAATCAACTGTATCATGAATCACATTTAGTTTGTACTTTTTGACTTTTTGTGTTAGAGCACTAAACAAAACTAGTAGAGCCAGTCATGCTACACAAAACTACAGAGAAACTACACATTGTCCACTTGTTGAGAAAATCTCAAGAAAATCTGACATGAACATTTGCTCATACAAAGAGTAAAATCACCATTTTACCAAGCCTTGAATTATAGTGAAATGTTACTGAGTTTGAAGCTTTAAAAACAACCATAAAGAAACAGTCGGTCTTTATGCTAATGGTCTTTTTTTTTTTGCTCATATACTACAGGAGTTGTTACACTTTAGTCTGTTAAACAACCTGCTAAAAACTCCTCACAGAAGCTTTGAACAGAAACAGGTCATTTGTTTTGAGTGCAGTTTAATAATATTTGACTTCATACACTCATTTCAGGTAAATAAAACATATGTTTTACTCGTGCTGTTTGGTGAGCATTATGGTATTTAAAAATTAACTGCAGCACTGCGGTGGCCTGGGCGGTGATTAAAGAAAAATAGATTAAACAGAGTTTGAAATATTAATGAAATGTTACGTGGAGAGTAATGAACTATGTTGCAGCACCACTACTGCTGTCAGAATTAAATAAATATTGTATAAATAGAAGCAAGAAGAAAGCGAGGAGGAGAGATAGGAAAGAGAGAAAAAAACGGATGGTATTTAATGTAATTTCTGAGTGTTATATCTAATGTTCTAGTTTACCTTTCCTCTAAGTGGATGAAGTTCGTTGCCTGTTGTTGACTTCGAGTGTGCACTTGTGTGTAAAGCTAACTGGATTTTCTCTCCCCACTTTGGAGGATCCATGTTGAATATTAAGACCAGCAGGCTAATTCACTGAAAGCCACATCAGTAACAGTTAAACTACTAATCAGCCTATCTCCTGTAACCTCTCAAGTGCATGTGATAAAGTGGATGAATGAATGAATGTAGTGGTAACTTCAGTGGATAAATTAAGTAAATTATGTTTTCACCGAACAGCTCCCTCTGTAGATATCATATTAATATTCATGCAGAGCTGAGCACAAAAGAAACAGACCATGGTCAGGACCAAAAAGTTTTTGGAGTAAACATCTGACCCTAACTTTACATCTAAAACTTCATGCCTGGGTGAAACTGACAGAAATCGAGAGGATAACATTTTTATTTCAAAATAAACAAAAGCTCCTTCTCATACAGTTACCTCCTGTCAAAAGGAGGACATCTTTGCTGTTCTGAGAGTTTTTTTCCCCTAAACCTCTCAGACTGAGGTCAGAACGGTTCGGTCTGAGACCCTTTTCACTGCAACATCTCGATGACTCGTGCCGCTCACCAGCAACTAATTATTTGAGAAGACATCTGACTGCCACCCCAGGCTTAAGATCAACATCTCACTCAGTCACTCAGTCAGTCAGCCTGTTTGGATATGAGTGAAGCTATTCAAGCTTAGCACGGAGAGTCAAGGTCACTCTTTCCTTAAACTCTGCCAGCATGTTTATGTTTTTTTTTTTTTCTAAGGAAATTGATTTGGAGAAAATAGTTATTTGAGGATAAATAGCTAAAGGGTATATATCCATAATGATAACAAAATATTCGTGACTTAGCTTTTAAAGGTCATTGGCCAGGATGCGTCTCTGAAGCACGTCTTGATTTTCTCTAATTGTAAAAGATGTGATCTTTCTGTATGAAAACTGTACAGCAGGTGGATGTGTTGATTAAATCCCACGCTGAAGTACATGTGTGCATCCTGTGCCTCTCTGACTCCTCTCTCATACAACCATAAAGACCTTGCTCTGAAGAGTTAGTCATCTGAGGACAGCTCTCATCGACCTGCGAGCTAACAGCCCTGCAGCCGTTCTGCCATGACACTGTAAACTTTTTTTACACCCTTGTCCACTCCATAAAGTCGAGGTGAGCTGCAGCGGATGAATTGTTGCACTAATGTAGGGACCCAAGAGGACGGAGCACATAATAAGCAAGAATAAGTTTTATTTTAGAAATGAAATACTGCATCGTGAAGCTGGTCCTGGGTGATTATCTGAGCAAAAGCAACAGAGTCAGTATTTATGTGATGATTCGATCAGTGTATTTGGTGTTTATCATGGGGCTACCGTACACTGACATTCACTCTGGACCTCAAAGTTAATATGTAGTAAAAGTGTCACGAGGTTTGCAAGCATTGAATTGCAGAACAGTTTTTCCGGGACGTCTGTCAACATTTAAGCTCTGCCACTGTTGCCAACAAGTAAACATTGTGGTTCCCCGAAATGATCCTGGAACACTATCAACAGTGATTATCAGGAAGCTGAAGCTGTCTGGGTTTAAATCAAATATAATGGACAGTATAATAACTCTTAACACACAAACAAACACCAAACCAGTCAGATGACTCTCATCCACTGGTGCTGCTGCAACCTAACTCGTAACAAGCTGTCACATGGACATTTTGGCGTGATTTAGATTTTGTTTCGCAAATCTAGACATTTCTGGTACGGGCTGTTCAAATGTGATCCCGTTCAATGACACCAGGGAAAACCTGGTCATTTCCATCTAGTGTTTGTCCAGTGCAAATAAAGCTGTGTGTTGACTTTTACTTGTGGTGACTTTTAAACCTCAGCTTTTTTGAATCAATAGAAGCTGTCAGCAGAGGAGGAAGGGAAGAGGAGGAGGTCCAAAACACAAAACTGGACATAGAAAGACTGAATAGAGCAACACAAACATTTCTGATCCTCTTCATCCAGCTCAAGTGAAATCAAGGAGAGCTTTATTTAACTATTCGAGATACAGTATGTGATGAAGCAGTCGTGACAAAGAATTGAAGAAATGACCCTCTGTCTGTCAAGATTTTGCCATTAGCAGTATAAATTCTTTGGCACACAACTACCACACTCTTCTCTTTTTGTCTTCCAAGCAATGCATTTGGCATGGCCGTTCAGGACATACAAAAATGTGTGTGCCACTAGTTTGTCCATTCTGTGCCACTGGACAAACATAAGGACCTGCTTCTTATGGAGAGAAAAACATTTATTTTATGTTAATATTCAAAACAGTTTTTATGTCCTGGTGATTAAACACCAATTTAAACAAAACTTAATTTCTACTAAGTCTGTTCTGCTGAATGCATCTAATTTCTACAAACTAAACCTTTGTATTATACCCTAACTCCTTTGCAATGTAAATGCAATCCAGTTTGCAAGGACTAATGCACAACATTGCACAAAACACATTCAGAATGATAGTAGCTTTCCATATTGTTGCAAATTGCTTACATTGCTTCTCTAAATAGCAAACTATCTGTTGCATCGGCCTCTAAACAGCACACAAATGAGGTGCATAAACCACAAATCCTGCGAGGACGAGTGTGTAGAACAGTGGAATGACTTTTTGTGCGAGTGTGTGAAAAGGTAAATAATTTTCTTCTATTTTCTGCATTTTCTCCTGATATTGAATGAAAGTCGAGGTGCGGGGAGAAAAGAGAGAGGGGAATGTGAGAAAAGCCAAACTTGAGGTTTCTGCTCTAGGAAAAAAGGTTCTTGGGCTTTGTGAGTCTACTGACTGCACCTGCGGGGGAAGGTGATTTAATTTTGGTGCTATGGAAGTGCCGAGATTAGGACTGGGTGACTGATAGGAAGGCTGCTGGAGGGGGAAGGCTAAGTATCTGCAAACCGCGGAGAACATGGCACAGGGTGATCTGATGGAAGCAGACAAAGTTATTTGTTGTGAAAATAAATGAAATGGAACTAAAGTTTGGACAGAAAGAGATATAATGTTCTCTACTTTAAGAAATAAACTGAACAGGTCAGTGATTTATTTTAGCCAGAAAGATATGTCTTTTCGGAATATATAATGAAAAAGGTTTTCATGTATTGTACGGGTTAGAATGAGTTTGGAAATATCAGCAAAAATCTAAGATTGTGCATGTCTAATTCAGAGCTGTCTCCACTGTTTAGACTTTGATAAAGAAACCACAGCTGCAGCACAGTCTGTACTGCTCCACACCTCGGCTTGCATCATACAGGCATGTACCATCCCTGATAAGCTCTGCATCCTGAAATACCCCAAACCCTGACTTCCTGCTCCCCATATGTGCACATAACCCCAACAGTCTCTCTGTCTTGATGTGCAGGTACAAAGCTGTGTGCTGCAGAGTCTTTATCTAAGGCTCTAATACTGAAGTCATTGGGGCATTTCCTTGCTGTCCTACCTAATTAAATGCCCCATATGTCAGCATCCTACTTAATCTGCTTGTTTTTGTCAACACCATTCAAAGGGCTAATCTAACTTCTTCCGAACAATCAAGGCAGACAGAGGACTGTGCCAAGAATCATAATATGCATTTTCTGGATAAACATTGTAGAGGAAGGTGACCAGCAGTGTTTGGAAAAGACTGCGTGTTGATAAATAAAGATGCTCGGCTTTCCCTTATAAGGCCTTATTATCTAGTTTACTCGTACATGATTCGAACATACTTTCACACATTTGTTATCACATCTTGTACCCCTCTGCATGTCTTTGAGATGCAAATGCAACCAACATGTACTTGTTTAGCTTGTCCTAATCAAGTGCACGAGCAAACAAGATGCCAAATTAATTCTAAAGGTTAATGAGCGCCGAGGCCAGATGACAGCCCCTGAACAAATAATGATGGAGAGAGGAAGTGTAATAATGGCATGAGGTGTGGCTTGGCAGAAAGGCAGACCAGCTGTGCAGACCCAATTTCAGGTGTGAGTTTGGGTCAGCTCGGGCTGCTGTGCCCGCTCTGAAAGAAACTTGTTGCTTCTGTCCAGCTGTCTGTGCGGCCTTGAGAGTAGTCTCCAGCATCAAAAGATAAACTACTGAAGAAGACTGTAATACTTGCACTTTAGCCTTCAGCTCTATTTCTTCTCCAGCTCCTGATGCACATGATTCTGTATGAAAAATGAGAATAAATGTGATTGTTTTCTTCAGTCTAGCTGCAGTAATGGCCTCCTTGAGTTAAATATCCAAATTCCTCAGGCTTTGTTCTTGACCTCTACACCCTCATGTAGAAAACACTTTCATATCATTTAACTGCAGCCCCCCTAAAACCTCTTTCCCAATCTGTCTCCAGACATTGTTTGTCTCTTTGTAAAGCATAATTGTGTCAACAATCACGAGAGACGAGACACCAGACCCTTTTGGATAAGTGCTTTCCCACAAGGTAAATTTGGCAGGCGATGAGGGGGCAAACATGCAAACAAACCCGCCGACAGTGATTTTCCGTCGCCTGTTACTATGCATTTTAATGAAGTTGATGGATTAATGCTTCACTCCTGTAATAGGCCGCTCGGAGAGCACTGGTTAAGCCTGATGTGCTCTATCAGTGCCAAGCTTATCTCATCAGTAATGGTCACTCATGAGCTCCCATCCGTCTTTTTCCACATCACTTTCCATCTTAATATCTTGGTGGTGAATGGTGTTTTTTCCGAAGCAGAGCAGTCAAAGCCCACAGTAACAATGTTGTCTCGAGGTAAAATGACTAAAGAATAAGCTCTTAAGTGTTGTTGCTGATTGCCAGATGAGAATTGAGCTGCAGGGTAGACATTTAGACGGAGGGTGAGAGACCTGTTTAATTGGGGTGTTAGGTTTATGCATCCGCACATACGTTTGAAACAGTTGAGCTGTTTTTATAGTGAAGTCGGTTTGTCACTGCATGTGTAGATGTCTACATTCATGCATGTGCACACTGTGTTGTTTTTCTTTTTTATAATCTTGGATCAGATCTGTTCGGTCTAAGTTTGTGTTGGCTTTTGAGGTGTTTGCTTGAGCTGTTGCAGTTGTTGATATAAGATTGTATTTTTTTATTCCTAAAACTTGACCTTACTTAAATAAACTGAAACAATTGGAAGTTAATTACCTTTACATCTGCTAGAAGTAACAATGCACGAATGAAGAAGAGTTGGGGAAAAATAATGTAACCTTCAGTACCAGACTTGGCTGTGCGTCACTTAAATGTGAGCTTCAGAGCAAATTTTCACAGCTCTTTTAACAACAAAAAAGACAATTATGTTTTAACCAGATTTTCTTTTGACAACCACCAGATGTTTGCAAGCTTTGCTATTCTTTTAACGAAGCTTTGGTAGAAAATAAAGACAGCAATTAGCAGAAGGAGAGAGAAGGTTTTTTCAGTTGTCAAGAAGTCGAAGTGGCACTGTTATATAAAGCTCAGCATGTGTTGTGCCTTCATGAGATTCTGTTGATGCTGCGTGTTTTGGACACATTGAGGTCTGTCTTCTTCTTCAGAGGATTGCACAACAGAGTTCCTCGTAGGATGATCAGTTTAGAGGGATGTTTTTTTCTCTTTGGTTCTAATTTTCTGACGCTGAATCCTGAGTTATATTAATCTAAAAAAAAAAATCTGTCACACAGCTTTGTTTTTGTTTTGGAAATATCATTAACTGCAAAAAGTTTGCTTTGGGGCTATCCTTGCCAAAGAAAACCAAAAGCTGCACCACAAATAGCCTCTCTTGATTTCGACTGGGATTAGATTTGTTTGAAAACACGGGCAAAAATCCCATCAGAGTGCCTGATTTTAAGTGTTCCTTTTCATTTGGGTAAGCGCTATTTAGAGCTGCTTAATGGATCCTGTTTCAACTCTCCTCCCATGTCTTTGATCGGTGTCCCACCTCCCGAGCTCTTATCTGAGCCGACACAATGGACCAACAACCTGCTCTCATTCTTCTCTCTCAGAGGAGGGACCATCAGCATAGCTAATACCGTTGGATGTCAGCGTTTCATCTCCTTTTATATCCTGCATTTTCTCTTTACTCTCTTCTTAAATGCTTTCACACTGGTGGCGGCAGTCCCACTTCTCAGCTGAATATCACCGTAGAGTGAATCTTCCCTCTCGATTATTGCCTCCCCATTGTCCACTAGCTTTGTGTGCTGGGGCTTTCTGTGTCAGCCTGCCTTGAATTGGCCTGTTTACTGTGATTAAATGGGAGCAGGGAAGGTTGGGGGAGTGACTCTTCTTGAATGTAGGAAAGTTTCTGAAAACACTGCAGCACTTAAGTTTTACATTAGCCGTCACTGAGACAAAATAGGTACCCTTTGTTTCTGCTGTTTTTTTTTTCTTCACATCAAATCTCCGTGCTTTTCTTACCCATAATTACAAACTACAATCTGTGTGCTGTGCTAATTGTGTTTATTACTCTTGTGTCTAATTCTAATTCCCCATTTTCTCTTAAGTGAAATCATTAATTAACAGTTCGGAGCATATGGAGCCATAAACTTCATGTGAGCTCTTTCAACGAGGTTTTATTGGTTGGCTGCTTAAACACAGTATTTAGCTCAGAATATAACAATGTTTCTTTGGACTGTGCTTTCTTAAAAGACTTTGGGGAATATGGATTAAATATCTGGCATCCCGCAGAGGAACTTGTTTGTCAATTTAATGGTATCAGGCCTCGGAGACTATTATTGGGGATGAAAATGGAAAGAGGCTCTCCTCTTTGCGAGCACACCTTTTACTGGCTGGTGCAGCTCATTAGCCTCACTTGGCACCGCAAAATGCAGGAAAAATAGAGAAAAATGATTAGCATTGGCAATGATGGCAGTGGGATTCATTATACTCATATACCCTGAGTAAAATTTGGCAGTAGAGAAAAGGACAATCAAGCGTTTATGGATTTTACTCCAGGCTTCCTTGACTTGAGTCAAAAAAATGAGTCCTTTTCTACTCACCGTCTTATTGCTTTTGGCGTACAGATGCTAAAAAATGACACAATGGCAGAGTATTTTGATAAAGCTTTAAAATATGGAATCAAGGGAACAACCCCTGTGTGCTTTGATACCTCATTGAAGCTTTTATCACAAGAGGAAGTCTTATCAGATTAATGAGAGGGAGGGAAAGCGAGATTTTCATGTGTGAAATCTGTCCTTGTTTGAGAACTGATGTTATCTCTTTGTCTTTTTTTTCCAGGTTTTCGGTGATTATTATCACTTCCGACATCGCACAGTGGTGAAGAGATCGCTGTCAGATCACAGAGGGACACAAGTCCGTCTGGAAAAAGATCCTAAGGTAAGAAGTTCGTACTCAGAGGTGTGAGACAATTACTGTGCTTGTGAATGATGACTGTGGTGCTGTTATTTCTGTGGCTTTGTCCGTCAGAGCACATACTTTTCTACAAAGGGTATGCATGTAACGTCTCGACATGCATAGAGTCACGACCACATGTGGTCAGAGTTTCAGTTCAGACATGTTGATGTTCTCTCTAGGCTTTTCCAGATCCTCAGCAAGAGATAATATGTATATGCAATCATTTGAAACTGTAATTTATCATTAATATAGTCACAGTAGGAGGCTGTGCAGCAACAAGAGTAGACACCATATGCAGAACATCAGGGAGCCTCTGCATTTAATCAGGGATAAATATAATCTGACCCCCACAGTTATGACTCCATATGATCCCTGAACCAGTTTCCTTCACATCTTTTTGACTCATGTTATGAAAGCTCAGTGTTTCAGTAAAACATTCAGATATTTGTAGTTAGAAAAGATTGTCTGAAATGATAAAATATCAGACTTTGCAAATAAGAAAATTCTTACAGATCGATTGATCATCTAAGCTCTCAAACATGTAACTCTATAAAATGATAGATGATTTGAGGTGAAGTGTTCAGTCAGGCAGCTCCCTGTGACACCAGGTATTGTGTGCAGCACAGAGGCCCAGCAGAAACAAAGAAGAATACAGAAAGATAACAGTGACAGGGCGATGAACCAAACCCTGGGCTCTCATTTGTCACCGTCTTTTAATGGCTGCCTCAGCGTTCACGCTGCCTGTTTTTCTTTTCACCTGAGCTGTTGCCTTTTTGCAGTGCTCCCTAAATACATCCACTCCTGTGTGGATCTCTGTGAAACTACCTCCACCTGCTTGACTGATTTAATTTATACACATATATATATATATTTTTTTTATATTCCTGTATTTTTTCATTTTTTATGGGGGATTTGAAGTTAGTCTGAAAATGAATCTGTGACCTCCCCCATTGGGAAGGACAAAAGAGGGGAGTGTGAAATTAATATCCGAGGCGTAGGATAGTGTGTGAAAGAGGATGTATGTTTCCCATGAACACTTGCCACTTCATTAGGTAAGCCTAAGCAGTGTCTTATTATACGAGACAGCAACTTTGCTTTAAATGTATGCAGCTTCTAACCTTTCAGTTTCTGTTGACACTGTCAGATCGGCAATGATTTTATTTCATGTTTACTATCAGAGTCATGAAAGTGGGAGGTTTTTACTCCACATCATATCATTGAAAGGCGTTTTCAATATTCTAACCCTGATCTTATGATAATGTGGGTTAGGTTTGTCTGCTGCAGAACACAATATTAGTAAGTAAAAGCTGGTGCTCCCTCCATAGGTAACATATGGTTGGTACCCCTACAATAGAATCACCATACTTAATTAAAATCAAGGTTATATGTAATTTTCTCTAAATTATGTTTTCAACTGTACGTCTCCAGCACCTTTCACACAGCTGCTTTTCTCACCAGCCTTTCCTTTTCTCTTAACCTGTAAGTCTCTCCTCTGTTGATAGTTATCATCAGCAGTACATACCAGATCAAATATATACAGGACTATTTATTTCATAGAAAAAAGGTGGACAAACACTGAAAAAACTCCTCATAGAATAAAGTAATATGGGACTCTATTATGATGTGATCCAGGAATGGGTGTGGCTTTTTGTTGATGAGGAAGCCTGTCTTAATGATCCAAAACTGAGAGTACAGGAAAACATCTGTTGCAAAGTAAATAGAGAGCATGAGGATCAAGTGCGTGTTAGTAAAGCAAAGGCACAGACTGAGCATAGAGAACAAAGCCAGTATTGATTAGCTCATGGCTAACCTAAAGGTTTGTATCATTGTAAAACACTTATAGGCACATGAAGATATAAGTCTTCTGTTTTTTTAAATGAAGGCTGAAAGGTTGTTAAAAAGGTTTTATCGGTAACTGCAACATGGTTAAGTGAATGCACATTTAGGGGATTTACTTTCAACACCACACTGGTGCTTTGTCCTATCCAACCATGGCAATGGGTGAGCAGTAGGATATACATGTTTTTATAACTAATAATAAACAGTAAAGATGTCTCAGGTCTGTGTTTTTTTAGTGTTTTGTAGGCCTGATGTAAAAATTAATGATACCTCAAACCATCAAAACACTCAAAGCTGTATACTTTAAGTCTGAAGAGTGTACTGGGGGAATAGTTTTGCTGCTTGACAACAGTGCATTTCAGTGTCATATTAAAGTATTTTAAGTTCAGTGCAGATTTTCTGACAGCTGGCATACCTCAAGTACAATGGGCTGCAGTGAACAATGAAACTGAAATAGCTCAGGCTTTATATAAAGCAAGCTGTGGTCAGTTGTCTCCAGTACTTGTCTTAGACTCCACTGCTCTTTATATTACCAGCCGACCGGTACATGAGCCTTTTGAGGAACAGTTTTCCACTGATGATGAGGAGCATCTCTTCTTCTTCACTGTCTTTATAAACATGTTTGTATCTATTATACAGTACAACATTTTCAACAATGTCTATGAAAATCTATTGAATCTGCAAAAAATCTAGGAAAATGTTTAATGCCCACAAAGAGCGACTGAAACCCTCTGTAAGGTTTCCACTCACATGTTGTTATGCTGTCCACCTACACAGAACAAGTGCAACAACCTCTGCTGAGTTAATTTGCACCCATGTTAGAAATGGTCCACCTCTTCTGTGGGATTTCCTCTAATGCTGGGGCTTCATTTCCTGTTGTTGAATTCCTTTTTTTCCCCTCACAGCAGCCAAGGAAAGGCGGAAACTCTTTAGCAGGGGCCAGGTCAGCTTGTCAATATCTACAGCAATCTACGAAATGCTTTATGTCAGCAACTGCACGATTTTGGTTAATTTGTTTGTATATTTAATCAAGCAAGTTTTACAAAAGATGCTGCAATATGTTGCAATTTTTACCAGATCCCTCACAGTTTTAGGACTTATCAACTCCTTATCTAAACAGCAGTGCATTTTTTCTTTTAGCTGGGACGCACTGAAAATCACCTCACATTTGACTCCCGTTTGCAGCGAAGCACAGGAAGGATTACGAAACAATTCCTAATGGGAGTAATTTTCAGTTCTAGAGAGGCTGTGCCTGCAGCCCCTAAACGGGTCGAGATGAAGCTTTAACAAAAGGGCCGGTAAACTCTCTTTGAAGAGTGTCTAATTACTGACAAAAGCACCTGGACCTGAGCCAGATCTCATAGATTGGTACGCAGAGCTCTGTTAATGGGGCCTATTGAAGATTTAAAGCTCAGGTCTATCTGCTACCTCCACACCTTCTACTGTCTCTTTTTAGTATCTGGTTGCTTTGTCAGGCGGTTTGCTTTACCCCGTGAGTTTTTGTCTAATGAGTTAAAAGAAACATTGAACTTAACTCTCATTTGTTTGCTTGTGGTTGAGGCTCATAATTTCCTGGTTTCATTACTGTGGAAGAAGAGGAGCAGCTGTGACATGAAAAAGCTTTAGTATAAATCTGAACATCTGATCTGTACTATAATTGGTGTTATGTTCCCTCATGGTAATGATGCTTCATTTGAGGTTTCCGTGCAGCCTCAGAGGGAGGATGCTATGTTTGTGTAATGAAGAAGGACAATTCGGTGGGTGGGCGAAACGAGTCCTGCTGGGAAGCTTTGTTTGTTTTGTTTTTTAGAAAGTATCCTCCACCTAAACATAAAACAGTCTGTTTGCGAATATCCCTGTTCTGCACTGAAGCTGGTGGAGCGCACAAGATTAACACAGTTTTTCATTTTCATAAGCTCATCCACAATGAAAAAAGGCTGTTTGTCACAGGCAGTTAAGGAATCACAAAATATACCTGTTTATGACAAATCCTACAAAGAAAATGGAAAAGTTTCTAGTTAAACTCTTGCCAAAGTATGAAATTTCCTCTTTGTGGGTTCAGATTTGGTGCTGAACACTCACATTTTTCACTCTGAATCAGTGAAGGGAAAGAAGTCTCTGCTGATGTGAGGTTAAATTTGATAAATACAGACTAACCACTGACATTTAATATTAAAAACAACTGGCAGTAGACGCAGAGCACTATTGGGGAGATATGTTCTTGTAAATGGAATATGTTCCTCTCTCCACAAAAGGATCAGTAAAAGTAATTACTGTACTGCTGCACAGTTTTCATCAAGTTATGTTTCCCAGGGCTGATTGATTGAGAATCCCCATCAAGTAAATCGATTCTGCAGACACCCAACGTGTGCCATTGTTTCCCCAACTAGGACTAAAGCAGGATGGTGTCTTTTCTTTGCTGCGCTTTGATTGACGTCTTAAGGAGTGGTGTAAGGCATCAAAATGAGTAGCTGCACAAATGAGCAGGAAATATCTGGAGGTGTCTGCGTTTAGAAAGAGCAGAAACCAAAGCTACTGTACTGTGGCTAATTTACATGTTAGCTGGAAGCACATGGGCTGTGATTAAGCTGTAATATCATGATCTTTTATTAAGTAGACTGTTAAAGCTGGACCATGTAAAAGGGAACTGTGATATTTATAAAACATTTCTGTATATTGACATATTTCTAAGTCTGAATCTGCTAAATGTTCCTGAATGGCCTCTAAACATCTCCTGCAGCAGTTGCAGTATAATCCAAGAGGGTGAAGCTCTTCTTTGACACGGACAGACCCAGACTGTTATGGATTGAACTCAATGTCCTCAAAAATCACAAAAACAGCGGCTACATTTTCTCCAGGTCTGACTCACATTTCCAACATTGTCTCTCAGCGATGTCTCCTCGCAAAAGGTTACCTCGCTCACAAGATTTCAAAGCAAGATCTGATGTTTGCCAAAGAAAAGGAGGATCCTACCTTTGAACAAAAGGGTCTACCTCCTCAGAGACCCTCTCCTCTCAGTTATCAGGAACAATCTGAGCCTGTAACTAGTAAAAAGGATACTTTTACCGGACTTGATCTGCTTGTTTTTAAAAATATGATTTCTTTGTTATTGAAGCTAGTTCTTATGCATGAGTTAGTAAAACTTCTCTGTGCCATCAAGCCTCCAAACTGTGGTAGCAGTGCCTGGATTTGAAGCCAAAATCCCGCTTTGAGTGAGCGAGCAAGAAGATGATCCTTAATTTGGAGGAATAAACTGAAACATCTATCACTGAAAAACATGTAAAACAATCAAAACTTGCTCACTACTTTAGCTGGCTCTGTTAGTTTTTATACTGATAATGCCATGACAACAAGATCTTTTAAGGGACTTATCAGCATTTGAGTTAATACTACTGTAGTTGGCTGATGCACTCAATGCATTCGAGTGAGAGCTTGTAGCAACTCAACAACATTTCCTCTGCAGTGAAAATAAGAGTGAAAATAAGTTGCTACACTTCCAGCAAGGCCGTGTATAAGATTGCAATGCATGCCTATGATGTTTGTATGTATAGGGTACAACACCAGGGGAAATATGAATCCCACTATGCTCCACAGGGATAATGAGATCATTTAAGATGCAAGTTAGACTCAGTGGAAGCTACTCAAGCCACACGGTGCCGTGATCAGTCAGCAGCTTTCTACAATTTTCTGTGCGTATAACTTCCTGTGTTGCCCCAGATAACAAATAGTGCGGTATGATTGCGTGTTTAGCATCCTACAATACTTGTGTCAGCATTCAGGCAGACCTCACTGACATATGTGTGAAAACCCAACGAGTTTCACACAAGATTTGATGATAAATAGCATACCAGGAATTGGATGAGGGGAAATCACGTACACATCCTTTTGACGCAAGAGGAAACCACTTTTTTTTTTAATCTCAGTAAATCTTGAGAATTTTTTATAAGATGGAATTTTTAACCTCCTAACTGAGTCTTCGTCAGTCAGACAGTAGATATCTTTTTCAGTCGATGTTACCATTTTCTTTAACATAGTATGCCAGTATTACAGCCTGCTGCAGAAACTGCCTGTGGGTCTCCAAACCGTCTCTGTCTCTGACTAATTAGCCGTAGTAATAACGTCACATAGGAATAGTTGTGTAAAACCCCAGAGATCTGGATCTCTTCGTCTAAAGTTGTGAAACGAGTAAAAACATATTTAATGATTCAGTGAGAACACTCTCCATTCGAGCTACTGTAAAGGCCATTCACTCAAAATTTGATCAGTTGTGACACCGCTAAGAAATAGAAATTACAATTATGGTATTAAAAGTAGGAGCGATAAACCTAAAAAGTAAAGTGTAAAGCTTTATAACAGTTTCTGACCCAAACCTACGCTGCGCTCTGACTTGATTTATCTTCACAGTGCTGTCAACAGGGGAATTTAGCAGAATAAAATACACACCCAGTAAGACACAGGCATTTATTTTTTGAGTTTGATAGATAAGATTTCATTTCTTCTTTTCAAAACTCCAGCTGCTGACAACACCAACACGAAGTCAAAAAAAAAGAAAGAAAGTGCCAGTTTCCATTTTTGTAGACAAATTCTTAGTTTATATTCGAGCATATACAGAAGTGAGATTGTCAGATTGCCTGTTGGCCTGAAAATTGTCTGCAACTTTTTTGGAGTTATCCATCAGTACAAACACAGACTGCTTACTTGTTATTCTCTTCCACCGCTTGCAACTTTTTAGCGAAAATGTTTGCTGACACATCCCATATGTTTGTTAGCAGCAGTTCTGTGACTCGGTGTGTCAAAGACCTATAATTTCTCTTTTTCTAAGTGGAAATTCTCAGTGTGACAAACTGCCACAGCTGTACCACTCAGTGCTGACCTCATCCTCTGTAAGACTGCAGTTGGAAACATCTTCACCACTCGAAAACCACCAGTAAAGAGACTAACAGACATGATCCTTCACATTAAAACCTCTCTACTTCTTTGGAAAAAGGAAATTATTTCATTATGGCATTTTATTATTCTAGTGTTGAATTGGCATGGCTTCAGTTTTGCAGCTAATGTGACCTTCATTACTTCTGTTCCTCTTTTACTCTTGCGTCTCTAGTGATCTGCAGAGAGAGAGAGAGCGAGAGGGAGAGAGATGCACTATGATTCAGTCGTCCTTCACATCAGGTGCTCCGTCCTTGCAGCAGGCAGCTCTCTGTCTTCTTTCACTGACATATTTAGTTTCTTTTCTGGTCCGCCTGGCTGTTTTGCTGTGAAGTGAGCACGATTCTGCAGAGGAAGGAAGATGCAGGGCTTATTTTCCCTGTATGCAATCTGCCTCTGTCAACATTTTCTGCAGGAGCTCTCACATTAGGAAAGCCGCTGCAGACTGGCTTACTGTTGTGTTGTGAGACTTGTACTGACGCTCTGCCTCTATCTGTACGTTGTTTGTATACATGTATGGTAAGATTCTCTTTGTCAGCATATTAAATCCTAATGCATTTCATTTTTACACTGATCCTGATGTTTTAATTAGTCTGGATTTACAGTGGAAACTCTTAGGAAGTCTCATTAGTGTGGAGTCCTCAACACCCCGCTGCCTCTAATCCCTCTCTTTCTTATGTCATCCTGCAGGATCCAAGAATTTAGATCTTGATTTATTTGTCCGACATCCTGACCCCCATGTTTAGCGCTTAATCATTTCTTTTTTTGAGTTAGCAGCAGGAGTTCTTTTTTTCTGCGAGCCACAACAAATTTTGGTTTTAATTGCTCATTTTAATCCATGTATTTGTGTGTTTGTGCATTCCTCGTTTAGGTGACTTGGGCTGAGCAACAGGTTTCAAAACGAAGGAAAAAGAGAGATGTCTACGTGGAACCTTTGGATCCTAAATTCAGAGATCAGTGGTACCTGGTGAGTCTGAACAGGAATGTGTTGAATGAAAGGCGAAGTGTGTGTGTATGTGCAGAACTGTAAATTTGATGCGTGTGTGTATGTCAAAAATGAGTCAGCATTGAGCACTGGTTGAGCTTTTCATCCGTCTCACGTCAATACAGCTAATTAAATTTTTTGGCTGCTTTGCTTCCTCAGCTGTCAAAAGACAAGTCGGTATCTGATCCTTTATATCTCTCTGTGAAAGCCTGGTGTGTGTCTTGTTTGCAGAGGAAGCAGCACAACTCAGAGTAACTTAACTGAGAAGCTTGAGCTCGAACAAAAGCAGACAGATCCACACAGAGCATCTTTGATTTCTGAATTGCATCCTTTTTCCGATTGATGGTTGACTTAAATCTGTGGACGAAAACAAAAGAGAGGGAAGCAGAGAAAGTGAAGGTTATTCACCTTGAAGCGTTCTTGTTCTCCCTGATTGATTCTCACGTTTGACTTGAAGAATGTCACTGATACATTGGCCTGTTAGAAGCAGCTGTAGCAACCCCTGAGATTTTCTCCTCAGCTCCACTCTTCCTCCAATTACTGAGAGGATGCTTCAGGCGGAAGAAGACTCACACTGATGCAAAACAGACTTGCATCACCACTGGTTCAAAATGTCTGAGCTTTGACGGAGGCACTCTGACTTCCCTCGTTGGAGTAGTTAGCGGCGGCTTGAAAGCCAAATGAGCAGATAAAAGCCTGCTGCCTGGTTTTATCTATGTGACTAGATGTTATAGGTTCTGACTTCAGTCATAGGAGTTCAGAGGAGTTCACTGACTCAGTAGTACAAGCTGTCTGTGATGGAGATGGGTGTAGAGGGGCTTTGTGTAAAATTTATGGGCTTTTTAATGTATTTTGGGACTGAGAGAGTAACACATTATAAAGTTCATGATTAATTATTCTATCAAGCATTTTCTCAACTTTTAATCAGGGAAAAAGGAGCAATATGATCCAGGCTCTGACCTCTAGATATAAATAGATAGTCCCAATTCTACACACGGTACCTTTAATTGTTGAACTACTGAAAAAAGGTTTAAAAACACGCACACACACACACACACACACACACACACACACACACACACACACACACACACACACACACACACACACATTTATAGGCAATAAATGATGTTTGAGGGGGGAAAAAAAAGAACATAAACAAAAACTTTCTTATCATTAGTCTAGTATCTATGACGGAGTATTAGAGCCACATTAAGAAAAATGTAGACTTTGAGATGAGTGTCATTAATTTACGAGAATGAAGTAATTACTAACGAGAATAAAGTCATAATAAAATCATTTATTATGACAATAAAGTCATAATAAAATCATTACTTTCTAGTATAAAGTCATTGTAAAATCATTATGATACTTATGATAATGTGGTGCTGATATCCCGAAAGATTAAGTATCTCCCTGTTTCAGAAACCTACATTGAAGTACATTTTCACAAAATACTTGATGGTTCTTATTTCGCATCTGTAATCTTAGACAACAGGTTAGAATATAAGGACTTTGTTCTGACTTTACTCTCGTAAGTGATAACTTTACTACGACTTTATTCTTGTGAGTAATGACTTTATTACAACTTTATTCTTCGAAGTAATGATTTAATTACGACTTAATTCTTGTAAGTAATTACTTTATTATGACTTTATTCTTGTTAGCAATTACTTTATTCTCATAAACTAATCCATAAGTCTTCATATTTTTTTCTTAATGTGGCCCTAATAGTCCATCGTAAGTATCCAATATTCATTCTATTTACATTTGTTTATTCTATTTTTTATTCTATTTATTTATGTAATATTTATATATTGTTGTGGTAAATGAAATCATAAAGTTATTCATTTATTATCAAAAAAGATATGAAGTCATTTTCTGTCAATCAATTGATGGACTAATCATTTTCTTCTTCACTACAAACTCTGTTGGTGCATTTTTCTGTAACAGTTGATGAGAAAATGACGTATAAAACTGTTTAAAAAGAAGCACAGAAGGATTGATGTTCATAAATACTTATACTGTAGCTTTTAAAGCAGAACTGAACCAAAAGAGAGGGTCTCTCAAAAATAAAGATCAATTTCTATTTGAGTCTGCCGGCAGCCCATGAGGTTTTGAGCTCATTAAACAACAAAAGACACGAAACTGGAGCAGCACCTTTACTATTCTCAGATCTGTTCCACTGGCAGGAACAGCTAAGCCCTGAGCAGAATATAAATGTCACGATTTCAACATTTGTTAAAACAAAAAAAAAAAAAGGACTGTGAACATGTAAGTCGTTCACAAAAACAAAGACCATATAGAGTGTTGGGTCAGAATCACTTCAAGCCTATTTAAAGGGCAGTAATTAGTGTTTTTGGACTTCATTAGGATATCAGATGTCGGACAAGTCAACATTTCTGTGAGCTGGGCTCAATATGAAAAAAAAAAATTTTCCTTTGAGTACTAGTATCTTCAACCTCACTGTAAATAAATCTGATGTACCCTGAGTCAATACTCTAATGTTGAGTGTTGGATAAACCTCTAAATATTGTTCTTGCTGCTCCAAAACCAAGCAAAAGTAATTTGAAAATACCTACTTGTTTGGTTTACCTTCAACTTCTAAATTAATGTTTGTTTTATTCATAGTTCACCTCACTGATGTTTTAACGTTCTAGTTAAGACCCTGAGTCAAAAAAAAAAATGGCATCATGTTTGTCAGGAAGCACAAAGATGAAGCAAAAGTTGCAGAAGTGTGTGGCAATTCTCTCTCTTCTGATGGAGAAGGGTCGAGGCCTCATTAAAACCCAAACATGGATGGCCAGAGGAGAGTGTGGGTGGGACCGTGTGCACAGGCGTCCTTCATGGTCAGATGCTAATGGTCAGCAGCTGCTGTTACAATCAATATTTTAGTATTTTTCTGACATTCATCTAAACGATAAGATGTTTTGTTTCCCACTGGTAAAACAGCGTAAATCATTGGCCAGTCAAAAAACTGAAAGCTTAAGCAGCAGATCAAGCTCTGAGTTTGCTGAAGAAAGCCTGACATTCAGGGAAAAAGAGAAGGGTCTTAGCTAAAGAGCAAAATTCAAATGAAACCCTGCACATGCCACTGTTAGATTTATTAGACACTTAGTATGTCAGCAGCAAAAAGGCATTTTGAATGTGAATCAGCATTGAGGGTCACAACATTCAGCTTTAATTGATTTTGCTCTTGATGGTCTCAGTGTGAACGAAGTAACAAGGTTGTTGAAGAAACCTCATCCAGGGTGATAGATGACAATTTCAAAGGTCTCAAATCTAAGAGGAAACCTGTGACAGATAGCCCTTCAGACAGATTGAATATTATGTGATGATATTTTTGAAAAAGAGGAGCTTTGAACTCGGGACATGGCTTTTGACCAAAGGTCACATTGAATGTCAGAAACGTATCTAATAGCATACAGAATCATGATTGGGTGCTGCAGCTCTGCTTGATGTTGATAATGAATGTAATAAATGCAGGCATGCTCTGATGCTTTCAGAATAGAGATACCCTTAGTATTACTTTAATACCTGTTCTCGCTCATTGAGAAACTTCAACGTTTCACAGAAGATGAATGACTGAAATTCAATAAGCAGCACCCTTTTCCCTAATGCTTCAGTCTCCATCTAAAGGTCTTAAATGATTGCACTCGTTTTTGGAATAAGCCCTTCAGGATTTAGTTAAAAGCACCGTCCTGTCAGCCCTCAGGTGTCTCGCCAATAAATTAGATTCCATCTAAGTTATTTGCCTTCTCCATCCTCAGTACAACGGCAACCATCGTGACCTGAATGCCAAAGCTGCGTGGGAGTTGGGCTACACAGGTAAAGGAGTGGTGGTGTCCATCCTGGATGATGGAATAGAGAAGAACCATCCAGACCTGAGCCAGAACTATGTGAGTATGACAATTTATGAGCTGAAACAGTAGGCTTTTTTTTTATATGAAGACTCTGCTTTACAGTCACAGCAGATAGAATAAAGATGAAAACAGAATAAATGGAGCAGAGTTTAAATAAGAGATGGTGTCTTCCTGGAGCTGAGCTGTTGATGGATTTCGAGAACCCTTCTCAGACAGACACATTTACAAGTTTGATATTTTGCATTTTGGATACCTGGAAACTAAGAGAAAGCTTTTTATTTACATGTAACTAACTCTAACAGCTTGTTTGTCTCTCTAAGGACCCCGAAGCCAGCTATGATGTGAACGACGGTGACCCAGATCCACAGCCTCGATACACTCAGCTTAATGACAACAGGTAGGACTTTCCACCAATAATTTAATTTCTGCTCTTTCCTTTGTCTTCTGGCCTTCCCTGAAACCACCTGCCTGTCTTTTCTAAATGTTGGCTGCATGTGGAAAACATGTCAGGGATGAAATTACACGTGTTCATTAATTCTTCCCACTCACTCTGATAGCTGACAGCTGATTTGTAAATAGAGCGGTGGCTGTTTATCACCCGCTGCTGAGTCAAAGGGTGACATTTATGAGAAACAAACTAATTAAAGGCCAACGCCTACAGGGTTTGTCTTGTCCACCGCATTCTAATTTTCCTCCATTTTATGCTTTTTACCCTCTACAACTGCACATTTACTCGCTCATAAAAAGCTTGTCCCAAACTTAGAGTCTGGATTTGTTTTAGCCTCTTAAATCACTCAGGCACCACCAGGGCATTTCTGCAGCCCGGGTAAGTCGAGTAAATCTACACAAGGATTAAGGTGGTGTGTGAAGAAAACAGCTTTATTGCAGTGGCCTCTGCTGATGACATTAGGAGTTGTTTACCACCACAGTGATGTTGCGCAGAGAACTGATTGAATTAAGTTCATCAGCATTAATGAATCAGCAAAGCCCTTGGCGCTCGTCTTCCGTCATTCCCACCACCTGCCTCCTTTCCACTTAAATTTCTGGTTCGCTCTAATCTGCCATTTGTGGGCCACTGGCCTTCCTGCCCGAGAGACTTTTTTTATATTTCAAGACTCATCATGATTACTGGCGGTAGGCAGAGAAGATTATAGTTAGGCACTGATAGCAATCACACGTCCCCAGCAGAGTCAGGGACAGGGGCCTGGAGCGGGCACATGGTCAGAGCTGCAGAGTGACCTCAAGTTACTGTAATCATGCCAACAGTGCATCAACTCTTTGAGAGCTTTGAGCAACATATCAAAGGTGGAGGCTGATCAAAGTAGGCGTGTAATTGTTTTCACACTTAAAACAGAGTGCACGACTTTAAAGAGAAAACCAAACACTCACAGTTATCAGTAAAAGTTCCCCTAAACATGGAAACAGTTCAAATAATATGTCTCTGCTTTTTACTTTAGCCCAGATTTAGTATTTTTAAGATTTCCTGCCAATGCCTGTAACTGTTTTCACTGCCGCCATCAACAAAACCCTAAATGGGGAATTTCTCGTGAAAGAATGTGGGAGAACATCCCTGTGGTGCAGCTCTGTGGATCCTCAATCTATGCCAAAGCATGCTTAAGCTCTTCTGGGGGCTTGCAGTGGCCCAGAGCCCAGCCAAGACACTCACTATTGATGTTTCCTCGTTCTGGCTGCTCCTCTCTCCAACCCTCGCTCACCTCAGCCCTTATCTCTTGCCACCCAGCTCTCTGTGTCTTCCTCGTGGCAGGATGAAATGAGAAGGAGCATATTTGTGTGTGTATATACGAATGTGTGTGTTTCTCTTACTTTGCAGTGGGTTGGTGCAGATGCATGTGTAAACAACCTGTGGGCGAGCATGAAAATGCGTGAGGTTGTGTAAGACTGTAAGTGTCTGTTCCCTGCAGAAAGCCCAACTCTGTTCACCTCCATAAAGCTGTCTTTCTTTCTCAGCATACAGGAGGCAGTGAGGATGGTTCAGCAGCAATGCAACCATTCACCCACATGTTTATCTAAGACAGCATGAGATTGAGGTGTTTCTCTTTCCAAGGTTTCCTCGCGCTCCTATCAGGATGCTTTTCAAATAAGCATTTTGGCAAAACTGTCTTTCAGTCGTTTTTTCAGGTTCCTGGGAAATCCTCCGTTTATTGCCTCCTGAATTTGAATAAGGATGGCCCTCAGTGTGGTTAAAAAATGCCAGAATTATTGGACAACTTGTTTCTTTATCTATTCAACAAAACAAGGGAAAAGTACAGACGGACCACTCGAGCGTGTTTAGAAAAATTTGTAACACATGGATCGATTAAAGAAACTTTTTAACAGATCTGCAAACAGCAGGCTGATTAATTTTCCCCAGACCTGACATTAATCTCTCTCTACACACTTTCTTCATGCTCCTCTCTTTACCATGCTCCATAAACATCGCTGGACCTTTTGTCCTCAAGGCCAGCTCATTAGTAAACCGGCAGAACCATTACCAGACTTAAGAACGAGTAGAGCAAAACAGTTGTTCAGATTTACCTTTGAGGCTTCGTGCAGCCAAAAGACTAATGAACAGCAAACACCGCTATCTACAGCCTCTAGAGCCTCAATGATTTTTTAGAAAGTAATTAAGCTAATGCAAGAGAGGGAAAGCAATTGAGTGAAAGGTGTTGTGTACCAGACTCTGAATAGGGCATGAAGTGGGACTTTGAAGATAAAAAAAGATCAATGCGATGACGGACACTGGCACAGGCTGATATTCTGGCATTTCAAGCAAATGTCAAATGGGCTGATCAGCCTCTTATGCCTCAATGACCAATTTGTGTGAGGAAAAAAAACCTTTTTACAGGTTCAGCCCACTTTATGTTAAAGCTATGTATGATTTGACATTAAATTCTTTTTAAGCTAATAAAACCTTTTTCTGTAAGACAGGTGTAGCGTTTCCAATCTTTCCCCTGAGTGGATCTGAAAAAAAAAAGGTGGAAAAAGAAGAGTGGAAAAGGTCAGAGAGAAATGAAAAGAAGTAGTAGGACTGAGATTGCAAAATATTTTTGGAACAGGTTATGGTCCAGACAGAAATTATCAACGAGAGCTCAAGACCGAACAAAGCAAGTGAAACAAACAGTAAGAAAAGGAGAATTTCACAAGTTTTTTTAATGTCTGTAAGCCAGATCCATGTCAGACAAAGCAACTGAAGCTCCAAGTGTTTTATTTATTTTTTGTGTTTAACCTTTATTAACTAAAGGGACCTCGCTGAGATCTACTGATCGGGCTAATGGGGCGCTCACACCAAGCGGGAGTAAAATCATCTACTAGCTTAAGTCGCAAGAATCTCCAAGTGCATTTACTCACTTCATTCTCGCATCAACGATAATCCCTGTCAAGTCAACCGGCGGTATCAAGTGATAGACAAAGGTTTTTTACAATGTAGCAGGTAATCCAACCTCCTCACTCACTTACCTCCAGGCAGGTTCCTTTTTATTCCAATTTCAGTAATTAAAAAAAAGGTATCATGTAATTCGGGGCACCGACATGATCAGTTTGTCCTCCATTTTAGATACCAGTGAACAACCGTCCGTTTTCTTGCGTCACCTGGTAACCTTCGTGCTGATTGGTTTAGTGACTCAAATGTCCACTCAAATAGATACATTTTCAGCTCATGCCCAATTAGCGTCATTCATGCTGCCAGATGAGTACGAATGTCTAATCGCGTCATTCGCACAAATACTTTACATGATACATGATAATAACTCAATTGTGATTATTCCTTTGTTTGCGTTTTCAGCAACAAGGAAGATTAAAATGTGTGACAGCAGGAAAAAGCAGGAGGATGTTTTCTTGGGCTTGGGTTGACAATAATGACAACACAAACACGAAAGGAAAGTTACTCACAGTCATTTACTCATTACTTCATAACACATTTGTTACATAAAAATTACTGGCAGTTGAAGACAAAAACTCGCTTGCTCCGGCCATGTTGACAAAATTTACGAGTTTACCTGCACCAAAAAGAGGAAGGATGAAGACTTGAATAGTGTTGGTTCAGCTCTGTTTTGTTCCCAGTATGAAAGTTTTTACTGGCATAGTTTTTGCTTTCGTGGTTTAAGGTTTGCTTCTTGTGCTTGAGGTCATAAAGTGGTGAAGTCACCATGCTGTCAGAGTTGCAAAGTGCAGGATATTGATTCAGAGCTGACACTAGAATTTAGAGACCAGTTGTTTCTGATCACAAGTGGCACAAGGATTGATTGAGGAGTCCTGTCACATCAGAGGCAGAGTGCAACTCAGTGAACCAGTAAGTGGCCTTTCAGGGTCAGTCCCTTTGGTGGCAGGTCTTGGTGAACATTTTTTCCAGTCTTGGCCAGTGACATAGTTCAGAGACCTGTCCATGAAGCAGTTGAGCTCTAGCACAATGATAATGGCTCTTCCAGCTGTGGGCATGAATACTGATCATACTGTTGGCCTTGAACCTGCAGTTAACTGTAACCCGAGTCAGCCTCTGTGACTAGAATCTACCATGGGGATTGTCCTCACTGTAATCTATACGAGGCTTTGCTGAAATTCCCCTTTGTTCACCGTAATCTCCTACCATCACCATTACGTATGATGCGGGAATCCTGAGATTATCGCACAGTGACTGTGCAACAGAAGATTTTGTTTTAAAGTTTTCACAAGCTTCTTCTGTTTCCCTCTCAGTGACGTGGGCGACTTTTTCTATCACGCTTTTGTTGTGTAGGATCAGCGAAGGCAAAGAAGTATTTGAAATGAAAGTCATATGTTGTTTTTCTTGTGTGTCGACAAAAGGCTGCACTTACAAGAAAAGTTAAAACCCTTTTAATCTATAAATAGAGAGTTTGCTTTTGGTAGGCACCTACATTTTTATACTCACTTGGTTTGGTTTTAGTCTGCTGGTAGCTCATCTTATACTCAATGTGCCCAGGTATGATGTGTTTGCAGAGCATCTTCTTTTAGTATTTTTACAGTCATTGCATGAGCATAAATAAAGTTGAAGTTTTCCACTCTACTTTAAGTATAGCCAAGATATTGTGTTCCTAACCCTGTCAACAAAAACTGAAGTTTTATTAGTTTTTTTTCTCCTTTGAGCTGTTGCTGGAAATGTCAAGGCGATTTGGCTCTTGACTGACGTCTTTGTGATAAATGAAAAAATCAAGTCAGAGCGCCAACGTGTCAGAGAATCATGTATCAGACTGATATTCTGGCAGTGATAATTAATCCCTGGTACGTGTTAACAACTCATTGAACAATGCAGTGCTTGTAGTGACAGACAGCTCTTTGTTCCTGCAGATAATGTCCGCGACTATTTTCACCGCAGCACTTCATGCAGTGATCTCCAGCTCTCTGCTGTCACCTCTCCCAGCCTCTTCTCCTTCTCAAACACGCTGTGCCTGGAGGTTGGATCCAGGATTTAGTTTCATGTGATGTCAGTCTCATCAGCACATTGAATCAGTGGAAATGTGAGCGAGCAGAGAAACTGAGGGCATGCAGTGAAGCCGTGTTCTTATTGTCAGAGGAGCTGTAGACCCCTCCAGGCTCCCCCGTCGTGACTGCTCATCCTGCTGACATATGAACTCACACAGTCAAGGCATCTAATTAGCTATGATATAATTCTGCATATGAGGATTAGGGCTATGAACTGTTTAAATCTTTACCATGGGTGCCATTTGTAATATAAATTATAATTTGCAGGTCTAATGAAGCATCGTGAGGGCTTAGGACTATGTGTGTGTATGTAGTGCCACCATGATGGAGAATAATTTGAAAGGTCAGAGCAGGCTTTAGATATTTTTTATAAAGAGCGCCCGATTAATTGAATTACATGTGTTTAGATTGTCATTATCCTGTGTCTCTCCTGGTGCTTAACTGTCCTCATGTTCCTACTTTAGTGAGTTTTTATTTGTCACATTTACTAGTCAGATCTCTTTCAGGGTTTTTGTGGAAGCATTTTTTCTCAATATCAAGTTTATGAAAAACAAGGACGTGTCAGTTAATCAAAAAATAGTTTTTTTGAAAGTAATGCGATAATATTTGGTAAATTTCACTTGAATGTTCTCCGTTCTGCTGATCATTTTAAAGGTCGTGGGGGCTGGAGCTGATCCAAGCAGTTCCTGGATGAGTCTGACCCGCAGGTTGCCAGTTTATCACTGGGGCTGATAAATAGAATAGAGAGAGAGAAGCAGCCACACTTACATTTCAGGCAACTGGTGATTTAAAGCTCTAGTGAGGAGTTTTTAACTGGTAAATAATCTGAATAAGACAAAATGAAGCAAGACCACTACTGACTGGATTGACTCTTTCCTAAAATTACTTACATGGGTCCAGTGTGCATGAAGTGGTCAGCTGTACTCTTTTTTTTTTTTTTTCTCTTCAAATTTTTCTCCTACAAAATTTATCAATAAGTGAAACACCTGACCCATTTGAGAAGTGGAAAGTGGATGAATATATTGTTAAAAAGAAAAGAACACTACTTAGCTATTTGACCCTACCTCCTCCTGTTGTAAAGGCTGTTGAGATGTGGAGTCAAAAAACTGCAAAACACACATTAAACTTACCGATAAATCATCAAGAGAAACAAAACAACCTTTGTTTGTTACAGTCCACCACTGAAGTGATTCTCATGTTGATTTAAAACAGACACTTCTGCCTGTAGAAAGATTGGTGACTCTTGTGTTAGTGGTTGCCACATCTTCTCTGGCTGTTCCTCCTCTACTCTGATAATCCAATGAAGAACACGGCAGGAATCTCATTGGTCAATAGAGCTGTCAATCAATCAATCGTCTCCTTAACACCAAATAAATGACTGGAACCAACTCGGGCATTTTTGAGACACATTTATTTGACTCATACTTCAATTTCTACCTTGACTGGTGTCCCATCTGTTATAACAGAGGTGGCGTCAAGACTTACTCTACAGCAGGTCACTGGAAGGAGCTCTCAAGGTTCCGGCCCGACTTAAGATAGCTGTTGTCCTGTTTACTCTTTATATAGTCTGTGGTATGCTGGTGTGCTTATTTACTTATCACTGTCAAAATATGTTAAAATTAAAAAAGCTTAATATACAGTAAGTAGTCAGTCTTCTTACTGATGGTGTGGTGGTACAGAGACCGGTGTTCAAGTGACACTGTAAACCACAACCACTCTACAACACAACATACATTCATTGACTATGACTCAAAGTAGTTATATTCCCATTGAATGAAAACCCATTTATGTTGGAGGATGATGAGTCATGTTGATTTAAAAGTGAGCAGACGTCTCTTACCAGAAAATCCCACTTCAGTGTTTGACCCCATGATGCACTCTTCTTAGTGACCCAATCTGTGACTGGAAGCAGTAAAAGGATTCTTCTTGTATCCATTTTATCACTCCTGGGAAAATCACTCCCAAAAACCTGATTATGCAAGTAGTTTCTCCATAATCAGATACAGAAACCAAGAGGCTCGCCTCTACAACAGCATTTGTATGCTGTGAATCAGTCTACCATGTAAGTGACTGTAATGAATGTGTCAAAAAGAGATTTGGAAGAAGGCTCAGCTGAAGACTGGAGTTACGGGCCTGTGCATGCCCTGCATCCCATACAGACACCTGAGCCGCTGCTTATCTTCAGCTGCATCACAAACACGGATGCTGCCTGTCCAACATCAGACTCCAAAGTCAACAAACTCGCACTTCCAGGAATGCGGAGATAAAGCTCTGTGGAAAATCTTCCAGATGACATTTGTGTGAGCGTGTGTGTTTACTTCTGTGTCTGGAAAGATGTTTTTAATCATCCTGCAGACCATCTCTTCTCAGCACTCTGATCTAAAAATGTCCTGTGACACGTCAGAAATATGATTCTGATTTAGACTGTGGCGTTGTCATTAACCTTTGCTCCCTCGATTCATCTACGTGTCTAAAGAGATTTCTGGAGGCCGGCTGATGAATTATAACTCTCTGACCTTCTGTCATTATACCTCTGCCTTTAATAAAAATGGAAGTCTTGAAGATAATATAAATTATGAAGTTTAATAAAATGGGTCTTATATTCTCTGACCTCTGACCTTTTTACTATACCTGGATCAAATTGCACTTCGGTTAACTCAGTTTGAGTGATTTATGTGTTCTTGAGTCTAATAATTATTTGTTTGATACTGTGACTTGTTACTTTTTCATCAGCGTAAAATGACATAACTTGAATAAACATAAAAATGTTATCTGGAGTTGAACATGAATTTGTTTTCCTGTCTGTGAACACGAACGATCACAGCCTGAGTCATTCATCTTGGCAGTGAGTACACAGACTTTCCTGATCCCATGCTACTCTATCAATTGATTGTTTGATCAAGAGAAATTATATAATGTGTATTTAATGCTCTTTAAAAGCTGATAGAGGTTGTTTTGGCAGGCTCCTCTAAGATTAAATTTCGGTGATACCCTGACAGCAGATAAAGTCTATTATGTCAGAGGAGGTTATCTACTGCAGCCAGGGTGTTTTGATTCTTGTGCTTTGGGTTTGGCTTATTACCCAGACTGCCTTAATGGAATCCTGCTGGCGCAGAAAGTTTCTCAAGAAGTGAGAGTTGGCTGTTTCCTGTTATGTCCTGGCGTGGTTCGGGGCTGCTGTAGCTTCAGCATCTTTGTCTGTGTGGGCCCACACTCCAGTGGGGTTTTACGCTTTGAAGGGCATTCAGAGTACATCTCCATCTGGCAGACCATGAGAGTGCACCTGAGTGGAATGTGGTGATCAGCTCTAGTGTGCAGCTTCTTGGATCTCCACAGAGCAGTGCCTGCAGCTACCGATCACCTCAGAGGCTTAGGTTTAATAAAACAGCCGTTGTGAAAATGGTAAAGCTTATATTTTCCCTCTGTGTGATATGTCATCTGATTTCCCCTTGACTCTTTTCAAGGCCCAGTGGGTAAGCAAGGTATTCCACAGTGTCCAGTGCTAGAAGGCCACAGATAATGTACAGTGGTCTCCACTCATAGACTGAATGTTTTCTTTTGGATCAATGTGGGAATTCATATTTGTGTAAAGGAATCAAAGCCAAGAACATTTCTGAGTCTGAGTCTAAGGGGAGAGAAGGACGGTCTTTCACAAGCCCCCGTTTTTTGAAACATACACTACCTATGAATTTATACCATGTCATCGGGTTGATGACTTTTACATAAATAAGTGGTTTCCTTTAACATTCATCTCATTTTCTCTTCTCTCCTTTCCTCCAGGCATGGGACACGATGTGCAGGCGAAGTGGCAGCGGTGGCCAACAATGGATTCTGTGGAGTCGGCGTGGCTTATAATGCCAAGATCGGAGGTACGGTCTGATAAAAACAAACACTTGGTTGATTTGAATTTATTGGGAGGAAGGTATTGGTTTTTCTTTTGTTGGCTCACTTTACTGCCAGATCAGCTGAGCTTCATGTTCTGTAGCAGCAGTCTTATTTTTAGTCCATTTCCTGGGCACAGTGTGCCTCTGAATCCAAGGCAGCTTCACCACACTTGTGATGTGGCTCCTTGTCTGACTGAAAGTGTATTAGTTCTGAACTGATTTTCAGCAAAGTGATATAATGTTTCAAAATTGCCAGACACCACAGCTTCAAGGATATGTGTTTTCACTTAATATCAAATATACTGTCCTTAGATCAGAACCTACTGGAAGCTGCATGAGACAAAACATACACGCACTTTTCAATTTACGCTCAAGCAAAAATCCAGCCGCTACAGAAAACCGTGACCACAAAAAAATACAGGATTGAGTTAACGCCTCTTTGAAAAAGCATAACAATGGAGGCCTCTAGGGATTGGGTTAGCTGCAGAGCTGTTGTGCTGGGTCACATTACAGTGTACAGATGTAGTTTATATACCGCTCACTCATATTCAGAGGTGCCTGGCTGTGATGTCAGGGAGTGATGGAGGGCTGCCTCAGAGTTTGACAATGCTTTCTTGAATATTTGTTGAAGGCAAATCAAGTGATGGAGAAATCTTTTGAAGCAGTGTCACAGAGGGGCTGGAGTCAAATCGTCAGAATAAACATTTGTCAGGGTCTTGTTGTGCCCCCTGCTGTGATGTCAGCCTCCATATGCTCAGTTCTTGAATGTGTCACTTTGGTCGAGGATATTTCATCATCCACCCTCTGTCACCGACATAATGCCATGCAGGATGTTGCCTTGTTTCACCTTCTCCTATGAGCTAATGAAATAAAGACCAGGTTGTGTTGGTTTCTGGCTTGCACTCTGTCTCTGTCACCTCCCCTCATTATTTTCAGATAAACTTGCTTTCCCTTTTCGAACAAAAAAAGCAAATGAATGAATTTCTTGTGGTGTGTGGAGCTGAAACAATTTGTCAAATAAGGCCCCTGACAGAAAATTAACCACCAAATATTCTGATTATAACTCAATCAATTGTTTTGTTTCATGTAAAAGGGAAAACCTTTTTGGTGCAGGATGTCAGAGGAGAGCTTTTCCTATTTAGTCTGTTTTTCAAGATTGTAAATGATGTATTTCAGGATTTTTGGACTTAAGTGGGAAAAAATGTTTTCCTCTGCAGTAGCTCAGGCCATGTCACTCTTGTGTAAGACGAGATAAGGGAGCAGAATCAGAAAAAGAGAGGTCAAGGCTGATCTCAAATATTTTTATTTAACAAGTCTGTGTACTTAAACTTCGTAACTGTGCACCTCAACATGTCACATTGTACTTTATCACTTTTCAACAAGCGTATGTATTTGCCCTCAAGGTCTGAGTTCACTGAGCAAACAGGACCTGGATTCAGGAAAAGAAATCCTTCATGGATTTGAACTGAGAGGCAGAGGTTGACTACAGAGCTACAATCAGCACTGTTAGTGGAAAACATCATATTTTAATCATGAGAGGTGATAATTATTTTATCATCATTTGCCTCAGTCGGAGATGCACAGACATGAAGTCGAATCTGAAAATAAAGAAGCTGGGAAACAGTGAAAATAAAGTGAAATATTAATTTGTTTGTTCTAAAAAGGGTTTTGCACCCTGATGAGTTGTTTTGCTTTGACTTCAGGGAGGGGCTTTTATACTTTCTGTTCTCATTCTTCAAGAGGAGTTTCAGAGGTTTCCGATATTTAAAGGAAAAAAAAAAACTAAAGTTGATTTATATACATTTTTGATCCTGAACAGCTCGTTTTATCGTATCCTGATCTTTCATTCAAGCGTGTCTCCAAGTTCTTATCCAAATGAAACGGAGTATCAAGATCAAAGTTTGTTTTTGATGCAGTCACATTGCTCCTACATGTGCTTGTGTTTTGTGATTGCTTACGTCTTGTTCCCGAGTTGATGCCTGTTCTGGTGCTCTGATGATGTGCAGTGTTTTAACTGAAGGCGCCTCTTTATTCCAGACAGGGCTGTCGTTGCTTCTCTGCTCATCTCAAAGTGTCATAACTTAACTCTTTATGATGATTCCAGATGGCAGCCAGGAACACACCACATGGCATTCAGCTTTTCTATCATAACAAGTATGCTGTGTGCGGTTATGTAGGTTGAGCAGGAGGCAGCATGAAAAACATACACGCTTCACACATGCTTTAATTCACACATGTTGCTCTACTTAATTGGTACCCCAGAGCAGTTTGGTAACAATGAAAACATTCAACTTGTAAGAATGAAGCAGTTAACCGGATATTAGTTTCAAATGTTTGATTCCTATTTTACTTTAAAGCTGTTATTTAAACTTTCAAAAGCAATCTAACCTCACGGCTGTTCTGTTCAGGCATGATGCATTTCCTGGCATGAGGCTCTGCGATGTGTCAAACATTCACTGAACATTAAATTGACCTATACACATCACAGAAACAGAGGAGAGCCCAGATTGTGCAAGTCCAGCAATAACTCTAAGCAGACAGCCAGTTTCCTCTGAAATATCAATGGCAAAAGGCAGGAACAAAAACTGTCGTTTTAAATCCAAGGCAGCTGGGCCAGCTCTGTCATTGTGGTGGCCGGGGAGAATTTATTGGAAAGGCTGAGTGCAGCAGGAGCAGTGCAAAAGCTTCTGTGATTCCTCACTTGCCCACTTGCCCCCGTGCCACCTGCTGTACTGTAGCTCATTATTCACCCGGGAGACTCCTGTGAAATGTTTCATGCTAGTTTCAAACATATATTGGCTGGCTTAGATCTTCCAACAGACATATGTTTGTCAGCAGTAAAAGCGGTCGTTACTGTGAACGGAAAGAAAAAATCCTCAGGCTGACAAAGGTACAAAGGATATAGCACAGAGTTGCTGCCATATTCAGGTCAGCTGCTGAGGGTTCCCACCAAGAATATCATCAGGAATTTATTGTCTGTTGGTCCAGACAAATATGTTATGTATTATAGTACTTGCTTTGTCAGAAGATGTTTTTGTCGGATTTTGTAGCCTTCCAACAGAGCTGGGTTTGCAGTTTTCACCTGCCTCTGGTCTTCATGTCATGCTAAGCACAGCTAATGGCTTGCTGTGTTTAGCTTCACATTTTTCATGAAGATATGAGTGGTATCAGTGATCTCCTGTACCTCTCTGCAGGAAAGTGCAGAGCGTATTTTTCAAACATTTAAAGAGCACCTTCAAAGATGTGGTCTTAATGCTCCAGCAAGGAGATCTGGACTTTATTCAGAGGCAAAATGTGCTGGAGAGAAGACTACTGGTCACATTTTAGAACAGCATTTTTGTTAATTTGTTGTCATAAAAGCTTGAATAAACAAGCTCATAAAACCTTTTCATAAAACTGCCCTGTACAGAATAAAAGACTGAAATAACCATGATGTACTTTCCACCTTGTTCTCTGGTTTTTGGGATGGATGTGTGTTTTTTGGATGGGTACTGAAGATACTTGAGTCTCCTCAGCGAATCACATGACCCTCTCACAGAGATCTAGGCTGCCATGGAAACACTAGCAGCTCATCCTGTTGGATGCTTTTGAAGGACTTCAAAGAGCCAGAGATTGGTTGTTTTAACCCGTATAGAACTGCGTGAAGTAACCCGACCTGCGGTGCATCAAAGGGGAAAATTACAATCATTTGTTTTGTAGGTGTTTGGTTCTTTACCACCTTCTTTAAGGGTGCATGTTTCTGAGACAGAGAAAGACAGAGCTCGAATGCAAGAAAAACGCTCATAACCAAAAGGAAAATATAATTGGCTACAACAAGCAACACACACTCTTTGTGTTTCTCTTGCATTGCTTTGTCTTTCTTTGTGTTTAATCTCCTCAGAACACCATCAATGATCACTTTCAATTATGAATAAACCACATTTGAAGCCTGTGGTTAAACATAAGCCGGGTTTTTCCCTTTTATTTTTTATGGAAGAGAGTTTGTTTTGATTAATACTCAATAGAGTTGTGTTGAGAGAGACGTGCAGTGCTGTCTTTTCATCATCTGATCTGAATTTCCAGCCTCAGAAATTTGCTTCACGCTCAAGGCGGCAGTTCACCCACAATGCAGTTCATCTCCTTCAGTTCCTGTTTTTTTTTTTACAAACCAGCTCGCGTGCCAGAGTGAGTCAATAGTGTTGGCGTTCATTTACACGGCGGTGTCCATGAAAGCATCGCAGTGGATGCATGAAAAAAAAAAAACAAGCACTGACAACATGTGCTGCACATATACATGATCTCTACAAACACTTACTGGCAGAAAAACATTGTAAACAAGTGTGTAAATATGCAGATTGGACAACGCTGTAGCTTTATGACTCTGACTGTCAGTGGTCGCTGAATTGAAGTGCACACACAGGTATATCAAAGTATGAATAACATGAGCTGCTCTGCTTGCACCATGTCCCACTGTCGTCTGTAATTGCAGGAAAAAAACAAGAGTCCTCTACTGATTCGACATCGTGTCACTCCAACCTGATGGTTGCATTTATCACTGTTAACAAATTGGCCATATTCCAAATGGATCAATAAGATAGTGCTGTGTTTTAATTCTGTGTCTTCCTCCTCAGCTGACAGCTGAGTCTTATTCTGATGTTTTGTTATGCTAGAAGCAGTCAATATAGCCGTAAGCCCACTTCAGGGTCTCTCACAGTTTCAAACTTGTAGACTTTAGTACCAACTGATTCCTCAAATTGCCTCATTCAGTGTGATTTATTAAACTTCAACAGAGCCACTGAAGACTAAATATCACTTTTATATATGCAGCTGTACTCTTCGATACTTGCAGACAGACAGACAGACACTAATGTGAAGTTCTGCCTTTACAAAGTATGTAAGGCCGTGTAGTTTCTGCTGTGTCGTCCTCTGTTGTGTGGTTGTGTATGTTAATGCGTCTGTTTGCTTGTTGGACTGTGGTTGCAGGTGTGCGCATGCTGGATGGTGAGGTGACCGACATGGTGGAGGCCCAGTCTCTCAGCCTGAATCCTCAACACATTGACATCTACAGTGCCAGCTGGGGCCCAGAGGACGATGGCAAAACCGTGGATGGACCTGCCAAACTCGCCAAAGAAGCCTTTCTGAATGGTGTTACAAAGGTGTGTGTGTGTGTGTATGAGTGTGTGAGACAGAAATTATTTACAGCCCGTGTGTTGCTTCCTTTCAGCACTCAGTAATTAAACTGTTCAAGCATGAGAGGACAAAGCGGCAAGTACAAAGCAGTTTTTTTTTTTTTTTTTTACCCCCGCAATTATGTATGGAAGGGAATGTCCTCTGAAAACCACCAGAGAGAGAAATCTTGGAAAACGTATTAGAAGCAGCTCTGACGCAAACAATTAATGAAAAGTTTTAATGTTTTTATCTTCCTTTTCCCTTGAAAGGCTTCGCTTCATCTGCCAACTCATCCTCTATGTTTCGAGCCTTTCAGCCAGAGTACACATGGCCTCCTTAAGTGCTGAGGGTGTTTAAAAAAGATCAAGGTTGTTTTCAAAGTCCAATCACAAAATCACTGGAGTTTCAGCATTTGTCTTTGATCTGCGTTTCTAACCAAAGACCTCTAAAATCACGATGAACAAACGGACATAAATCTGAAGGCTAATTTTCAGAACTTGTCTCTTGGCTTCATATCAATCTAATTTCTAACCGAAAGGACACCAAACTGTCAAATTAAATTTCAATCCAAATTTCAGTCTTGATGACTTACAGTATCTTTCCAGCAAACTTTGACTCCTTTATTGAGCTGTCGGATTCACGACATGTGCAATAAAGCTGATTGAAGGTGCTGACACTGACTACAAAGATAATTACCACAGTGACGGTGCTGTCAGATGGCAGTGTGGGTGGTGCATAGCTGGGTTTGATCAATGCCCAGAGAGACGGTTCCACTCAATACAATAAGAGGCTCTTAGATGAAAATTAATGCACTTCAAAGGCTGAGAGGTTGGATGATTTATGACAATGAGCTGTTGTCATACGGGCCCTTTTTCTATTGCATTGCTGTCATGTGATATTTAGCTCTCTTTAATTTACTGAGTGACCACCCAGCCTCTGTGAGGGATGCTGCCTTTTAATGGGCCTGTTTTGAAATGAATTTGCCTTTGTATAATTGGTTCTCCTTTTCAGAGATTGAATGAGATTATGCCCTTCTCTGCTTCAAGCTGGTCCAAGGACTGAATAATGAATAAATGAATGAAGGGGATTTTTTCCCCCCCCAGTTAGTCTGATTTCTGCGTATCTATCTGCAGGGTCGTGGTGGTTTGGGCTCCATCTTTGTGTGGGCTTCTGGAAATGGAGGGAGGGAGAAGGACAGCTGTAACTGCGATGGCTACACCAACAGCATCTACACCTTGTCCATCAGTAGCTCCACCCAGAATGGCAACGTCCCCTGGTATAGTGAGGCCTGCTCCTCCACCCTGGCCACCACCTACAGCTCGGGGAACCTCAACGAGAAGCAGATAGTGAGTGGGAGCTGTGTTTGGCGTGCTTGCTGTGTCCTCCACATTAACTGTGTTTTTGCATCAGAGTTCATTCAAACAAAAGATCATTAATTACAGGTTTAGTTCATCCAAACATCTGTAAACCTGCTGAAATGTTTGGATGACAATTATCTGAACTAGCTATTAATTCTGTTTATTTTATTTATTTTATTTTATGATAACTCATAAAATGAATAACAGCCTGGTATTGTAATTAGTGCTCAGCGGTTAACAGATGAGCTAATTTATCACCAGCAGGATTAATACACTAAAGCAAACCTGTGGAGTTTATTTTGTCAACAAAAAATAATGAAGCTTACATACAGTATGACTCAGGACCCGAAAGTCCCCAAAAACAAGCTGAATTCACTTCCCCCTCTCATAAAACATTTCCAGGAGGATTGTTTGCATCAGTGTTGACTTGCTCGCCGTCTCTGCTGGCACAGCATGTTTATTTGTGTTACCCAGCCACATGCAGCCACAACAGTGAAAAATCCACTCAAACTTTTGGCAATATTTCACCCTCATCTGTTGCATAGGAGCACCGTGATGCACATGAACGAAGCAACTGACACAACGGGGTGGTCTTTAGAAATGCTCCATGATTCGACAAGTGGTCACGTCCATATTGAAGGGGGGGAAAAAAATAGCTGTTTCCAGCTTAATTGTTCTTTTCAGTTTCCATGACATCGTTCACTGCAGCCCATTTATTCGAATTAGGACGTGCAGTAGTTAGTGAGCTGTGCTTGCAATAAAATATAATTGGCATAGTTGAGGAGGATATGACAATTTGTCTTTGTTGTATTTCTGGTTGCAATGTTTTAAAAACCTCTTCAGGAACATGCCTCAAGTGCAAATGTTAGAGCCCTGTACACAAGATGCTCTGACTCTTTTTCTTACAGTTAATGCTGCTCCAAGTAATCTTTGTCTTTTTTTATCAATTAATCAAATCGTTCTCTCTGTAGATGGTTAAATACTCAGGGAGTATGTAGAGGAGCCCCCACAGAGCCTAATACGAAGTCTAAATAACCAGCAACAGAAGTGGCGTACCATCGTGTGAAGTTAAGAAACCAGAAAACAGAACTATGAAGCTGTAAACGGCACAGTTTTTCTGTTCCTCTTAAAAATACCCCAAACTCTTCATTGATTTCTAGAAAGATGAATTATGATCGGGTGAATTTTGATCTCTGAGGACTGAGTAGCCATTCCAGCTCCGTCCACACAGCCTTATTATAGAGCCGGGATCCTCGGCTTTAATGCGTACCTGCTGTTTGAACCACAGCTTCACTCCTTCAGTCTTGCCGCCTTTTCTTCACTCCTCTTCTTCTCCATTCATCCCGTCTTGGACCATTAAAATTGTTATGAATTGCGAACGACTCAAACTCCATCTGGTAATATGTTGCTGCTTAACATTCCCGTCACATAAAACCACACACACACACACACACACACACACACACACACACACACACACACACACACACACACACACACACACACACACACACACACACACACACACACACTCATAAACACAGTCTTTCTTTCTCGAGCAGCCAGGCCGACTGGACAGACAGCTTATGACATCTCCATGACATGTGGCTGGTCCCTTAATGCTTCACTGCTGTACTCATTTAATTGTGCTGTCACTCATAAACCAGGGAATGAGGAGATGGAGTAGGAGAGAGGAGAGGGGGGACCTCCAGGGGGTTCGGCAGCGGAGAATATCTTCTGTTTATTACGCTTATATTATCTTTCTCTTTCAATTTCAAGTTATAAGAATATGGGAATCTCCTGCATGCATAATCGCACCATTAAAGTCGGTTCTGCCGGAGCATTTAGTATTCTGTTTAGTGCGTTAAGGGACTAGTTCCTGGAGGCTGTGCAGTGGTCAGCACAAATAGAAGATCTTTGATTTGAACCGCCCTTGTATCCATGTTATTCAGTTACAGACACTGACCTCCCCTGTAGGATTATACCGGGGGTGACTGGAGGCTTCTCGCAGGACAACGTTTTGTAACCTTTATCCTTTCTGAGATGGGATTTTTGCTGAGTACAAACATACTGGTTCTGCATCACCTCACTATATATTCATGCAGCTGCAGATATTCCCTCCTGAGAGCTGCCCAGTAAAACCACAGCCCTCTGCTGTGTGTCACTGAGGAGATCTAATCTAACAAGAGTGATGCTCACTGGTCGCTGAAGATGGTTGAGCAGAAGCGATATGATTTCCCTCCTTTCATTTTCCAGCTGGTCCACAGTGTGATGCTGAGGACTTTTTGTTTCCAATACTCTCACGTCTTAGAGATTTCTGCCTCCAGCTAAAAAAACATGATTAGTAAGAAAAGAACCGAGTGAATTATCAGGTGGTCAGAGTTCAGATATCTTGTGGATTTATTTTTCAATATGAAAGCATAGAACGGCTCTGGTGAAAGTGTAGGAATTGTGATGCAGTGTGAATATAAACCGAAATCATCAGAGTGAAGTAGAAGGAGGGTAAAGTTTGTTAATGTTTGCTTTCGAACAGGAAACGAAACACAAGATTTGAGACTGAGAAAACAACTTTTTAGCTTTTTCTTTCCACTTTCAATTTTTGTTTTTAAGCCCACCCTCTCCATCCTCCCTAGGTGACTACAGATCTCAAATCAAAATGCACAGACTCCCACACAGGCACCTCTGCCTCTGCCCCGCTGGCTGCTGGGATCATTGCTCTCGCCCTCGAGGCCAAGTAAGTGCTTATCATCATTTTCCCGAGTCCTACCGAGCCTCACAATTCTCTTTAGTTATGCAGTCTCTTTCTTGCCTTTCCTATCTGCATATTTTCCGGACTTTTCTGATTGAAATCCTTTTATCCAATGGAAATTTAAAATGTTAAAAATACAATTTATGCTCAGCCGACTCAAGATTAAACTGGCTGTAATTATTGCAGGGAGAGTCATTGGTCACCTTGCACGTACTCTTAAATATTCCGAAAGCTCCTGCTATCACTTTTCCAGCATGTGGTTAGAATTTTTAAAATGCAAATTGTTCATTTAGTGGCGAGTCTACTTCTTTTCTGCTTACTCTTTTTAAACAGACCATTTTAGATTGAACCCAATTTAACTGAATCAGGCTGAAATTGCTGGTGGTCTGAGTTTTCGCATTAATTCTGCTTGATTATCCCGTTTTATGAGTAACTTTTTGGCCTCCCTGCCTGACAGACTTCTGCAGAGCATTTACAAAAAAAAAAAAAAGGAAAAAAACAGCACAATTCGATGTAAGCACTAATCATTCCTATCCAGTCATGCAGCACTAATGGAGGGACAAACATGAACAGCAGAACTACTGAAAATGAGTAATTAGTCTTGTGGCAAAACAGAGTGAGGTGATGGAAAAGGATTGCAATTAGGAACAGATTTGATGAGAAAATAATTAAGCAAAGTAACTACATAATATGATTCGTTTTGATAAATCTGCAAAAACAGTTTTTATATTGAAAGTTAAACACGATCATGACCTCACGTAACCCTGTCCCTTTTTCTTTTAATCTTGTACGGCTGCAGGCTGAGAAATAACTCGGCCAGGTTTTCTGCTTGGAAAATATTTGACCAAAGGGCAGAAATTGTGCTCAAAAGCATGTTTAATATGGATTTAGTGTTGTTTAGATATATGTGTTGATATTTCCTGATTGTTTTCTGTGTTAAATCAGCCGTTCACCTGCAGGTTCACACTGTAAAAGGTATAGTCAAAAGTTTCTGTTTGATCTGATTTCAAAGTGGAGAATCTCACCGTTTGTGCCTGTGCCTGTGTGTGTGTGTGTTCCTCTTCCTTTTATGTGGCTGTGTGTGTCTGCGCGTGTGCTTGCATATTCACATGTTCCAGTAAAAACCTCACCTGGAGGGACATGCAACATCTGGTAGTCCGAACTTCTCACCCTGCCCACCTGCTCACTAACGACTGGAGGACCAACGGGGTTGGCCGCAGAGGTAACGCAGCTCCTTTCAAGTCCTCCTCTGTGCTCTGCAGACTTTAGAGGCTTTAGAGGTTCATTGGTATGTTGTGCATATAACAAACCACATTCTCCGAGAGGTCCCAGTCCCTGAGCTGGTCAGAAATGTTGCACTGCAGCTATAGATGAGAAACATGCTGTGTGACTTGTCTACAAAGTCAGAGCAGGCAGAGTGAGGATGCTCCTCTCAGCAGGCAGACTTTCATGTGTGTTCCCTCTCTTCTCTCTGCAGTTAGCCATTCGTATGGATACGGTCTGCTCGATGCCAGTGCAATTGTAGCTCAGGCAAAGACTTGGAAAAGTGTGGGGTCGCAGCGGAAATGTGTGATCACCATGGCCTGTGACCCAAGGTTGGTAAACTAAATACACCCACGCATACACATTTATACATAATGCTTATTGAACTACTGTCAAGACTGTGGCCACATGTATGTCCACATGTTAAAGCTATCATTCGTTTGGTCAAAGCTGATGAGGACTAACAAGAGATTTGTTCACACTAATTTGAATATCACCCACCAAGAGGAATCTGAAACTTCTCTGTAGATTAAATGCTGCTGAGTTCATTTAAAGGTCTCTTACATCAGTGACAAGCTGACATTATTGTGTCACTGTTTCCCTACAGCTTCCCCTTCACCCTCAAATCAAAAATATTTGCTCTCTCTGCTTCTTACATGGTTGATGGTGATCTCTTTGACAAAGATAACTAGAAACAACTGTGGCCCTGCTGATAGATCAAGAGGGAATTAAAAGGTCAATTAAGTGGCATATTTTGGGAATGCTCCCCTCTGTGATACAAGTCACAGTCTGTTGCACTGATGTACGCTCAGAACAAAAACTGAGTCCAGTGAAATTAACTCGGTCCGAAATCAAATCACATATTAAATTTTGCCTTTAGGACTTTACATCTAAAGTACCAAAGGACATCTGCCTTTGCTAGATTCAGAGACAAACTCTCCAAAACTATAGATATAACTTTAAATGGTAAATACATAAACAAATAAATAAATGGAAAACCCTTCAGGCAAGAAACTAAGAAGTATTCCTCTGCCTTAAAGGCCAGAACTGCATCTGATAATATGTAAGAGATCTGCAATGGAAAAACACAGTATTTACTTGCTTAAGGTATCACCTAAAGGACTTGACACCACACCACTCACTCTCCAGCCCACACAAACTAAGAAGGAGAAAGAAAAGTACTCACTGATCACAGAGAAACACAAACATATAAACAGGGAAACATGTAAACTAAGAAGAGAGGAAGGACAAAAGAAAAGTACTCAGGAGAATCAGGTCCAGAACAGCAGCTGGTCCAGCAGAGAAGTCTGAGGACGACTAGAGGACAAGAGGGGAGACAGACACAGAGGAAAAGATATCACATCAATACAAGAATAAGCATAACAGATGCTCCACAAATGTATAATTTATTCAGCAGATCGTTTTGTTTTTGCTCGAACTCAGTCTGTGATTTGGCATCTTGATGCGAAATGAGAAACTGACGCTAAACTAATCTAAAACAGACTGTAGATGTGAGAGATGTTCAGGTTTGATTGAGCTGTGATGCCTCACTGCGACGACATGTTACGTCTTCTCCGTCTTCATCTTTATATCTGTACTCAGGTGTGTGTGCGTGCAGGTGCTCAGCTCAGCTCCACTCGAGCTTTAAAAGTGGAAAAAAAATAATTTGTCAGTTCTTGTGTTCCCCTCACCGCGAGGTTCTGCGTTTCTCCTCAGCCATTTTATTTCTTCCTCTTGCGGCGTCGGGGTCTAAACGCATCCTGACATCCTCTCTTCATTATGCGCTCCCTGTCACTTCTCTCGCTGCGTCTGAGCTTGCTCTCTCTTTTTACTGCAGCTGTGAGATGCTCGGAGCAGATGGTTCGAGCGTCTGGGAGCAGCAGTCGAGGCAGGTTATTCAATTTAGGTTTTTTAGGTGTTTAGCTGCCTCACTTATCCAGAATGACTCAAAATAAGTCAGCAGGTAGGTGTTCAGTGTCTCTTACTGTCACTTACATCAGTGATTACATCATGGCGGCGTATTCAAAGAGGACTAATTTCTGAGGAGGCTGCAGACGGCATTGAGAAATAATAATCACTATGAATATATCTCCCAATGCAATCCATGGTGTCTTTGTAGCATATGAAGAATGAATAACTGGAGGTTGAAGTTAGAGAGAGGGTTGTTAATGGATTTCAGAGTGACACAGGTTTGACGGTGATGGTTTCGAATTGTATCTCTGTTTGAAATGGATCAGTGTTAAAGTATGAAATCTTCTGCAGAAATGCTCAAATAAGATGGTGTAGAGCCACCCAGGTGAGCACGCAGGATTTTTCCAACAGAAGGATTTTCCCTGTAGTTTCAACCTTGAGTTTTTGGCCGAGATGTGTGCACACGGGTCTGGGGGATTTGTTCAGAACAACTTTAATGCAGGTGACTGTTGAAAATTTGGTGTTATTTTACATTGGATTTGCCGTGTGGGTTTGGAAGCTGAGGAATAGATTTATGAGGGAGAATAAAACTCTGTCCTCTCTGAAGCGTACTCGGCTAAAGGGATAGCAGTGCCTCATGTTTGGCTGGCCGGCAGAATATTTTCGGTAACCCTGAAAAGCTTTATTCACACCGGATTAAATCCCTCTTTGTGTCTCCCAAGGATTACCGCTGTAAACAGATTTTATTTAAATACCAAATTTAATAAATTATTTCAAATGTGATAAATGTGTGGTAAATTTTTCATCATGCACTGAACCGGATCTGCAGGGAGCTGCTGAATGCCAGAGAAAAAATATTGAACAGAAGCGAAGAAAGGAACGAGATAATACAGTTTGTGGGTTTGTGTGCTTCAGATGCTGAGCAGCAATTGTGCTATCCATCACCACTGAAGTGTTTCCACCTGCTGCTGCTGCTGCTACTGTAATGTTTATCATAAAAAGGGTCAAAGTTGTCATCTCTCTTTTGTTGGCTAGTTGCCTTTCTTTACTTGCTGATTTTCCGTAGTGACTGAGTGGCAGATCTGCAGTTACAGGTTTGACTTTTTCTCTGCGTGGGTGTGTGTGTGTGTGCGCGCGTGCTTGTAAAACAGATGCTGTGATTCCAGCAGTGCCACAAATTTTGTTTCACCCAGACTTTAAATCACTGACGCCTGTGCCGCAGCAGTCAACTGGCAATCATGAATCAACTTCAGCAGCCATTTGTATAAATTTCCATTCCCCTCTCCCAGGTTTTCTGACTCTACCTCCAAACACCACAAAATACATATTGTATTAGCTTAAAAAATGCAAATGTGGGATGCTGCATCGCTGCCAATTTGCATCCTAAAAAAAAAATAATGTGGGCAGTGACTGTGTGACTGGTTGGCATCCAGAGAAGAGCCACAGTATATTAAGCTTTATACTGCCTCAATGTTTGATTACTACAAAGGTAACAAGTGTTTCTGTAGTCTTTAAAGGCATCATGAAAAATTAACCAGAGTGAACACAGGTGGATCGTGTCTTAAACCTGCATGGCAGTTTCCTTCTCACCCTCATTTTGTCTATAATTTAGGAACCTCAGTGTCACTAAAAGCGTGCTCCTTTCTCCTCCTCCTCAGTATTGTTGTGGATGCAAGTAATCTCCTAAGCGGATTTGGGGGAAGACTGAAAAAAAAAGGTGGATGCTTTATTTCCACAGAGGACACTGGGTCTACAGGTTGTGTGACATTAATCCTGTTCAGGCCACAAACTCCTTAACCCTGTGTCAGCTCACTCACCGGACAGGAGAAGAATGTCACACTAACGCAGCTCTATGAAGTGTAGCTTATCCCAAACTCTTAGTGCTTAAAACTTTTAACAAATCTCTCCCTCCATCCCACTGAGTCTGCTTTTTGTCGACAGGAACATCGGCAGCCGCTTGTCGATCAACAAGAGTGTGGACGCCTGCTTCGGGACAGACAGTCATGTGACCTCTCTGGAGCACGTCCAGGCCAGACTCACCCTTTCCTACAACCGCAGAGGAAACCTGGCGATCCACCTCATTAGTCCTGCAGGCACTCGCTCCACACTGCTCCACCCCAGGTACAAACACGCACACTCAGACACACAAACAACTAGTCAAAGTGTATAAAAACAGACAAACAGAGAGAGATAAAATCACAAACTCTTATCACTGCTTCTTGTCTTTCTTCCTGCAGGCCGCATGACTACTCCTCCGAGGGGTTTAACGACTGGGCTTTCATGACCACCCACTCCTGGGATGAAAACCCGAGCGGGGTGTGGACACTAGAGATCGAGAACGTAGCTGGCGCCAGTGACTATGGTACACCATCTTTGTTGTTTATTTGTTAGGGAAATCCAAGACATGGCGTGACTCTGTGGTGTGTACTTGCATAAAGAGTTCAGGGTTGTCCAAGTTAATCAGATCTCGTTACAGTTCAAATTAATAACGGGCAAAGAAAATCAGCTAATCCTCAATTTGAGGAGCTGGAAAGAGGTAATTTGGCTCTCTGATAAACAATTCAATCATGACAAAAATTGCTTCCAGTTATTTTTCTGTTGATTAGAATAATCGTATTTAGGAAAAGCACAACAGACAACTTTAAAAATAACTCTTAAGAACACAGCTTGAAAAAAAGAGTGAAGCAGACCTCACAGTACCAAAACAGAAACTTGGATTCTGAGCTATAAAGTACCTTATAAACAGGCTTCAATGATGATAAGAAATACAGAACACCACACCTTAAATCCAGAGCTAATTTTAGGTGTCTGTACACACATAATGTAAATGTTAAAGGTATGTTAAGTAGATCTATAGTTGGGCTTTTTTTGCTTTTATTCAGAGGTAACAGTGGAAACATCACCGAGCAAATACAGGATTAGAAAGACGATGTTATTATAATTATGTGGACTGAAGCTTGAGTGATTGAAGTCAGGCCGTGTACATCTTGGCACCTAGGTTAACAGGGTGGCGTAAATCAGTCCCACATGAATGTTAGCTAACACGTGAATTAATCTGTTGAGTCAAGTGTTCAACTCATGGTTTTTAGGTTCAGTGCCAGCAGATTAGAGATCAAGGAGCTCCTTTATTCTGGAGGTTTTGAGCTCTTGGTCTCTGTCGGCGCTGTGAAGCTGAATCTGCATAGCTCTGTTACAGTCAGTTTACTTAAAGCCTCCAGCTCAGTGAAGTGGTCAAGTGTGAGCTGCACTATAAATTCTCATTTCTGTGTCATAGAGAGAGGAGCATTTGTGGTACACTTGATGCAAAAGGCTGAATTTATTTCCATGAATTAGATAATTTTTTAACATAATTTTAACATTTGTGAACATCATTGGCATTACGGCCATGCTTTAAAAAAGTCTGATGAAGCTCAAGCTTCTTTTAAGTCACCCTAAGATTAATCAGAGCCAATAAAGTGATTAAAAAAACATATTTCAGTGATTTTTATCAGATTCAAGAAGAACATGTTTCATACACAGGTGCAGTTGAAACACAAAACTCTAACAAAGCAATATAATGCACCAAGCAGGTCTACAGGAGGGAATAATTTCTTTTTGTCATCTGAAACAGCACAAATGATCCAACCACAAACACACAAACACCACACTCAAGAGTCCAAGGAAACTCCAGAACACCGATCCTGATAAACGTGTAACTGCTCCCTCCTCAGCGAGAAACCATTTTGTAAAGTGGAACCTCTCACAAGGGCCCACAATTCAGTGATTCTTCAGAGATGTTCGTTTTATAAAACTCCTATTAGGCACTGAGTGAAATCATGCTGTCTTTAAGTTGAGGCTCATTTCCTGTCACTTTACGCAGAAAATCTAAGAGTGGAGGATAAGAGAGGATACATTTACTAAATCCACTCTAAGGAGTGCCAGAGCCTTAATGTTTTTGACAGCTCTGCTTTACTTTTTGGTGACTTTACTTTCTTATCTCGATCTCTTATCTCTCCTCTCAGGCACTTTGACCCAGTTCATCCTGGTGCTGTACGGTACCGGCTCAGCAACTTCCAGCTCATCTGAGAAGGCTCAGCCCAGTAACGGCAGCTGTAAGACCTTGGACCTGAGGCAGATCTGCATCGGTAAGACTGATGTCAGAAACTGTTTCCACACCTGAGGAGGAGAAGGAGGGTTTCCTGGTCATCAGAAGGTTAAAAATATAGAATAGTATCGTATTGAGCAGCAATGTGAGCAGACTCGTTTGAAAGTCACACAATTATCTTGTTCAAACTCTTCCAGCGAACGTCATCCTCTTATATCACCTCAGCGTCAGCTGCAAATTTAAATGAAGATTTAACTGCAGATGAGATCAAATCAAATTTCACTTCAGGTCCTTTTTTAATCATCTCATTTAAATTTGAATGGTGTCCATACTGCCCACCTTCTTCCTAATACAAATACTGCTATAGGCAAGGTCTCCAGGAACCCCTGACTGAGCTCCAGCACAGTGCGAGTCCACCTGCACGTGTAAAACAGTGACAGTCTGACCCCTACAGGCTGTCAGAGGTACTAAAATACCTGCAGGCAGAATCAAATATAAAATCATTAAAGGAACATGTAGGTTTCATGATCATGTATGTGTGATTATTATATGGTCATAATGTTTCATAGAGTACACAGATCTGTTTGACAGCTGTAGTTTTGTGTGTTTTTATCCAGCTGACTAAACCCTGCAGTGTGTTAGATTTACTTATTCAGCTCTGTTACCCCCAGCGCCCACACTCTGTTAATTGCCTCTAAAGGCAATGGTCTGCATCTGGACTTGCTGCATATGGAGAAGGCTGTGTTGACTTAGAGATGCTGCGCTCAGCATATAAATTCCAAAGTATTTTTTTCTTTTCTTAGTAAAAGTCGTCTCACTAAAGTGAAAATGGCCAAAGTTTGTTTCACATTGACAACACATTCGACTATCCCGGGATCAACATACATGAGAGAAAGTTCAGTGGCAGCATGTGAGCCTATTTAAAGCTCTCTGTATCTCAACAGTCTCTGCAGGATTCCTGCTTCTCTGTTTTTGGTTTTGTTTGTTTGTGCGGTCTGACTCATATGGAAAGGTAAGACTTTTGTTTGGCTGCTAATGTCAGTTTTGTTTCTCTGTATTACAGAGTGCGACACTGGCTACTACCTCTTTCAGCAGGGCTGTGTAAAACAATGTCCACCAGGCTTCTCAGTGGGCTCCCAGCCCCTCAACTACACCGTTGGAAACTCCATACCACCAGCGTCCGTCCCCGCCTGCCTGCCCTGCCCAGCGCCCTGCCTGACCTGCAGCAGCCTCAGCAGCCTAGCCTGCCTGTCCTGCCCTCCTCACAGCTCCCTAGATCCTGTCTCCGGCACTTGCGAGCACCTGAACCAGTACATGCGCGAGTCCCCTGGCAGCTTTATGGTGGGCCAGGGGGACCCCGAATCGCAGCTTCAGCTCAGCTCACGGCTGCCCATCACTATCGCCGTGCTCAGCTGCATGGCCATCATCGCCACCTTCGCTGGTGTCTTCCTGCTACTGCAGCTGCGCTCCGGTGCGCTCATCAAGCTGCCTTCCCTGGAGGCCGGCGGCGGTCTCGGGGGTGGCTTCAGTCTCGGGGGTAACAGAGTGGTGTCGTACCGCGGCATCCCAACAATGTGGGGGGATGACGGGGTGAACACAGACTCGGATAATGAAGAGTTTGACGTCCACAATGAGAGGACTGCCTTTATCAAAACACAAAGTGCTCTTTAATGCCTCCACCACATCCCTCCTCTGCCCCTGCTTTTAAAACCCCCTCCCTCTCTTTGGTCCGATGATTCCGGGCTGTGGTAACTGTCTCTCCACAGTCTTCTCTGGTTTTATCTCTCATTCTTCCTCCTCTGTCTCCATCTTACCGGGTTTTTGTTCAAGTCCTGCTTCAGGACCTCGTCTTCCACTCTGCTGTGGTAGACCCGGCGGGAAGCAGCTGTCTCTCAGAGCTCGGGATGGCCCCAGCTTTGCTCCGTTCACACTTGGGCGCACTTCTATTAAACTGGCTCTCTCCCTCCTCTTGCCCTCAATCACTAACAGAGTCTGTCTGTGCAGAGTCCATTTCCCCCTCCAGCTTCGTCTCCTTTTTGTTACAGTAAACAACTGATTATTATTTGCTTTCTTCCTCTTTTATTCCTCTTTCCATCAGTCTCAGTGCAGTAGCCAGACGAGATTGTTGAATGTGAGGAGAAGAGTGTGAGTGCACAAATGCCTGTTTGTATGCATGTGAGTGTGAATGTGTAAATCTGATGTAGTTTGATGCCCTTTCTAGAGGAGCTAAAGCCGGTCCTGTCACATTTAATAGTGGAGTGGTAACAAAGACTTGTAATGTGAGGCATTAAATCGGATTAGGAAACACTGATTCTCTCCAAAGTGTCATTTAGTGACGTTAATGTCCAAAATCTGCCCTGAAATGCTCCATTTATTCATAGTTTTCACATTTTTAGAGTGCGGTTTTGAAAATTCCACAAATCAAAAGCATATTCGTTGTCAGAGAAATGTCCAGACTTGAATGGTTTCTAATAATGTGTCTCTAAAACAGTCTGAGAGCTTTCTGACTGTCCGCCTTCTCTCCTTTGAGATGGTGAAATGTTTCATATTTACTTAAAAACACAAATCTGTCTCTCACGCAGTCTGTTTTAAATGTCTTTAGCTATTGATCTTTGTGGGACGAGGACTTTTGTTCTCCTATAGTACACACGATCGGCAAAGATCTCTCTTAGCTCTGGCCAAACAAACGGTGAGTCACACAGCTAACAAAGCTGCCTCCAGCCTTTTGGGATTCAAGATGCACTCTTGGAAACTATCAATTCTTCTGCACTCATAACCTCCAAACCATCACAGGAGGATTTCAAAAAATCTGATCAATTTAAAGGAAGAAAAGGCTACTCCGTCAACCCTGAGGCACTAGCCTTCCAGGGATATTTAATTTCTATGTGTGAAGTTCTCCCATCCCAGGCCTGAGAGAGAAGCAGCTGAAGTCCTGACGGGAACAGAACAGGAAGCGGAACAAAAAAAATGTGATGGAGGAGAACGAGAGCTTCTTTTCAAACAGCTGTGGGGTGAGTGTAGCTGATTTCTTAATGGAGCAAACACAGAAACAACAAATCGATGCTTTCCCTTTTTTTGTCAGTGCAAATTAGCACAACAAGGAGTCATTACACATATCATTAAAAACGAGCGTGCGTGTGTGTGTGTGTAGGTGTGTGTGTGTCACTGCATATGGAAAAAAGAAAAACTCATCTATCCTCTGAGCAGGGGTTTCCTCTCCTCCTTCATCTCTTTGGTATATCTTAAATGCTCTTTAGAAGATTGTGTTGAGACCCCGCTCTCTTTAGTGTCTCCGCACTTACCCTCCAGTCTTCTTCTAATCTGAATTTCAGATTATGTCTTCAGCGTACTCGCCAATTAATTATATTCAGAATGAATCTGCAGCAACTATTTATTCTGAGAGATTTTAATCATACCTTTAGGGGAGATGGTTTTAAAGTGATTTTTCTCCTGGGCTGGTTATCTTCTAAAATATGCGTCTCGTGATTCAATCCAGAGTAGAAATTCTGAATCCATTGATCTCTCTCCTTTTTTTTTTTTTTTTCCATTGATTTTCTTTTTTATTTCCAGTCCTAAAACAATGGAGCTTGCTGAGAGAGGTTGTCATGGTGATGACGTGCATACAAATCTGCAGCTGCTCATCCTTTTATCTACCTCTCATAACATTCAGCAAGGGTTCATGTGCTGTAATAGGAGCTGTTAAATGGTTATTGAGGGCATATAATATGTAGGTCACATAAAACGCTTCGAGAGAAAGATTTCGGAGGATCAGCGTGAGAGTCAAATTTATGTTTTCGAAGTGAAATAAGCAACTGCATTTCTTAAACTGTAAAGCTGCTGTGTAGATTCTCCACTCCTGAACCTCCTATCTCCCCTGACATTTATTGCCTTTAGGATCAGCATTCATGGGCTGTCACACCTGGGCTTTAAAACCTGTTGTTGAAAATAAAATGGGTAAAAGGATCCATAGATCTTGTTGGCGTTAAAGTGCTACATCAACTTTAAATCATAGGGTCCTCGTTTTTACTCATTCGCTCAGTCGAGATCTTTTGCTTCTTGAATTAATGACAATCAAAATATTACCCGACATTGAAGCCAGAAAAGGTGCACATGCACACAAAACAAAATCTAATTGAACTACTTGTGTCAAAAAGCCTTCTCAGAAGGTATTTTTATGAATATTTTGAGATAAATGGGATTGAAATTGCGAAACGAACAAAATCAAAACAGAAGAAATTGGGGTTGAAGATGAAACCCTATTTGTATGAATCCTCTCAAACACAGCGCTGAGCAAGAAAGCGAAGAATTCATCTCAGCTGGATGATGCAGGTGCAGCAAATGTGGCTTGTTTCAGCTGAGAAGAACTAAACAGATTTGGAGAACCCAGCTGAGAACGTGGGTCTTAGAGCAAGTGCCCTCTGAAGCTGTGAAGCTAATGTGGCTGCAGTATAATGAGTGTGTGCTGCATCACTCTGTGTGATGTACATTAGTGCCTACTGCCATTTAGGCTGTTATTAGCCTCAGTTTAAGGAGGATGCTAATCTACAAAATAAGTACAGCTCCAGACTTGAGCCACTGACTCCTTATTGACTTCCCAGCGTGGTGTGGAGTGTGTAAACAACAGATTATGGGCTGATGCGGCGCTAAAATTGCTTTCTCGAAACTGAAATTCAGGACGCTCAGTTAGCTTTTTTTAATCAGAACTATAAAGTGGAACTCGTATTGATTTATTATGCTTAGTCATGTCTACTTATTCAATTGTCCATCTTCCCTTCCAGTAGATTCACACTGCTTCCAGAAAAACTAAAGCTGCCCTCAAGTGAAACACTTTGGGGTGTTTATCAAACTTTCTGTTACCCCTTGAGTGCACACACAAAATGATTTATTCATTTTGGCTTCATGTTGCATCCACCACAGCCTGAAAACTCAAAAGTTTAAACTGATTAACTTGGAGCTTTGTGCATTCAAGTGTTCAACTTTTAAGGAAAGCGTGAATGCAGTCTGCATTAAGTAGCTGGTGCTTCCACAGCACGGTGAGCTGCTGAAAACCATTAGTAGCTGGCTCACTCTTTCGCTGCAAAGATGTGATGAAAATGACACACTAAAAAAAGAAAAGAGGGACGCTAATTGTGCCAGATAGCAGCTCGTCATTAAAATGCTACCACTTCACTGGCACAAAAATAAGAAGCCTCTCCATGAAAGTAACAAGAACATTGCTAAAAAAAAAAAAATCTGCAAATTGTCTCTTTTGGTGATAAAGAAAAGAGTCACCCGTGGGGAGAACAGAGGCTTTTTCTTTATACAGCCAAATTATTTAAAGCTTGATGTTGCTTCATTCCTGCCTTAGGATATAGTCTGAAGTGATCAATATGAAGTTGAATGGAGTAAATAGGAGCAATATCTTTGGCATAACCAAAGACAATCATGTTAATGCTGTCTGTTTAGTGTTACAGCGTGTTGCTTTCAGGTTTTCACAGTCCATCAAGCACTTCACTTGTGTTCAGAGTGTTTTGTTGACATAATCCTGTCATCTCTGCCTTTATTTTGAAGACCTGCAGTGACAGCTTGTCTGTTCAGCAGCAGTGGAGGGAGAGCTAGAATGTATCCCACCTCCATTAACTTAAAGGGCTGAATCAGATCTGCGTGTGTACAAATGCTTGTTTGAGTGTAAATGAAACACTTTAAAGGTGTGGGCGAGGTCGGTCAAGACTCTGATGACCTCTTCACGCCTCTTGTTGAGGTTCCTGGCCTGTGGCTGCATACAGTACCTTACAGATTTGTGACCTATGAATAATGTACAAGAATGACTATCTTACATGGGACAAAACTCTATTACAAGGCCTATTTTTGTACTATATGAATGGTGCAGTGTAATTTTCTTGTAATTTAAAGATTTTTTTGCTCTTGTTTTTTTCTCCTTTTTATTTAATTGATGTCAATTATAGATTCTACTAAAAATAAAGATCTATGCAAATTTGAATGTGTCTTTATTAACTGAAATTTACAGAAAAATAATGCACTCAAAACTGACAAAAGTGGACATTTTTCTGTGGTTGTTATATCATTGTGAAATAAAAAAGATGTTTAAAAAATGCACTTAAAAAACTACTTAAAATATCAAACGCAGGAGTTCTTACTTGGCAAAGACAGCCCCCTGATGGCCAATAATCTTGTGAGACTCGTCACAGTCAACATGAAGGTAGCAATAGGTATGTGAAGCTGTGCCGCACATCTATATTCATGGTTTGTGTTTTTATGACAGATCAATAATTTGCCTCAATTACTTTTACAAAATAAAGACGAGAAGTGAAAAGTGGAAATGTCTCCTACAGCAGAGACATGACAGGGATCAGAGTAAAAACTGCATTTGTAGTCATTAAAAGGCACCAAAGGAAGTTTCTTTATGCACTCTTAAAAATATAATGACAGGAGTTACACAACTTTTATAAATATTTACCATTTATTCAAGGTTCTCAGAGAGTTAATCGACTTTTTTGATCCTCTGCTCTCTCTAATCTCATCATCAGGTACACATTTGTGGTTTTGAATAGAGTCTGGACCAGAATGTCATTCCCATTGTGAAAAGTAAAGCCATAATCCCTTCCACAGCACCGACTAAACTCACCTTAAAGATCCCCGGGGTAGATACAGACACAAATAATCAACCAAATGTTTTCAAAATCAAGTTTGCATTCAAGTCCTGAGAAGTTTAGTTTTATCAGCGATAAGGACTTTGGCAGGGTAAAAAATATTAACAGGTATTTAAATTTTTATATTTTGACCCATGTTCCCTCTGTTAGCATATTGTGTGTCTGAAGGGCTGTATGTATCTCTGGAACTGCATCTCTAGGACCTGTTTTATTGTGACAGAAAGGACAAAGGTAACATTAGACACTAATGAAGGTAATGCGGCGCATTAAAAATAGACATTAATGAGGCGGCCATCAGGACCACTAGGTGGTGCTGTTGTAAACAACAAGGGTCCTAAATTGCTTGCAGTCCCTCTATGTAGAGGACACAGTTAATGCCATAACATGATAAAACAGTGTATCCTGTTTTCTAGCATGTTAACATATTTAGCGAGCTCTATGTTAGGAAGTTACCTCTCACAGAACCACTAGCTTTCTCTACTTTTAACCAAAGTGACTCACTAAATGTATTTAACTGCTTCAGTATTTAACTTCCTTCAGCTGCTGAAATGAAAGCAAGTTTAGTCAACGTAATGATCAAATATTTTGCCCTGTCATGAAGTATGACATTATTCTTGTTGCTCACAGCTGCAGCATGAGATCAGAAGCAACATGACCTTTTAAAGGCTCTGTATCTAAACATAAGCGCCGGCATTTCCTCTTGCTCTGTGGTCTTCAACCTGGGTGAGCTGTACTGTTCAGCTTGTGCTTGTCTCATCTATTCACCCTTTCTGTATAATAAGTGTATTTGATGATGTATGACTCCTGTAATTAAGCCAATGAATTTACAGCAGGGAGGTTGCACACAACAAAAACCAAGTCATAAACAGAAGTAATGGAGTGAGACCGGGTTCACACTGTGGTGATATGAAAATGAAATGTTTTTTTTATTGTATGCAACAGACATCATCAGCAGTTTTTGTGCTCTGCTTTGGTCTAATGATGATAAGCAGTGTGTTAGAGAAAAAACACACACACCAGGAGAATATTTCAACTAACTGGCTGTTTCTCATGGTTATGTAGCACCGCATAATACCATTAAGTTATTTCATCGCTGTATGTAAAATAGATGAGTGTGTTGGGATTAGCTATAAAACCTGCACCTGCCTGCATCAGGCCTCAGATCACTGTGGTAAAACCTATAAGCCACAGAGCTCCAATAACCCAACCATCACCTGTTTATTTATGATGTCAAAAAGAGAAGGAAAGAGGTAAAACTAGGCCAAATGTTTACCTCTGATACTTGAACGTCTGCTATCGATGTTGGAGGTTTTGTACGTTTACAATAAATGCAGATATTCAAGTAACTGTGTCTCAACTGAAAGCAAACTACCATGAAAAAGCATCAACATATTCAAATAGACATGAGGAAGTGCTGCCTCACATGAAGCCCTGTACTTTTTTTTGTTCACAAGGAAATGAAATCACTCTGTGGTCGCAGAGAAATAACTGCTGCTGCTGGTCATTTGTAGCTGCTGCTTTTCTGTCTCGCTCATGAGAACACAGAGAGGCTGTAGGACGTTCTGCTGTCAACAAATCCTTGGCAGGGAGGGAAGTTTAATTATTCAGAGATGGGTTTTGGAGAGGATCTGAGATGCCCCCAGGCACACACAGCAGTCATGAAGCTGCTGGACTCAGAGCTTCACCTGATGGAGGTCATGAAGAAGTGGATGGGTCAACGGGCGAAGAGTGAGCGGGAGTTTTCAGTGCAGCTGCACCACATGGCAACCACAGTGGAGAAGCTGGACCGTCCTCAGACTGGCGCAGGGTTGGACTACATCAGCCAGCTTAACCAGGTGAGGTGTTAGAGAGCTTTCTGATTATCAATTGATTATTACTTATCACCTCCTAGTTTCATTTATAGTTGACACTGAAGTTAAAACTGTTTGAAATCACCAACATCAGTAACTTCCTTTAAGATTTCCATCAGATCAGGTATTAGATTTAAATTTGGATGAAAATATGAGAATTATTCACCCACTTATGATCAAATGGTTAAAAAAAGGCCTTTCCAGTGAGAATTTCTTATTTTTGATTAAAAATTAAGTAAATTTTAACCCAATTCTGTTGTAGTTCATGGTCGAAATTTTAAGGTGGGACACTTATTACAGAAAGATTGAAAACAGAGTTTGGGTTGCAGCCTGTTTAAGGAGCTGTTCAGACAGACACCCTTTGGCGCCAACCGTGTCAAAACCCACTGGTTTGTTTTATCTTTAAGTCTGACTTTTAACAAAAGTTATTTAAAACTATTGAATATTCTTGCAATTGGAAATAACCCACCAAAGAAATCCAGATCGATCTGCAGGTTAAGTTTATGAGGGACTGTACATCCTGTATTGCTTTGTGAGATAAACTACGGTTGTTAAAGCTGTCCTGTTTGAACGTCACCCTTCTGACTCTTTGTTCTCCTGTCTGTCAGTCATGGGGAGTGCTGGTCTCTCAGACTGACCTTCTCAGTCAGGTAATGAAGAGGCGCTCTGAAGATCTGCTCAACGGTCCCCTCAGTAAACTGACACTCCTCATCAGAGACAAACAGCAGCTCCGTAAAACCTACTTGGAGCAGTGGAACCTGCTGAGGCAGGAGCTGAGCAAGGTGAGGGTCGAAACACAGACACGTTTACGTTTTGTTGACTCTTGGGGACCACTGTTTGGGGCAGCTTGATAGGGACCACCGGTATTGAGGGGTGGAGAGACAGGATTTAGATTGCTATGAAGATTCATGTTCACATAACAACGTCTGTAAACACCCACACACATGCTAAAAGGCCTGTGACCCTTTGTACAGTCAGACCTCTGACTCTGATACCACTCACTCATTACAATAAGATGTTAAGTTACCAGGCGCTGAATTTAGATACTGCTTCTGATGTCCTCAAATTCTCCCTTCGAGGGACACACAGAGAGACACTAAGAGCCAAAATAAACCAAATAGCTTCAAATATTCCTAACAGAGGACAGTATTATTACACAACTGAGTGACTACACATTTACTATGGTCCATGAGTCGATGTTTGCTGGAGTGATATAAACCATTTGTTCAAATCTTCTGTACTTCTAAGCAGCGATGTAATTCAGTTGCTGTGAAGAAATAGTTTTTTGCAACCTCTGTTGAAATTTTAAAATGATACCAAGCCTTTCATTTGTGTAAGAGTTCAGTGTTCACAGTCATTTACACTTCTTTATCTCTCACCTGACTACATACATTTTTAAATGAAACATACAAAGGTGATGAAATATTTCTGTATAATGAGAAATTAAAAAAATAATGAATATGGTAGTAAAGAAAATGCTGGTATGGTTGTTTGAGTTGTTGACTTGTTTCACTTAAAGTTTGTTAATAAGAAAGTTGTACATAGATCTAGATTTTGTTAATGAGTAGGAGGCTTTGTCACTTCATTTTGATGATATTTCAGACTGGTCGCTGCTCTGTGCTCCTTTTGTTTCCGGGAGAAAATGAAGTCTTCGTTTATAATGAGCCACACAGAGGCTCAGCGGTTTTCAAGTGGTCTAGCCTCAGGGTACACCACCACCCCCAGAAACACAGCTGCAACCCAGATTTGTAGAGCTCGACAATTAAAAGCAGATGTGTTACCTTCAAGGTGCATTATCAACACCTGCTGCTGCGTTGGAGTATATTTAAACTACCCTTCAATTGTCAGTGCATTGGGTCACAGGGCTTTTTGATAACCAATAAAACCCTTTTTTCTCTGACACACATCTAGACCCACTGACAATGGCCCCACAACTAATAATGGGACCTGACTCACCAGTTGAAGATGTGGATCCATCATGCACTATCATTATTTTAATCTTTCAACTGTGCAGACAAAGTGCATTTGAGGTTTTGCTGCATGTGCATCACTGTGTGGTTTTACAGTAGAAATATCTTATTCAGTGATTACAGCTGCCCACTGTCAGCGATCCTATCACCTTCAGTTTTGATGCTTGGCCAACAGCAACTTAAACAAAGGTTAGATCATTTCCTCATGTCTTTTCTCATGTCTCTTGTTCCTCTCAAGTGTAACATGAACAGGCTGCTGTCCACTTCCTGTGTTGAACAGCATTCACACTCCATTGCGGGGTTTTTTTTTGCATTACACAAGCAGCACCTTTGCAGCACCTACACTCATCCTTGTATTATTCCCTTCCCAAATGATTGCGTGCTGCTGTTTGTTTGTGCACCACTTCAGGTGACTCAGACAGAGCTGGAGAGGCTGAAGAGCAGCTATCGGCACGCAGTGAAAGACGCCGCTCAGGCTAAGAGGAAGTACATGGAAGCTTACAAAGGTGGGGAAAACATGGCATCAGTCACTTCTCTAAACAGAATCACTTTCATGCTTTCTATTTAAAAACCGTGCTAATCTCACATATGTAATTCTTACACAATTTTACGTGTCTACCTCTCTCTGTGTGTGCAGATAAAGAGCGAGACAAGGCTAAAGAGCGTTACATAAAAGCTTCACTAAAACTCCATCAGCTGCATAATGAGTATGTGCTGTCTGTGCAAGCTGCTCAAGTCTACCATCAGCACCACTACAGTCAGATTCAGCCCGCTCTGCTCACTGCACTGCAGACCCTGCAAGAGGAGATGGTGCTCATACTGTAAGATCTCATAAAAACAGAGTGTGTGCATGCATATGTGAGAGTATATTTACTCAGCATTACTGATACATCGCCTTTTATACAAATATGCGGCCAAAAAGCTTCATATAGCAAGAATAACATTGAAGTAGGTGAAAACTAATCAACAATAATAGATTCAACTTTGTTAAGATAACAAATTACAAAAATCTAATTTCTAGAAATGAATTAATGGAGTTTGATGAATAAGACAGAGATAGGGAAGTTAGCAGGTGGTTCATGTTGGGGTCTTGTCTCACCCTTTCAGGATTCACCAGCTGACTTTACTTTATCCTGCTTTTTACTGGCTGCCAATTAAATATACAAACAAGCTGTCTGTTAGTATTGATCTAAAGGTTCATTTATTGATTTGGAAGGTCTTTATTGATACTTTATCTATCTATAATAGTCCCTCAGTTTGAATAGTTGGTGATGCTTCGATGGCAGCGGATTTCTTACCATCTTACTTACAGGTCGTTTTAGATTTTCATGAACTTTTTCTTTCACAGTAAAATCAAGAGCTTATCGTGATTAACTGTTATAAAACACATCAAACTTAACAATGTGGTTCACCTTTTTTGTTGGCATTTTCTCCCCATTAAACCAGTCCTGGTACACGGCCAAAGCCCATGCTATGATGAGGTCTGTGATTTTCATCCAGCTCCTCGTGTGTTTAAACGTCCTTTCTTCTGTTTCTCACATCTTCCTCTTTAGTGGTGTGTGGTCAGCTGTTCATCTCCCACTGAACTGAGAGTAATATTAAAAATATCTCCCTCACTATCCTACCGGAAAGTGACATTTTGGTCACACTGTCAACATGAAATGGTAAAATTGTCATAAATAGTGAGCTCACTTTGCCTTAACTCCCCCCAATAGTTTGATTTGACCAGCGTGATGTGTGTAATCAGGCTTTCCCCAGGGTCAGGATGAATAACTGTATGTGTCTTAACCAATCAGAATCAAGTATTTAACACAGCCAGGTGATTACTTGGAGAGCCTGTAATAAGATGATATAAACAGCAGAAATAAGAAGCAGGATTACTCTAAATTGAAAGCTAGATTAGAAACAAAGGCCTGAAATTGCTTTTTGAAAGCGCAATATATCACATAAAGGTTGTGTTAAATAGAAAATGAGAGGACTGTTGCCTCGTGGTGATTCTTTTCACAGCTTTTGTTTGCTTTTAGTGGACAGGTTCCCATTTATGCTTGCAAGAAACGAAAGCAGACCTCAAAGTATTTTCACCCAGCTAGAACACAGTTGTGGTCCACAGTTGTGGTCTATCTAGGTGAATATACTTTGAGGTCTGCATGTGTCAAACTCTGAGGTAGGTTTTCCTGTCATTTTGGACCGAGGATCACTTATCTTATGAGCAGAAAGTCAGACTTTGCTTGTAGCAGCAAATGCAAGAAACAAAAACCAAATAGTGTTAACTTTTAAGGATTGAAGATCAAAATGAAAAGAAAAGTGAGATTTTCAATGGCTGCTGCCTTTAAAGTTTGCCAGTTTGAGTTCATGTTGCAGCTTGTCCGGACACAGTTTTCAGATACTCCATTAAAACACATAATGTCTCTTATGTAAATGTCTCTATGGGGGCTGTAAAGTTTATCACAGTAAAGTTTATCAAAGTAGACTTTTAAAGCAAAAACCCCTAAAAAAAACAAACCTGAAAACGTCCCTGTAGGGTTTTATTGAGGCTCACAGATAAAAAAAAATACATAATCTAGATAAGGCTCAAGCGCGCACAAATGGTCCTTGAAGTTACTGAACACACTACTTAAAGTGTTTTATATCATGCTATTTGGCCTCTCCTGATGCAGAAAGGAGGTCCTGCAGGAGTATTTCGACATTTCCACGCTCCTGCATCATGAAGTTGTGAAGATCCACCGGGAGATGTCTACCGCTCTAACAGCCATTGATCCCTACAAAGAGTATGAGAGCTTCATCCAGCAGAGCAGGTAGATGGAGGGGGAAACTTCCCCTCAGATGGCTGTAAAGCAATAATGGGGGCTTACCTTGCAGAGCTATGATGCTGTGGATTGTGTGGTTTGTGTGTTGCAGGTCTGTAGGGGAAATTCCTGCCTGTGCAGAGTTTGATTGTAGTGTTTTGGAGGGAAATGAACGGCTGAATCCTAGAGAGATTGAACTGAACGATCTCACACTTGAATCAATCCAGCACAAGTGAGAACAAGCAGCCCCCATTCTCCTTTTTTAGTATCTCAAAATTCCTTCTCTTGTTTTTGTTTTACATCCACTTTTTTTCTTAGATTCTTTTGCATCATTTTCTGCTTCTGCTCAATTCATTTTTCCGTCTCCTTCTTTAAGACTGACCGCTGTGGAGGAGGAGCTGCTGGACCTGGCTCGGACTCTGGGCTCCCAGCAGACATCAGTGGAACAGCTGGAGATGGAGCTGGAGGCCGAGCTGGAAGGTGTCAAGAAGGGGCAAAGGTGAGCAGACCAAACACCAAACCCAGAATCAGAGATGCTCTGATGTTAAATTTAGAGGGGAAGCTTCAAAATAAAACCACACCTGAGGCAGCTGTGGAGACAGGTCACCTCTGCCTGTGGGAGTGATCCTTCCTATCAGGAGTGTTCAGGGTGCTCTTGGCTATGCAGCAGCGGCTAATAACCGGGGTGTTCTCAGGGGGCTGTAATGCTGCATGAAATATTATACAGGGCTACGGTCAGAGTTATGGAACCTGATGTCCTAATTTGTCTTGTTTGATGAGGCTGTTTGAAGGTGTGTGAGTTTTACAGTCCAGTGGGAGCCATTGAGAGCATGCTCCTGGAGGAAATGTGGACAATTTGCTTATTTGTGGAAAGTTAGAACCTCTTAAGGGCATCTGGGGAGAACATATGGCAGTGTTAGTGAGGTGAGTCAAGTTCATGCTGCCCCTTGGTTTGTTTTTTGAGGAAGCGTTTTGTAACTTAACAGTAAAGTGATGTGAGAGGTTGACCTTGTGACCTCTTGTGCCTGAGATTCCCTTTACTTGAGTAAAAGTAAGACTGAATGTGCTCAACCATCAATGAATGATGATTCAAAAATTTTTAGTCATTGAAATATTTTTATTTCCATAAATCTGTAAAGCAAGTGTATAAACCATTGACCTCCACACAACAGTTCCCTAAGAAATCAGTTCAATGTTTACATCCTGTAATATCATTATCTGTAATGTCAGACTATGTCGTGCTCATCTTTTCAGGAATTTATACTCCTGTTCTGACATGAGCCTCAAACATGTTTGGTTAAAAACATAGACAGTAATAAACATGGGCAAAACTGGGGGTTGGCACGATGGACATGCTCTGTCTGTCAGTCAAGTTAGCCGCACCCCTAATCGTCCCTTAATGAATAGGGCAACTGTCAACTGAAACCAAAACCGTTTTTTCATGTTATCATGTCACCTCTAGCTGTAAAAATTGACATTTTCATATGGGTGCTAACAGGATGTAGTCAGTAGGTAGTAAGTAAGTAGTAGTAGTCTGTCATTGCTAGTAAAAGTTCTCATTTCCTCAGGGAACTGCTACAAAAAGAGAAACTAAAAATTTTCCCTTAAAAAAAAATGTGTGTTAAAACACACACACACACACACACACACACACACACACACACACACACACACACACACACACACACACACACATATATGTAAGCATCTATAATTTGTATTTCAAATTATTCATGCTTTTTCTTTTTTCTTTTATTTGTTTTTTTTCATTATTTATAGAGCTATGTTCACTCAACTTTGTGTTATCACTATCATTATTTGTATATGTTCGTGTTCTGTATTTCTTCTCCCTTTATTTAATTATACTTAAGTTTGTACTCTCATATTGTCGTTACTATGACGACTCTAATTGTGTTAGTATTATAATTATTTATATTGCTTGTATCTTTTTCAGCACTTCTGTCTATGTAAAAGTTGAGAGAAAACTATTTACCTAATTTGCACTCTTTAATTTAAATAAAAATATTATCAGTAAAGAAAAAAGACTTTAAAGCAGTTTACTCACTGATGGTTTAGGACTTGGGTCTTTAATATGTTTCTAGACTGTTGGTGCTGGTTTCTTTCAGAGTCTCTGTACTGTGAATACTATGTGACAGGTTTATATTGCCATGCATTTTCCTTGTATGATCTGTTGAACCCTGTGTTTCTTAGGTACAATAATCTCAGTAATCAAGCCTGTGCATGTATTTGAAATCATTTGTTTACCTCTCTTTCAGGCCTCAGGGTTCATTAAATGTTTGCTGGTTTTACACGCTGAGAAAATCCAGGACAAAGCTTACTAAGCTGTCACCAGAGACACCTTCTCATTGACTGTGTTAGTCAATAGGAAGCATCTGCAAACCTATTTGCACAGACAAACCCTTTATTGATGTCAGTGTGGTCTCGTTCTTTTTATTTGCTTCCCTCCTGTTGTGTTATTTACTTGTGCAACCCTTTTGAGTTGCTTACAGTGGCGAGGTCCCACGCTAATCCATCCTTCCTGCTTTGACCAGGGTCTACCAGTTCAGCAAAAGGCACGCACTGGAGGAGTGTCGTCAGCAGGTTGCACTGTCTCAGGGCCTGCGAGCCAGGTTAGAGGCCCAGAGGCGTACTCTGAAGGAGAAACTGGACCATCTGGGAACCAAGGATCCTCCTCTTGCTCTGAAGCTGGACCCAGACGCCATCTCAATCTCATCTACCACAAGCAATGTAGTTAAAAGCTTCTTTGTCTATTCCGCTTTTTGTCTAGTCATTAGTTCATCTGAAAATTAAAGGTTTAGTTCATATAGAAAAGACAGACATCATACCAGAACCAGCCTTTGACTCTAACACTATGTTGTGCTCCTTTTTTAGGACCACAGCCAAAAACCTCCCAAAATCCTCATGGAGGGTATAATCGATAGTCTGGGTGGCCGGCTAAAACCAAAATGTGAGGTATGTTAATCTGTTTAATCACATTATGCACACCTAACACTCTCTATTTCTCAAAACGTTGTCCAGGGTGTTGAAGAGGAAGGACTCTTGTTTTAGTTTAGTTGTTAGTTCCACTTCCTCACTTCCATGCCCTGAACTTTTGTTGTCACCTTGAGTCCATGCCCTCAAATCTCCAACCATGCAACAAACTATTCATCATGTTTTCGAGACGATGGTATGAAGTAGGAAACTGCACAGCTGAGCCTCTGGGCTGAGCTCATTCAGGCAAGATGTCTTTCTTTGGGGTCTCATGCTGCTGAGAACAGGACTTTGGAGTTTTTAAAAACTTTTTTGTTAACTTGCCTCTTTAGAAATCCAGCCTGGTTTGGCTACAAGATAGCCAGTTTGCATTTAATCATTTTATCATAGCCTTTGTCAGCTTCTCTGCACAAAAACTTGAAACAGAAACATTACTTATGCCGTTGATCTTTTTTCAGTTTTTAATCAGTGCTTTTCTCCGAATAATCTTTTACAAAATGTACCCAGAAAATCATCTCCAACAGATCATCACATAAAGAATTATTTCCATCTGTTATACACTGGACTTCCACCACAGATTATTTGCAGCCTTTCTTTGAGTAAGATCTACTTGGTGCTCTCTGGCTCTCCTCCCTGTGTTAGCCAGAGGCATGGAAGGTGGTGCAGTTCAACTTTAAAGCATAACAGACTTCAACTTTGAAGTATCTCCATATAATCTCTACAGAATCACCTTAAAATCCATCCTCTACCATTTCTTCTTCTTTATTTATTCAAGAAAGCTTTAGAGAGTCTACTTTTCTCTCTTCCTGCCTCCAGGCGCCTCCTGTCCTCCCCACTGTGCAGGAGGTGGACCGTCCTCTGGTGCAGCAGGACTGGTATCATGGAGCCATTCCCAGACCTGAGGTAGAGCAGCTTCTGAAGAATGATGGAGACTTCTTAGTGAGGAAGAGTCAAGAGAAGCAGGGTTACGTGCTGTCTGTGCGGTGGGAAGGAGTCTGTAAGCATTTCCTCATCCAGAACACAGATGTAAGTCAGAATGAGAACATTTTCCAGTGTGTGTGGATCTCTTGTGGTCAAGATCACAGGCTGTACCAATCAGAAACTGTGTGAACCATTTTTTTAACAACCTCATTGTTTCACAAGCTTTTCTTCAACAAGAGTCTTTCCTATCAGTTTAGGTTTTCTCCTCAGCTTGTTTTCTAATCAGTTTATCTTCACTTTCCTATGTGTGTCAGTAGAATCTGTACCGTCTGGATGGAGAAGGCTTTCACAGCATCCCCCAGCTGATTTCGCATCTACATTCCTCAAGACAGCAGATCACCAAGAAGTCCAATATTGTGCTGAAGAAACCTGTCCTGAAGGTGCTGCTGTGGCAAACACTCAGATAAAGAATAAACTGTAGACAATATGACAGCACCCTAAAAGTGAGCCAAAGGATTTAGAGCTCCCCCTACTGACTGGCAGCAGAATAGTTCGTATAACAAACACCTGTCATTTTAACAGTTAAGAAAATGGTGAACCATAAAAATCTAAATCCACGTCAGTCCTTTTTCTCTCAGTCATTGTTTCCATCAGTTTAGCTAGTTTGTTGCAGCACCAAGTCCATATATCTATTTTTATGACAAATTTAGTGTTGTTTAGTAACTTGACACTGAGGTATGATTGACAGCTCTGTTGAAAAATAGAGCCCCTATGGGTGTGTGCAGCATAACCTTCAGTTTCAGCCACAAATCAACACAAGAGTCTGTTCTGCTGCAGACTGTATTAAGTTGAGGGATCTTTTATGTTCATCAGACAAATCAAATGCGTTTTGATTTGCAAAGGAGTGCGATCATAGGCTGTATACTGGACACAGTGTCGATAATGTCATCCATTTGTTTCTGAAGCTGATTTGAAGCCTGTCAGCAGCAGCAGTCGCCATATTAGTCTCAGTGAACCACAGACAAAACTTTAGCTTCCTCTGATTTGAATAAGCCCAAAATGAATGTGGTACAAAAAAAGATTAACTTCCTGTACCTTGGGTGCTGTGGGAGCCCTGAGCTATTAAGACCAAAACCATTTTTTGAATTAGTCTGTCAGCGTGTTTATTTTTGCTCTAAAAAGGGGCTTTTTTGCTGGGTGTGCTTATGTGAGCAGCCTCAAGCGGGCACGCTGTAAACTGCAGTTTTTAGCACTTCTAGATCAGTTTAATTTCTCAAGACTGGAGGTTGCCGTTTGGGTCAGTCCTGATGCACCAAATATGCAAGATGTTAGCACCCACCACAGTTCTGTTATAGCATCACTTACTGTTTATTGCAAAGATCCTTAAAGATTAAAAGCTTTTTGGACAGATATTTTAAAATATTAATTCCTTTAAAATGTTTCTATATCTGTAAATCTGAACTTGTTCTCACATTAATTTGGCTCCAAATTTTCTGTCCTTTTTGCTCTTCGTCTCTTGCTTTACCCATAATTTTAGAAAGCCATTTAACAGAAGGTGTCTCTGTTTTGTTATTGATCTGTTTAGGACAAGTGGGTCCTGGAACATGATGATATCATCTTAGGGCAGCTCATCGGACGGGTGAGTAACCTCTCTCTGCAGACTAAAGCTTTTCTAACCCATAAGTAGACTTAATTGGTTGTTGATTTCCATAACATGGGTTCTATGGAGAGTAAAATAGACAACATAGCGGCTGCACCAAGATTTCAGTGTTTAGTAAGTGATGAGGAACCGAGTGTTTTGTATGAAGCTAAAAAGTCTCATTAAGTGTAGCTGGATGTAATTTGAGGTTTTAGGGGTGAGTATTTCAGGATGAGGCAAGAGCTGCAAAGTCTGTATTTTTTTATATAAACTTCCTTCTTTGTGTTGCCTCATGTGGTGAGCAAAACAAACTGTGAAAAAAAAATGGGGAAATTTGGGCTATAAAAGTAAAATAACTGCAACTAAAGCACTCGGTTTGTGTTACTCAAACTGCCTCAGACTCACACATGCAGCAGCTAAGAGAAGCTTTAGACATTTCTCTACCCGGCCTTGAAACACTTGTATGAACCACTCTTGCCCACAAACTGTAAACTGTGAGCATGAGTGGATACAATGAGTGTTGGTGACCACAAACCCTTTCTGTGTACATGTGACTATGTAAACATTGTTGTATGAAAACAGGCTTATGAAAAGGTATTGAATAGTGCTAACATGTTGAAGTGTTTAAAATCATCAGAGCGGAGGTAACACTATGTTTTTACTACACAGGGTAACTTTGGTGAAGTGTACAGTGGTCGATTACGTTCTGACAACTCTCCTGTGGCGGTAAAATCCTGTAAAGAAAGCCTGGCCCCAGAGCACAAGAATAAGTTCCTCATGGAAGCTAGGTTAGTGCACACACACTCACACAGACCCACAAATATATACACACACACACACACAAGCTCTCACACTCTTTTCTTCTCCTCTCCTGTGTCCAGAATCCTGAAGCAGTACGACCATCCAAACATTGTGAGGCTGATCGGTGTGTGCACTCAAAAACAGCCCATCTACATCATCATGGAGCTCATTCAAGGTAAACATCACCCCTCTGGACTCCAGCTTTATTTCTCCCAGCGTGTTTATCCAATAGCTTCAAGCTTTATTGTTCTATTATTGCTTTTCCACTTTGTTCCTCTATCATCGCTCTGTAATATTTGTTTGTGTGTCTGTCTGTCTATCTACACTTCTTATAAGGTGGGGATTTCCTCTCCTTCTTGAGGCGTGAGAGTCTCAGTCTGAAGACCAAGGTGTTGGTCAAAATGACAGAAAATGTAGCGTCTGGCATGGAGTACCTGGAGAGCAAAAAGTGCATCCACAGGTTGGTGGATTAACTCATCAATAATCGTAACGGTCTGGTTACTGTAGCTGAAAGAGCTCTTCAACAGTATTAGCAGCAACAACACCACAATCATTTTATTCATTCAAAACCACCACGACCACCGGGGTCAAATCATTGAGGTAGAGATCATTTAAAGTTGAGAGAATTCAGGTTTGCTGAATTTTGGGCTGTTGACACAAAGGTAGGTGGTTCCTACTGAGCAAAGGTTTCGAGCTGGAGAGAGGGGAAGCTCCTGACGCTTTGTTGACCTGTTGCCTTTTTTATGACTTTTGGAGTGATAGTTTATCAGGCGATTTGAGGAACAGACAATTGTGAGACCAGAGCCTGCAAAACAAATCTATCTTTGAGGACAATATACGCAAACCTGTTGTCTAATCACTGACCTATTTAAAATAATGGGTTCCCCACAGACATGCTGGTGAGCTGAAATCATGAAGAGTCAAAATCATATTTTCTCTTCAATAATTCTTTTATTCAATGAAGTAACACACCAAATTCAGAGTGGTGTGCACAATGTTTGTACGCTCTGCAAATATCTCCACACCTTTATTTACATCCTCTTTTTCAACGCAGCACAAACAAGCCTCCTCAGATGAGCGCACACTGTGTTTTAGATCTGAAATACAGGAGCAAATACCGAGGTAATTCACAAAGAGGTATGGCTCGATGGAAACATAAATATTAATTGCAGATTAAAACATGTACCTTTTGCATAATGTATAGAGTGGTATCAACAAGAACATAAGCAGTACATGCCTCAGGCGGATGTCCTAAAGAGGTCCTAATGATAGATAATACTGAAACAAATATACTTCCTCCACATTTACTTCACCTGCAGTTACTGTTAACAAAGCTGTACTTTCCCAGCAACACTTCCCCATGTGTGGACATAGAGGATAAACAGCTGACTGAAAATGAGACAGTTTGCTTGAATTATTGAGAGCGACTGAGGTCGTGAAGAGGAAGATGGATGTGTGCTCAACTGACAGGACAACATTTCTTTTTCACTTTTTACTCAGACACTGCATTCCTATATGAGACACTCTGTTCCTAAGTAACTCGCAGCAATTACAGCTCAGCCATAATGAGAATGAACTTGATGCCACTGCAGCTATCACAAATAAACATATAAAAATCTGTCCATAGAGGCACAGACTGAGGAAATGTTACAGAAGTAAACACTAAGTAGCAGAAGATGAGGGTGACTGTTGAGCTGACCTCAATTGCTGATTGCATGATTCAAAGTTTTTATTCAGTATATGACTTATTTCTGTTAATAATAACTTATGACCTAATACATAAATTCAAGCTGAAGCTGATTTTTTAAAATCCCATTAGAAACCCATTTAAATCTTTTGACAAAGAAAAGCTCAAGGATACAACAAAACAGAGTGGGAGGTAAAAGGATGAAAAGTGGTGAATAACAAAAAAAAGAGATCACACATTAGGAGTGTTTTTACACGGTCCCTCCTCCAGTTTCGTACATAACAAGAAATTACTTACCTTTTATAACTCCTTTTCCCAAACAGTTGGTTAAAAGAGGTTTGTTATTGTGAGGTTTGTGTTTAAGTCTTAACACTTCAGAGAAAGGTACATTACTGTGCACTTGTTAATGTCTATATCTTTTAAACTTCTCTTGTAAGGCAACCTTGAGTGCTTTGAAAGGCGCCAATAAATAAAATGCATTATTATATATGCAGAAAAGAGCGTTATGTATTTTAGACAAACTTTACAAGCCAAAAGAAAACTGACTCACAACCCAACTTCAACTCGATTCTCTAAAGGCTACAGACTAAACTCTGGCCTTCATGAAATCTTTTTTTAAAGCGTTCATTAAAAGACAAATGATGAAAAGTATGAGATACCAAAAAAAAGAAGCAAAAGGTTTAAAACTGTGGAAGATTTTCTGGCAGAGAAAAGACGAGGAGCATGAGGAGATCTGCTGCAGAGCATGAGTTATTGCATAGCTTTGAGTGAGGCCTCTGAGGAGCTTGTTGGTGCTCTGGAGCAGACATGAGGTTTTGACGCCTGCCTTATTACAGAGGCAGCGTACTGTTTGGCCAGCGGGGACAGATCAGAGCGAGCTGCTGGTAGCTGCTCAGCCTGAAACACTGCATGTCAAAGTGTTTCACATGCAACACCAGAGACATGACCAAAATGCCTGTTATCCTCCTCCCTTTAGTGCTGTCTGTTATCTCTTTTTTCTTCCAAAGCATGATGTTTTTCTGTCTTTGGTTTCTGTTTTTCATCATCCTCTGAAAATATCCCTCTTACATCTTCCCTCTCCGTTTTGAAGGGACCTGGCAGCCAGAAACTGCCTGGTAGCGGAAAACAATGTGGTGAAGATTAGTGATTTTGGGATGTCCCGTCAGCAGGATGATGGTGTTTACTCTGCAGAGGGCGGCCTCAGACAGATCCCCGTCAAATGGACAGCCCCTGAAGCCCTGAACTATGGTAAATTATATTACAGCTGCATCTGCCCAGCTGTCAGATCCAGAAACACTTCTGCTGCTTTTTTCCACTGAGAGTCAATAAAACGCACAGTTTTGTGCCTTTACTAACACTGTCCTCTGCTGGTGATTTTAGGTCGTTTCACCACAGAGAGTGATGTGTGGAGCTTTGGCGTCTTACTGTGGGAGGCCTTCTCCCTGGGGATGACCCCGTACACGAGCATGTCCAATCAACAGACGAGAGATGAGGTTGAGAAAGGTGAAAGTTCATATCTGACACTCCCTGCCCTCTGACACTGGTGCTTTTCCTTCATCAACATTTCACTATTTTCATGACTGTGTTTCAGGATACCGTATGCCCGCTCCACACGACTGCCCAATGGAAATCTATAGAATCATGAGCAAGTGCTGGCAGTACGAACCCAAAAACAGGACAACCTTCAAGAAACTTCGGACTGAGCTCAGGGCCATTTACAGCAAAATAACATGATACCAGCCTTTTCATTGGACAGTGAACTAGGACTCTTTTTCAGTCTTTTTTATTATCATTATTTGTCTGTTGCATTGTGTCTAGACTTGCAAATACAAAGTAAAATGAAAATATATTTAAAAAATCTATTTTGAGAAAAGTTAGCTTGAAAAGGGAGTTTTGTTTACCAGTAAAACACAGTTGGTGGTAGCAGTCTTGTTCCTTCTCTTCTTTTCCAGTAAGTCTAATATTCACTCATCTGTTCATAAATAGCAGATCATTTCCTTTGACAGATCTTCAGTCTGACAGCACAGATTAACGTTACTGTAAACAACACTAGACTCTTTGTAAATGTTACACTCATGTGGTCGTTCTGAGAAAGACCGCAGTGATGTGATAATCTAACACATGCTCCTGCCAGCAAAGACATCAGGTTCTGATTTGCGCAGTCTCAAGGCTGTGCTGGTCTCTTTTGTTGAGTTTCTTCAAAGCAACTGCAGATTTAACTCTTGAGAGTTTGATTAGTTTAGTGAGGCGTGAAGCATTTCTAGGAAGGAGTGGTGTGACTTCTTTTGATGAAATCTGTGCATGAATCCACCGAAGAAATAAGTCATTAGTTTCTGAATCCATCCTTTACAGGTTAAATAATATCTGACAATGTAGAATGTTGTGCTACAGAGACAACTTCTTTCAAACATACCTGAAACAAGAGGACCCTTTCACGGTGAATCTCAAAGATATTTCACAAACAGATATCCAAAAGTGCATCTCAACTGGTTTTGTTGAACACATCAGTTTAAGAGTAGGAAAGTTACTGACAACAAATGCAACATCTATTAAAGGGTTAAATCTAAAGATGGTGTGAAGGAAAACTTGGAAATTGTTTTTGAATTGCAATCATTTAACGGCACAGCTAACATAAAGGTATGAGACAGCACGTTTTTCTTTCATCACATTGAGGCTTTTGTGGGACTTGAACCCACAAACCCTTTTAGGGGCAGCAGTCCTCACCACTACACCACAGGTAGCTTTGGTCAGTGATTTCCTTTCAGCATTGTTCAAGGGAAGTCTAAAAGTCACGTGTTTCAACAGATGACTGGAACCTATCTCAGTGTGCTCTTCATGAATACAACGTTACACAGATAAGGTATCTTTGCCAATCATGTTTCTTAAATATCTTCAGGTGCAGGCAGTTGGACACCAATGAGTTTTGAAGTCAAGTGGACAAAACTCATCGTGTTTTTTGTTGCCTCTTGTGAAAAACTTAGATAGGACTTAAACCCTGAACTTTGTTAGCTAAAGGCAAAGGGGCTCACCACAACATAACAGGTAAGCCTGGCAATACCCTCTCAAGAAGGACTTTTGATTTTAGCATTTTGAAAATGAAGGTCCAAAAGCAAAGCTCAGACTACAGTGTGAGTAAAGCACCCACTTCTCTCCTCACATTTAAAAGTTTTATCTGACTTGAAACAAGAATCTTGTCAGTAAAAGACAATACTGTTCACCACTAAACTTCAGCAAGGCATCGCAGTTCTTGCTCTGGAAGGTCTTTTCATTTCAGCATTTTACAGCTGAATTCCAAAAGTAAAGCTCAGATTACAGATTGAGGAAAGCAATTGCTTCCTTCCGCATGTAAAACCCGACTTGAACTCAACATTTTCAAGGTCTTTACTACTACACCACAGGGCAACCCAACGGTGCTTCCTTTTTTTTTAAGTCTTTACAATTTCCCTGTTGACTTTTAATAAAGTATAGCTCAGAATTTTACAATTCCAAAGTCCAAAAACAATACTCGGACGACGATGTGAGAAAAGCGTCGACCCAGGGACCTTACGTTACGAAGCAGAACTTTTGGCCACACCAAACTGTGGCCCTGCAGCAGGTATTTCCAAATATTTTCTTTTTTTTCATGGTTGTTCAAAAGCACAGCTCAGATATCTGTGTCAGGAGAACATTTTATACACATCTCCTAAAACCCTTATCCTGGCCTGAACCCAGTATTTTTAATTGACAGGCAACAGTCTTATCTACTGCACCACAGCACTGCATTTTTGGGAGGCTTTTCATTCTGTTTTTTTTATTCATGGTAGCTCAAAAGCACAGCTCAGAATAGAGTGTAAATATAGCATTTTAAAACCATGTCATAGGAAAGAGTGGAGGAGAGCATTTCTTTTATGTCTTTCATGGAGAGCCACTAGCTGAGAATTTAACCCAGAATATTTTCATTGAAAGATAGCGGTATTTCCCACTACACCGCAGGTAAGCCTTGCAGTGCTTGCTAAATAGGTCTTTTTATTTTACTTTTTGATCATGGCCAGAAGCACAGCTTAAAATATACAGTGTGATGGCTGTATGTCTCTCCTGGCTCACATGAAAGCCCCTATCTGGAATTTCAGATAAGATTTTTTCACATTTGCTTCACTACAGGGCAGCTAGTCCCACTTTTCCCCCACTACACAGACCATCCACAAACCTAAGCACGTCTGCTCTTAAACCGTTATTGAACATATCTATTCAGACATGTTGGCAGCACACAAGACTGGTCAGTATGAATTCAACATTTTTTGATTGCTAAACTGACAGTGACATTATATTTGTTGTTTACAAAAGCCCTCAAGGTAGACAATGCATTTGTCTTTAAACACTGACTTTGAGTAAGCTGCTACAGGAAAGGAAATCTACTAAATAAAGTCTGATGAATGATACCGTATGAGGAGCTTTTACAGTGTGCACACTTATCAGCCACAATATCATGACTAGTCACAGGTGAATATATAGACTATAACATTATATTGTCATGTGTCAGTGGGAGGCCATGGATTGAACATTTTCCCCAAAAGTTGATGGTTTTGGTTTCCCAAACCAAAAATCCAGACCCCTGTTTACCAGTTCATATATCATTATGATGTAAAATCTGTAAAAAGAGATTATTCTTCTTATTTCTGAAGAGAGGGGTGTGTTTAGGAGTGGGTTGCAACTGTTATAAAACTGTTTTGAAACAACTTAGGAGGAAAAGTACTGTTGCCATGGACACCTTTAAACATACGGTTAAATTGTTGACCTACAGTTGAAGGTGCTTTGTTTATTATTACGGCAACATGCCAAGCACAGAACAAGTTTTGCACAATACCATTTGAGTCATCATGTGATGTGAAAGAAGATCAGTGATAAACGCAAACAACCTCTGAGCTGCAGTGAAGTCTGAACCCTGAGTCTTTAGCGTGTGGGATTTAAAATATGGACAGGAAGGGACAGTTTTCCCCTAAAAATGTGCATCCGTTTGAATGATCATTGGCATAAATTCACTTTAGTTCACTGAAGCTAAATAATAACCTCTTGTTTGTTTTTTACAATGTTGAGCAAAATGCACTTGTTGGCCTTCAGTAGAGAAAGTATAATTGCTGCTTTCAAGCAAAGACTGTCAAAAAGCACACAATTTATGGTGTGGAAGCATTTTATGGCAAATTCTTTGTAAAGTCTTAGAGAGTGAAGATGTTTTCTATGTGCAGCCCTTATGTTTGAGTGTTTGAAATAGAAAGCATTAAAGTAATGATGAAGAGTTAGAAACAAATTAGTTTTAGGCTGTTATAGGTCTTTAACAAAGAACATTTATGAGGTACGACCAAACTGTGAGATTTAATCTATAAGGCCTCTGAAATTTGGATTTTGAGTCAAGAATATGTCAAAAAATAAGGATTTGAAATGTATAGACATTACTCTTTTGAATAAAAAAAAAGAAGAAAATACTTTATAATCCAAAACTTTAATAGACAGAAATAAGACAGAATTTCAGGTAATAACAATACACAAAGTACATGTTGCATTCCTAAACTCTATAACACTGAGTATGAACCCAACTCTTATAATGCATCTTGTACACATTTATAAAGTCTTTTAAATGCATCTATAAGGTATGATTTATGATAAATTACACCTCATTCCAAAAGAGAAAAAAAAACTGCCTCTTTTGAAGCCTGGGTTTCACAACACAACATACTAACTCTTTCAACTTCACCTGGTTATATAGGTTCACGTAGATCATTATAGTTTCTAGAATTCTGAATTCGAAAAATGTCTTATCATTATCTAAAGCATGAATTAAGGTGCTGTAAGTAAAGTTATAAACAACTTTATGTTTCTATAACACATTTATAAGAGCTTATAAGCAGTATTTTATAGTTTTAAGTAAAATGTCAGACAATAATATTTCACAACAATAACACATTTTTATAAGTATGAAAACTTTCTGTTGCATTAAGTAATAATTCATTATTAACCATACCTTTATAAGCCATTATACTCACTGCATAAAACACTTCATGGGCATCACAACGTGTCATGAATGCTTATTATCACAGCCATAGATCGATACAGAATGGACACTGTCTGCCTCCTCGCTGGGTGAAGCCACCCCGAGAACAGCACCCTCTGGTGACGGGCTGCAGTATAGGTCATAAATCCCACCTCCTCCAGCAATCCCTGTGGAGCTGTGGACAAACTTAAGAAATTTATTACACAGAATATAATTTTTTTCCCCGCTGCTTGTGATGTTGACATGTAGTTACTGTCAGACTGGTTTGTGCTCAAGTCCTCTTTTTTTCTGTACAGCTCCTTTTTTAAAAGTTATTTGGGGGTTCATGTTTTCTATGATTGACACTTGATACAGCCTATGGGCGTACAAAGATTGCATAGCTCACCCGGGGGATACGCTGTTTGAGCTGAGCGTCATCACAGCGACTCTTTGGGACTCTCCCACCTAATGTGTACAATACTACTGTGCAAGTGGTGAAGTGCGTACAACGCTACTGCGCAATGTTGGTTTCAGGAAATGGAGAAAAAATGCAGAATTACTGAGAACTTTTTGGCTTCAAATCCGTGTACTGGCGGAAGGAGGAATCAAGTTGTCCATAGTATATGCAGTCTATGATCACAATGCTATGGCAGTTGCTATAATTAGATTAGATACATTGGAAGACATTGATCTTTTTGGGACGGTTTCCTCTGGGAATTTAAAAAAATAACAATATGACAAGGATTTATTTGGCTATTTTTACACAAGCCTTTGTGTGAAGGTTTAAATGACACAAAATATAACGAGGATCAGAATTTATGTATAGATATAATGGACTGCAAATATCACTAGACCTTTAAGAAAAAGTGCAAACAGAAGAGGAGGGTGAAGGTGGTTAAAGCAGCAGGGTGACCGCATG